AATGTAGGGGGAAAGAAAGCCTTGGCGCCCAGAACCCCCCAAGTATATGGTTTCTGACGTGGTCCGCTGCGTGAATCTGCTTGCATGCTCTGCCGTGGACCCGTGGTGCCATCATTGCGAGCAAATATTTTATCAGATGATCTGATAACGTTGGAGCTGTACTACCTCTCGATCTGCGCACCAGCCACTTCCCGCTGTCGATGTGGAAGCTAGGGCCACATTACTAAAACACTAGTCTCTACCATTTAATGAAGTCTGCCATTTTCGTTAGTTGCAAGGGACCTTCAAGTCCAGCGCTACACGGTTGAAGCTTGGTCCACTGCGCCGCGCCGCGGCGAGAGTTCACTGGTTGACATCAGCCTTGCGCAAAGACAGCGACGAAAATCCAGCAAACGTCCCAGTCAAGATCTCTGAACTTCCATTGCTCAACAACGTGACAGCTACCCTTTTCGAGACAAAGTGGTTTTGGAGTAACGCTCAATCATAATCGACAATACACGATGGACGACGATTTGTACGACGAGTTCGGAAACTTCATGTACGTATCATGCTATCTCCATGACGTCGTCGCGTCGCAGAAGGATGGTCTGTCTGGGCTCTGTTTTGGTCAAGACTCCATCGTCTTTTTGAGGCTAATATCCAATCCCTTTCACTTAATGATACTCTCTTTTTCGGCGGTGCTAACTCTCGATTCGTAGCGGAGATGCTGAAGCCTCCGAGGAAGAGTCCGAACATGGTGTCGACGCTGGAAACTACGTTTACGATGATTACCCAGAGGAAGCCCCAGAAGCTCCGGCGCAGGAGATGATGGAAGTTGACGATGAAGGACCCTCCAACGCCGTTGTTCTCCACGAAGACAAGCAGTACTACCCGACAGCCGCACAAGTCTATGGCGAGGGCGTCGAACTTTTGGTTCAAGAGGAGGATGCGCAACCGTTAACACAGCCGATCATCGCCCCTGTCGAGCAAAAAAAGTTCAGCATCGAAGAAGCAGACCTACCTCCCGTATACTTTGACCGCACGTTCATGGCCGATCTCATGAACTTCCCCGAACAAATCCGTAACGTGGCTTTTGCTGGACATCTACACCACGGAAAGACAGCATTCATGGATATGTTGGTGTTAGAGACGCACGACATTGCGGACAGACTTGAGAAGCGAACGGGAAAGAAGCGCGACGAGCAGCTGCGGTACACAGACATTCACATCCTCGAGCGGGAACGAGGGTTATCCATTAAGGCTTCGCCCATGAGCCTGGTCCTCCAAGGAACAAAAGGAAAATCACATCTCTTCAACATGATCGATACGCCAGGTCATGTGGACTTTGTTGACGAAGTTGCGGCCTCGCTCAGGCTTGTGGATGGTGTCTGTTTGGTGGTCGATGTTGTGGAGGGGGTTCAAGTCAACACAGAACAAATCATCAAGCACGCCGTTTTGGAGAACATCCCACTCACTCTCATTGTCAACAAGATGGACCGGTTAATTCTCGAGCTCAAGTTGCCGCCAAACGATGCCTATTACAAACTCAAGCATGTGATCGAAGAAGTCAACACTGTCATTGAGAACACAATTCCAGGTCGAGGTGAAGAGAGGAGGTTAAGTCCAGAGAGAGGAAATGTTCTGTTTGCCTGCACGTCCATGGGCTGGTGTTTCACTCTCCAGTCATTCGCCAAGATGTACTCGGACACGTATGGTGGTGTCAACTCGGAAGAGTTTGCGAGGCGCCTCTGGGGAGACATCTACTTTAACCCACGAAAGCGAAGTTTCACAAGGAAACCTATCGAAGAAGGGGCTAAGAGGTCCTTTGTCAACTTCATCATGGAGCCGATTTACAAGTTGTACTCGCATACGATTAGCGAAAGTCCGGAAGAACTGAAGGGTACCTTGAAAAAGTTGGGCATTCAGCTCAAGCCATCGCAGTACAAGACTGACCCCAAGGTCTTGTTGAAATTGGTTTGCGAGCAGTTCTTTGGGCCATCTACCGGGTTCGTAGACATGGTCTGTCAGCATATTCCATCGCCGGCTGAGGCTGCAAAGCAAAAGCTCGAACAGTACTACACAGGCCCTCTGGACAGCAAGGTTGCTGAGTCTATGCTGAACTGCGACCAAAATGGCCCGCTTGTGTTGTATGTGTCCAAGCTGTTCAGTGCTCCCGATGCGAAGAGCTTCTATTCGTTTGGCCGTGTGATGAGCGGTATTGCGCGCCCTGGCACAGAGGTCCGCGTGCTTGGCGAGGGTTATTCTATCGACGACGAAGAAGATATGGCTATGGCGAGGATATCCGATGTCTTCATCGCCGAAACACGATACAACATCCCGACCGACGGCGTGCCCGCTGGTAACTGGGTTCTGTTGGGTGGCGTTGACAACTCGATCGTGAAGACTGCCACTATTGTGGAGAAGAAATTTGAGGATGATGAGGATGCCTACATCTTCAAGCCTATTTCGCACTTCACCCAGTCCGTCGTTAAGGTTGCTGTCGAGCCCATCAACCCGTCTGAATTACCCAAGATGCTTGACGGCATCAGGAAAATCAACAAGAGCTACCCCCTCATTACCACCAAGGTGGAGGAATCGGGAGAGCATATTATTCTTGGTACTGGCGAGCTATACATGGACTGCGTGTTGCATGACCTACGTCGTCTATATGCCGATATGGAGATAAGGGTATCGGATCCTGTGGTTCGATTCTGCGAGACGGTACAGGACATGTCCGCAACCAAATGCTACGCCATTACCCCCAACAAGAAGAACACCATTACAATGGTGGCGGAGCCATTGGAGGATGGCATCGCGCAGGACATCGAGTCCGGAGCGGTCAGGATTCGGGATCCTGTACGAAAGATCGCCAAATTTTTCGAGGAGAAGTATGGCTGGGATCTCCTCGCAGCCAGGAGTATCTGGGCTTTCGGTCCAGACGAGATGGGACCCAACATCTTGCAGGATGACACCTTACCATCAGAGGTCAGTTGCGAGTTCCTTTCCCATGCTCGGGACACCAGTTGCCGTTATACACAGGTTTTTGCGGTGATCGTCGGAACCGGGCCGTCTACTACTTCCTGGCTACTAACGCGATGAACAGGTTGACAAAAAGCGACTTAATACTGTCAAGGATTTCATTCGCCAAGGCTTCAACTGGGCAGTCCGGGAAGGCCCGCTTTGCGAAGAGCGTAAGTTACCTCTTTCTCTTCTTTGAGCGTCTTGCATTCGACTGCCGCCGCGTGCCTATGCAGTCATATATCCTAGCGGCTACAGATTTGGCCGCGCTTGACACCATTAGTAGAGACCTGCAGTATGGGGGCTCTAGTGACCTGCTGAAAGTGGCAGCTGGGAGGGAGGCCCCAAAGCAGGATATGAATGCAGCCTTCACTACAGGATCTGGTCCCTCTTTTTTTGCCAGTGCATGATGCCCTTGTCAGAAGGGGGTTCTGGGCGTTCACAAGCGGGGGAGTCCCAAAAAGTTGCAGACTGCAACGATGAGGCACCTTGCGAACACCACCTCGGCCAACGTTGGCTGAATGGGTCCGGCTCACGAGAGCTGCTCAGTCACGCTTCTGGGCCTCTTCTCCCACGATATCCACGTTTTCCCCCCTCACATGTCTCCTGGGTGCTAACCTGTCTGTGAAACCAGCAATACGCAACACCAAGTTCCGACTCATTGACGTGTCGCTTGCCCAGGAGGCCATCTTCCGGGGCGGTGGTCAGATCATCCCCACGTCCCGCCGCGCCTGCTACAGTTCCTTCTTGATGGCCTCGCCTCGCCTGATGGAGCCCATGTACTCGGTTTCCATGACCGGTCCTCAAGATGCCGTCAGCACAGTCTACAACATCCTGGCCCGCCGTCGCGGCCACGTCCTGTCCGATGGCCCTATTGCCGGCACCCCGCTCTACCGCGTCAACGGCCTGCTGCCCGTCATCGACAGTTTCGGCTTCGAGACCGATCTGAGGATCAACACGCCCGGCCAGGCCATGGTCAGTCTAGTTTTCGACAGGTGGAACGTTGTTCCCGGTGATCCATTGGACAAGGAGATCGTCTTGCGTCCTCTGCAAATGGCCAACGCGCAGGCGACGGCGAGAGACTTCGTGCTCAAGACGAGGCGGCGCAAGGGCTTGAGCGAGGATGTCAGCGTGGCCAAGTTTCTGGAGCCCGAGTTTTACCAGAGCTTGATAGAGAGCGGCACCCTGGGTGAGGCGTGAAGCACTTAAAGAAAAATGGGTGGGTGAGACGACGAATGTGGCTTGTCAGTTTTTTTCCACGCCGTTTATGTAATTCCTGGGTAGAGGTGGTCTAAGCATTCCTGGTGGAAGGGGGGCGTTCGTGTGATTCTATTTCAAAGAGAAAAATTTTGCTGGGAGTGCGAAAGCAAAGAAAGATAGATGTTCAATTCAAATGTCAAGGTAAATGGTCACGAAAAGTCTTGTCACTCTTGAAAACGATGTTGAGGTGATCTAACTTGAATGTGATAGGGACCGCATATGTGCGACACCGAAACACTATCAGTGTAGGTTAAGGAAGAGAAGCCGGATAGATTCGTCAATAGTTCCTTCCTTGAGAAGGAGCCTCGGCCACATCAGTTTTGCTTGTTGCCGCGCGTTCTACGTTCCCTTTTGTTTTGTTCTATGTTCGTTTTCCATTTGCCTTCTGCAACTGAACATGAGATGGGAATCGATTTCAAGCCGAAACACCAGTGGACAAAGCTCCAGGGGGAACGTACCGGGAGATGTGATACCAAGGTACGAATCCAGCGTAGTCAACGATCAACGGAAGTGTACAATCGAATACCTATGTACCGCACGCAAGCAGTGTATGTATAGGCCGAGCATAAGGCGCAGTACCGTTTTTCTACTACCGCTTGTTGCACGGTTCCCGGAACAGACGTAGAGTTCACTTTATATCCGGTGTACCGTGGCATGGCAGCTCGAACGCTGACTTATCGCGCTCTTCTCGACATCAACGCCATTGTTAATCGTTGGCTCTTTCGATTTTCTTTCCACTTCCTTCATCTAGCATGCTTGGTATGGAGCAATGTAGGTATGTACACCACGGCGTGAGTACAGTGAAGACCGGAATAATATCTTGGTACACTGTAGTTGTCCTTTGCTTGAACCACGAAGCTGCTAGTTACTAATGACGAGCTACTGCCATCACAGTGTGTTCCATGTATTGATTTCCGGTGGGTAGGCATTTCGTAGGTTTGAATCTGGAGCGGATGATTGGATACTAAGTATTCCGGCATTAAACCCTCTCAAACTTGACTTCCCTCGGTTGAACTTGCAAAAAAGATGTGGACAGCGAAGTGGAAACCACTCGGCGTCAATTTTTGTTTTCCGTGGCTTTGTGAGGGGAAAGGAAGATGGGGGGTGGTTCGCGCTTTTCCGACCCGACCCGGTCCGGTAAGATACATCAATTCTGCGCAGCCTTTGCTGATCGTTTGATAATCATGTAGCATCGGCACCTGGTTGGAGATGTGGAGGATTGAAGACGATTCTGGCCCGGGCATGGCATGGGTGCTACATGGATGGACATGGGGAAACTGTTAGAAACGAAGCGAACAGGCTTGACAGGCTGACAGGATGCACTTGATGGAGGCTTGTAGATGCTCGATGGGAGCGACGAAGCTCTGATGGGAATGCTGATGGGGTCAACCAAGACACCTCTCGGTAGAAGATCCATGATCAGATATTAAACTCATCCACTTCGTTTTTGTAATGTACACCACCACACTTCGCCTGTATCGAGTATACGGTGTGTGTGGACTGGATGTGGTGACTTTGGTGCTTTTCACTGATAGGTGCAATTGTTTGAACGCAAGCAATGAAGCAAAAGTACGACCTTCTGTTTTCGTTCAAGTGTTCCTGAATGGCTGTAGAGTGTGTCAATCACCAACTAAAAAGGAAAGGACTCAACGGCCACTAGCTCGAGGACATACGGAGGCGGTGATAGTATTCGTGTGTTGTTTCCCCTGCGCATAGAGTACCATATGTGGCTGGATAGAAGTAACCGTTCATCGACAAGTTCCCCCACTGGCCATGGGGTAAAGAAAGATGAATGAAGTGGTGGAGTGAAGTTTAGCCCACAGAAGTATGCAAGCATTGGAGTGAAAGGAGATGAGTGTTTACGATGGTGGGTAGAGATTTCAGAGGAACTGTGCAAAACTGGACTCTATACACTACACTGACATGTGGCTCCAGGCACCAGTCTCCCTGGAGGTAATGCATAATGGCAGGAATAGCTGGTTACGTAATCACACTTAGTCCTCTTTGTATTGCAAAGGCTTGCTATGTACATTCTACTAGTAACCTCGGAACAGGACGTTTAAAGTCACGTTTGAAACGTCGGCTGTGTTGGTGTCGAAACTTTGATGTTGGGCTTGGTGTGGTGGTACAAAAACACACTCGATGAGTTTTTGTGAAGGTAGGATCAAGACGCCTTCATTAGACTTCCAAACGCTCTTTTGGAGTTGTGAGAGGCATCGGGGGGCTCTCTTCTTTCCATGGTACTTCCCTACCCACATGACCCAAACGCAAATTGCAGCAACTTCGTAGTCTCTTGAATTCGTCAACTTTAAAACGGGTTAGTTATGTCCACATCATGTAGATCAGTTCATGAAGCACATGGGTTCCGTCGATCAATGGAAAGTGGGGTTCTTAACATCCGCATTCTCGATACTGTACTCGATTACATAAGTCATGGGTTGGATGAACCGTCTGTCGTACACTAGACCCTGGTGTCGGGGGAAGTAGGCGGGTGTGTCGACAGTAACCCCTTCGACCCTCCTATCACAGAATCCAAAATCATCATTCGCCCCTAAAAAATTGCTTCTCGACTTTTGTTGATTTTGTTGTATTTGGGTGGATGGGTCAGCTCGGTAATTACCATGTCAACCTCGTCAATGTTCAGTCCAAAGATCCTCGGACTCGGCGGCGAGGACGTAGACACTTAGTGACATTAGCACAAAGAGTAAAGATTGTATTTATGCAAAAGGACCAAAAAAGAAGTAACGTGTGGTGCCTTTTCTATCATCTTATGATAACCATAGATAATATTGACCTAAGCCCGTGGCAGAATGCTAGGGACATGGGTTTCACCGCAAAAATCGCCCATGCCCACCATCCAAGATTGGGATGCAATATCAGGTGACATCGTGCCTTTCATTTTTAAACTCTCGGAGCTTGCAATCCCAATGCTTGGGTTGGGATGGCTGCTGGCTCTTTCTCTTTGGACTGGCATGGGAAACAGAGTGCTGGGCCCTGAGTGGAAATTCGAACATCGATAAAGGCGACGGTAGGTATCAGAATTTGCCGATGTCTCGCATCGTCATATCAATTCCTCTACGAACCCCCGCACATACCGGATAGCCACGCATGTGCCCCGTAACGAGGAGGGGTTGTACGTAGTATAAAATAGCGTTGCCACCAGTGACCAATACGGCAATCCTGCGGATATAATCTCACGAAACACCGCCGCGTAGGGTCAAGCCTGGAAAGCCATCGCAACGTGAATGATAATTCGCTGAAAATGGACATCTCTGGAGCTCCCTTGTCTGGATTGTACTCAGACGCAAGTCTCCAGCATCTTCTCGATGATGCCCTTCAGGGTGTCATTCTCCAGAGCAGCGGCAACTCTCTCCTTGTCCCCCAGCTGCTTGTTCACCTGGTCGTCTTGGGCATGGGAGCCATCCTTCATGCGGACGATGATGCGATAGTTGGGAGGCAGAGCGTTCTCGAGTCGGACACGGACGGCAAGACCAATGACAGTCGCCAGAGAACAGTGATTCACTGTGGGCGTAAGGTCAACCTCGACATTGGTCAGGGTGTTTGGATCTAGACGCTCGGCTGGAGATGGGCTAAGATGGATGTCGTCAAGTCTGACGACGGCGATTTGACCCAGGGTGACGGGATGTTCAGGGTCCGATATCGTTGATAGCAGGTCTAAAACAAGACATCAGCTGTCTGATCACCGGTGTGGGTTTCTTGTAAAAATAGAACAGAGATGAGTGAGACAGGCAGTTAAAACATGGACTGCGCCTTGCTATACACGTGCAACTTGACGGGTCGTAGTTCTCACCATAGATTTCCTGCTCGTCAATGGGTTCTTCTGTCGCCAAAGTCAAGTCGTCGTCCTCGTCCTCGTCTGATGTCCACACCGATGGGTCAGTGTTCAGGGAACTTCCTGCCCACCACTGCTTTGGGAACAAGATGTGGTCATATTTGGAATCCGGGCCCTTTCTCACATGGCCCTTCGCTAGATTCCTGCTGGGCAGTTGTGAGACACTGAGGACGGTGGGATTGGCGTTGTCGAGATCCGATTTGGCCATGCTGAGAGGTTGTGTCGAAAAACGACTGGTGAGGTAACCCTATGTGGTGGCTGATCGAAGTGACTGAACTTTTTGTTGCGGTTTACATAAGTTGCCACTCAGTCGATGGCCAAGGCTAGGCGAATATTCAGACTTAACCAAAGGGTTCGGGCAAGTTGACGTTTGTCGTTGCCGTGCGCGGGAGTCAAACGGCGGCACGGGTGGATGACGTTCAGCGACGGGAGTGGACAAGCGTTCCAGTCTCGTCTGTGTATCGTTCCCCGCATTGCAGGTTGCGGTGCCTCTTTAACCGCAGGTGCCCGCTATCGGGGCATGTCGTCCTGCCAGACCCACCAGGCCCAGGGCGGGCCCTGAGGGGCACACAGTCTTGAGATCAAGAAAGGGGAGCTCATGAGTTTCAAACGACATGCCAGAAACTCTCTACAAGACTGGGAAATGTCGTATAAAAACGGGTCAGCCCTCTTCGTCCCCTATCGCCAGCTTTGCCTTCGTCCGCCTACTTACATCCTACACGGAGAGGACGTGTGTCGCCCTGTGTCTTGTCGAACGTGAAAGCGACGAAGGAAGCATTGAAGATCGGAGATCACCGAGCAGATCAAGACACCTGTGTGCGCCGAGCGAAGCATTGATCAAACCCTCTCCTGACCAGCGCGCGGGAGTTTACGACAGGTGAGTTTCTGTGGCTGTACAGATACGTTTTTGACATAGATAGGTCCCGGTAGGTAGTTCTCCCTTCTAGTAAAGTCTTCATTTTCTATCGCACGGCGTTTCCGAATACTTGGATCTCGCTTACGTTGTGGCGTCATGTTACCAATAGTTGGATGCGGACGAGGCGGTTGTGGGACGGTCATGAATATAATGTCGTTGATATAGATCCGTACGGTTGTACCCGCGAGGCGGTGCCTTCTGAGCGGCAGAAGCGGGTGCTCGTATAGGTGCTCTTTACGTATTAATACCTCTAGCTATCGAGTACTTCGCCGCCGCGCCTGTTCACAAAACCGAAAGGAGGAACCCCAAACATGGGAATTTGATCATTCCTCATATTCATGCAACCGATATCCCCTACATAACGAGATTGGAAGGCGTGGGGGATTCCCTGAACGCTAGTAAGACCACTGGACAGAAGTTGGAAGCTTCCATAATCCCTGCGTGAAAGCGCAGAGGAAAGAGAGTGTCAGGGTCGGGTGAAGGAGACAGTGCCTTGGCGTCGTTGGCTCCCGCGACTCCCGCCCAAGCTGTTGTCATGTGGTGCATCCTCCTTGGCTGCCCGACAGCCTTCGGCGGCCCCAAGGTTGTAATGCTTCAGCCTCTCAAGGTCCCCTTCTCGGAGATGTTTCTACAAAGGGCTTGGAATAGGATTAAGGACCCGAGAAAAGTTAGGATATGGCTCGGTGATGTCAAACCTTAATCCATGGTGGCCGCAGTATCAGCCCTGTGCCTTACAGGATTCCCGAGCCTGGGGTACATGTTGTGGTTGCGTGTGACGAAGTACCTAGTCGCCAAGTATACCAAGGCCATGAGGACTTTATATCTCGGTTTAGTGGATGAGGGTCATAGGTAGTGCGTGCGTGCCTTGCGTGTGCCATGCCATGCGACAGCACCTCTCTCAAGCTCCCCCTCCGCGATTCCTTTTTGCTTTTTCAAGAAAGAGCATTTCTTCTGGCATTTCTTGCATTGGGACTCGTGGAGGTCGCCGTCAACCGGGTGTGCTCCAAGCCTCAACCCATGTCGGGTCGCAATCACAATCGTCTCGGCCAAGGTGGAGGTGGTGGGTTGAAGTACGTAGATGAACATGGTGATTGGATGTTCTATTCACTTGGTGAGAACAGAAGAGTAGTGTACGCAAGCGTGGATGTGGGTAGAATTGCGAGTTGAGACTTGCATACCCTCGAGCCGTCGTCTTGATTCTTACCTAATCCGCCGGCGAGCCGAACATTCGATCTTCAAGTTGTTGGTGGTTAGAGTGGTCTGGGGTTGGCCAGTGCGTGGCAGCGGTATAAACACCAGATTAGGTACTTAAGGTACGTGGCTCGAGCGTGGTCGTGCTGGCATCGGGGAGAGACTGCACAGACAGCGTCAAAGTTGCCTTTGTGCCCTAATTTCGCCTTCCTGTCTCCTTTTGCCGCACAACAGGGTCTGCATGGATGGCTGGCTGTTCATGTCAATCTTCAAAGGGCGTCTTCGAGAAGATGTTGAGAAAATCGGTTCCGGATGCCTTTGCTAGAGGTAGCCCAGTCGCAGCTGTCGAAAGGAGTCTTGTGTACCGGTCCCTGAAGGGAAGGTACCTAATTTGGCTTCCACGCACGACGTTGGTGGACGGATTGATGGAAAAGGCCATCCGCCATCCTCTGCATAGCGGTATGTAACCTTCCTCCCTCTCGGGCGGCTTGTCCACCCCACTCCTTCGGTCGAAATGTGACAGCCTTTTAAATGGCCCGATTAACCCTTGTTAATGCTGCTTGCTGTGGCGTCGTTGCAAACTTGCACTGCACTTGACGACAACTCGACTCAACTACACATGACAGTCACTATCAGCGAAATGACCACTTGGAGTTCATCCCGCCATATCATAGGCCGGCATCAGCCTGCCGGTCCTGGCTTGTGCACTTCAACCTCGTGTTAATTGTTGGTGTGGTACTTCGATAGACACTTCCCTTCTTAATTTGGTTCGGTGGACTTTGCTTTGTCAGCCAGGGCAGTGAGGGAAAGGGACACCACGCTAGGAGCAGCCTCGTAAAACAAACTGCTCTCAACAGATACGCCAAGATGTTCGACTGGATCCATGCAGTGTCTTTCCCGAGGGTTCACGGCTAGCCTTCTTGCGTTATCGTGCGATTCCCGCTGTGAGACAGGGTCCCAGGACTCAAGCAGAAGCACCAAGTAAAAGTAGTGTAGGAAAGGGTCCAAGGTCCGCGCTGTGATGATTGCCCGTTCTGCCCGATCGATCTCTCATGCCCAGATGGGCAGGCATGCGAAATATCCCGCCAGGGCAGTTGAGTGTAGAAAAGCAAAATCACCGGTAGACGCTTCTCAAAGATTGTTTGACACATGACCGTGGTAATGGAGATTCCTCTTGCTAACGCTCATGGGCTCAGTGTAGTCGAGTTGCTAGAGGATGCCTTCGCCAGTTACCGTGAACTCGCCCAGAGGCCTTTCCAGATTTACCTTGTCAACTGAGGAGGTCAGTGTCAAGAAAATATAAGAAAGAAAACGAAAAAGAAAGAAAAAACAAAAAAAATTCCCTTCTGCTCACCAAGACATGATGTAGGCCTAGAAGTGCCTATAAACAGCGTCTGTTCGCAAACTCATCTTGATCTCAGCGTGAGCTAAGTACAGATAATACTTTGCTGTTTTTCGAAGCCATGGTCGATACGCTCACCTTGGATGCAACCCAAAGGGCTGCTGCGGGTACATTCCAAGGCGGCAGGAGAGGGGTGAGTGAACAGGTACCTAGGTAGGTAGGTACCCAAGTATGTATTAGAGATGCTGATTCGAGGCCTAGTCTTCCAGTTCTTCCCCACCTCGGGACCACAGTTCCTTGGACCTGCCCCCTGGAGTCCGTCTTTCCATACCTACGCGGCCACTCTCCTCGCTCCCGCACATCCCCGCCATCACAGCATCCACTCTCCCACCTCAAGTTCCGCCCGCCTCCGTTAAATCTGCAGTGGGTAGCAGCATCAACATCTCGTCAGTTGGGGCCAGAGAGCCAGCAACGACGGGAACCAAGAGGGAGCGTCGTCATCAAGCGCCCAGATACCTTACAGCAGAGCGCGAACTTTGTGATTATGTTGGCCATGTGCCGCCTATAATTTCTTTGCCCGGTACATAGTAAGCTGGACCCGCGAAGGACCTATCCAACAGTGAATGGCAGTATTTGCGGCTAAAGCAACACCGGATACGAATGCAGGTTGCCTCGCTCACCTGGCTTCTAGAATAGCAAGAGGTCTACGGCGGTTGATGCTGTACAGTATCCGCAAGGTGCCGTCCCCATATGTCCCCCATATCTGCCTCTGCGCACCTACATAGTATTTATTCGGCAGCATTCCACTTGCACGGAAACACAGTAAAAAGAGCTGATTCCGTCGAGGAGCTGCTGCCGTCGGTTCCCATCGGTAGCAGTGGAATCAGGGTTCCATTGCGGGACCAGCTAAATGCCATTGTCACGTATGTTTCATGTGCTTTGGGGCGGCGGCATTGGGGCGGGTTCCTTGTCCCGCCGCCAGACTTCTGCTATGCATTCTTTTGGTCAATCTTCCAATCTGCAGCAACTTGTTCTATGTTCTCAGGCTGGCGTGTAGTGCGATGTCGTAGAGTAACATCGAGGTGCCACCAAGAATTACTATATTCGTACGCATGCGTATTAGTAATGGCAACCCCCCAAGACAACGAGCACGAGGTATATGTAAGGGCAAGGAACTTGGTAATATACCCCAGCGCTTCTGACATGTACACATCCAGCGAGTCCTTCCGTACGGCTTTGTTCTGTGTTCACCGACTGCGGTGTCTTCTTTGCTGTTCATGGAAAGAACTCGCCACAATCTGTACAAAGTACCTCAAGACATGCAAACTCGGCACACGTCATTCATGGCTTGAGATAGGATCCTTCGAAGTGTCAAGAAAAAGTCAGTTGCATGAGGTGTTCCGTAGGTAGAGATTATAGTAAAATGGGTGTCCAAACAGCGGAGAGCACAATTTAAACCCCCGAACAAAGCGAGTCCAATTGAGCGCTAGGGGACCCATGTCCAGGCCGCATGGCTGATCCTGATGAAGCCAGTCTTCCATTTGGATTAGGCTAGTCTGTAGCATGGGTAAACCCCCTCGTCGTCAGCCAGGCCCTGTTTTTATGCTGCACAATGTTTACCTTGGCGGGCCATAAAAGTGCACACTGTATGCCACGCCACTACATACGGCAAAACCCCAAATCACTGCACCAATCCACCGTGAAAGATCAGGGACGAGCTGGGACCGGGAGAGCGCATCCATCCGTAGACGACGACCCAGTGGAAAGGTAGTAGGTAGTTGGGCTGGCTTCCCTGGTGGTGTACGGATATACCTTTCTCTACCGCCTAAACCTCCTGTAAAAGCTCAATCCATCGTGATCCCTAAAATCCCCTCCCATCCCCCTTGTTTCACTCAGTTCCTTCACTGTCACCACTGACAAGCTGCGACATAGTGTATACTGCCTCGCTGTGGAAAAGTTGTATACGCGCTTGCTGTGTGCGATCAGCTTCTCCCTGCCCCTGGCCATCGACAGTTGAGGCTACTCTTGGTATCACCGCTACCTACCTGTACTACTTAGGAAGTACACCTGCTAGTGCTACATAGGTAGGTACCTCTAGATAGAGATAGTGCAGAGGTGGTTAGTACAACTTGAACGCTCCTTTCACCAGCAACGCTACTATCAGCCGGCCAACGCAACGTTCAAATAAAACTACCTCTACCTGCCACTTCCCTACCAGCACGGGCATCGGCCTCCACTGCCTACTACATCATCAATTGAGCCGGCCCAGCAACTTCAGTCTCAACACCGCCCACATCAGACCCTCGAACTCAATTCGCGCGCCGACATCTTGGAAACACCTCTGTTCCCCGAACACATCGAACGGCGCCGCCAGGAATACACTACACCCATTTTTAGGACGCAACCGCGATATTTGGACGATTTTTAAACCGATCCGACTCATGAACCAAGGATAGCAAGAAGCCAATGTGGAAGCGCTGATTCTCCCGCCATTCGCCAACAGCACCAGACTCTTGAAACCGTCATCCCATCTTACCTCTACACTCGACATCAGACGATATCGCTGCTTCTTCTGAGCATGTCGAACGACCCGTCAGTGCGCCGGCTGCTCCCGCAGACTTCGCAGATGGGTGCATTTACCTTTGCGCCGCCTGCTTACCAGCAACCGCCACGCGAAACTCAGAAAAGTGCGACCCCTATCAGTCTTGTCTCCTGGATAACCCCCCCTCGGTCTTATGAGGAAAATAAGAGAACGTCCGTTAACCAGTCTGCTGTTTGATTCTTAGACTATGTCTTCGTTGACGAACACAATCGCCACAAGCGGTTGAAGGGTATGTACTTTCTCAGCATCAATCAATTTTAAGCAAGCAAGAAAGCGAACATACACCCACCCGATAGTCCACCCGTGTTGTTTCCTCGTTGGAACAATCCCTTTTTTTTTATCTCACAAAGGAGGCATCAAGACACCAAACAAGACCTTGAGACTGACGGTCTTATGTAGTTATGAGAGCCTGCGAAGGATGCCGAAGAAGGAAGATCAAATGCGACGCCGCCACCACCAACACTTGGCCCTGTTCGGCGTGCATCCGTCTCAAGCTTCATTGCGTTCGGCCAAATGGATTTGATGGAGCTGCCGAACCCCAAGTTTACGAACCTCCACGTGCCCAGTTCGACTCGTCACCTGTTCCGGAGAGTTATCACCAGCAGCAACTGGCTTTGACCGACCACCAACAGCTCCTTACGCATGCTCAAGCTCCCAAAGCCACGCCGATATATCCTCCTCAAACCTCCTTCCAGGACACGGCAGCGCTGTACCATACAGTGCCGTACACGCAGCCGCAAGCTGTACCCCAGAACCTCCAGTATGCTGCCGTGCACTCTGCATATGCGACCCCGGATTCCTTTCCGACGCCCCCCTCCATGCACCAGGTACCCCAGGTGTCACAGCTACCTCAAATTTCTCAACATCCTTCTTCACCTGAGGACTTTCAATCCGAATATGCCCAGCAGGACTTGGCAGACCTTCTGGGTTCGCTCAAGGTCAACGAAGCAGGAACAGGTGAGAAGAGGCGGCTGCTATTGAGTTCGAGAGCTTTTCAGGTTTAACATGGTTCTAGCTCCGTATTTAAACAGCAAAATGCGATCGGCCGATGATGAAGAGCCCTCCGTAGAAGAGACCGAAGAGGACCAGTTTACGAAGAACCTGCCGCCTCTGACGGCGGGCAAGATTCGCATACCGCCCGCTCTGATGCCGTCGGAAGATCTGTGCCTCCACTACTTCGATCTCTACTTTACGCACACGCATCCTTATGTTCCAGTGCTGGACAAGAATCAGTTCTATCATCAGTGGCACAATAACCGGGAAGCCATTTCGCCCCTTATCCTTGAGGCCATTTTTGCGATTGCTAATCGTCTGGCTGATGACGCGGCGCAAGGCCAGCAGTGGCTTTATCTTGCAACACGTACGAGTCCCGTCCTTGCTCTATTCGCTCATTAGCTAATTTTCTGCTTCAAGGACATGCCGATTCGTTTCTTGATGTACCTCGATTGAGCACCCTTCAGGCATCACTGATCCTTCTCAAGGCGAGGGAACAGGCACCGAAGAAGGGCTACTACTACCGCTCTTGGATGAGTATTGTCCAATGTGTTACAATGGCTAAGGACCTTGGGCTGGACGAGCACTATGCGGATCACCAAGCCGGTCGATCATGTGGCTTAAGTCCTGCAGAGTGTCAGCTGAGAGACAGGATTTGGCAGACTATCTTCATCGTGGAGATCATGATTGGTACTCCCCAAGGTAAGTCAAGGATTTCTCTTCCTGGCACACGAGATACTGATATTTTGCTAGGAAAAACGGATCTTGCGGTCGAAGAAGAGACTGTCAATTTTGAAGTTCCAAGACCCTTGCCCAACGGCGACACGTCGGAGTATCATGTATCCCGAAATTTTGTTTACTTTTCTAGGGTTGTTCGCAACGTCTGCCGGATGAGCAGAGTTTATTCACGCCTCAAGAGAAACAAGGAGTGGGGTATCGACCCTGAATTCGTTCAGATTAGGCCTGCCATGGACGCATGGTTAACTGACCTACCACATGACCTTCAGCTTGATTTCCCTGTTGATGGGTCGCCTCCGTGGTTGCCCTCCTCGTTTGTCGGCAATATGCATTCGTATTATCACCTTAGCATCATTTTGTTCTACAGGCCTCAGCTGGCCCACATGACGCCAACAGGTACTGGAGGTCAATGGAAGCAGCACATGCTGGTCTCATACCGAGCCGCCAAGATGCTTTGCAGGTTACAAGAAGGCATTATCAACCAGTTTGGCATTGCCGGGTTACAGTGCATGCAGCGAGGTATCAACTTCACGCTATACGCGGTCCTCGCTTGTATCGTATTGCATTTAGTATGTTTTCGTCGCCGCTTAAGCCGCTTTCACCTAATCTTGGATCAACCCTACTAACGCTGACTTTAGGTCGCTTTGACATCACCGGATCCGGCCCTCAACGCGGAGTCGCGAGAGTACTTCACACGCCACATGCGGGTATTAGAGAAATGTATGGGTGCTTGGCCAATGCCCGATATGCAGCGGCAGATCGATTCTGTTCGGGAAGCCTTTTCCCAGGATATCAGGAAGCCGTTTGTTCTGAAGCCTAGCTTCCCCTACGGAAGCCCATCGTCAACCTCGCATCCAAGCCCACCAGGGCCGCCGTATCGATCCGATATGTCGAGGACTAGCTCCATCGACCACCAGCTCGATACGCATGTGCAACATTCTCACGTTAGTTACACCACTCATCCCCTTTCACCGCCCCTTTCGGTTGGCCCAATGGACAGCAAGAGTGACTCCCATGATTTACAGTCACTTGCAATGATGTCTTCCGGTCACGGGACACAAGCACCTTCCATGGCGCAGACAATGCCACTCACGGACGCCCCCGCGTGGAACCCGTCTCGCATCTTTGAGTAAGTCATTCGGAAGAGAAGAGATTCATTTGTGGTCCTTTCGATACTAACCGGTATCCTAGTCAATGGAATGCCCAGTTTGGCAACCCCCAGGTTCAGCATCCTTCTCAGCTCACCAACCATGCCAGTCCATTGTCTCTTCCCTCTTCTGGCGCCTCGGAAACTAGCCTCCAAGACTTGCAGGCGGCCCAGGCTCAGCTTTCTCCCGTTTCACAGCAGATGCCGCAGTACCCAACCAACCCTGTACAGACCTTCGTCACCCCTGCGATGTGGCAAGAGTCTGTGGCTAGTGTCTACGAGGGAGGCCTCAAGCGTTCATGGGGCGATTACGATGGCCATATGCCAGTCAAGCGTAACCGATAACAGCTGGACAATTTATCGCGCGGCGTAGCGCGTCACACACATGCTTGCGCCAATTCCAGCACCCACACAACCCGACCACTGTTGCACGGGACGAGAACATTGAGACTGCCAGGATTTGATAGTCTCCTGGTTAATGATATACCAGGTTACGAGCGAATCAAAACGGCATTGCATGACATATATGCTTGTGTTACACTGACAGAGTTTCAATGATGTTATGATAACGACTTTTGACCTAAGCATCAGCAGAAATGGCTTGTTCTCGTTGTTTTGTCATATCTTTTCGACAGCACGGGCAAAAAAAGAATATCTGTATCAGGTATATCTGTCGATCGGAGAAGAAAAATAAGAGGAAGAAAACTGAGTCGACGGTGGCTGGTCCACCGCGGCAGGGAACTATCAACAGGGCATCATCCGGGGAGGAAAGTATTTTGATTCTCCGTCCTCGGAAGACGAGACCGTAGGGATGGTGGGATCTTGGGTCTTGATCACCAAGCAGTGGAGGTCTTTTTCTTCTCTTATACATTCACCATTCTCCGGTGGTCGAAAATATGGATACCATTCGTCTCTTTATGGATATCTTTGGTAGCATTTGTATTATTAGTTCTATACCACGGTCAGGCGAAAGTTACATTACATATCCATCAGGAGGCTTGCAGATTTTGTGTCAATAATGGTTCGTGAGGTGGTGTTGTCAGAGTTGAGAGACTTCATTATTGTGATCAGAAATGTAAGCGCCATGTGCTAGCTGGGACGGATAGCTATGTGTTGGGCTGACGGTTAATGATCTACATGAAGCATTGGATGGGAATAATTGTATATGATGACCGTAGTATAGCGAAAACGTTTTCACTGAAAGGCCACCGTGGTTTCAATAGCACGGTCAATCCAATGTTACAATGTTATCATGTGAGCGATCGATCTTACCACAGGAGTAACCTATACCCCTATACAGCATATACACCAAACAGTGCAATCATATACGAGATACCGCATACCTAAACTCCCAAGGGAAGAAACATGTCAAGTCTATGATATCAATGAGCCCTTCGCGCCTCACCTTCCACAGATACAAGCATCATCATCTGGCCACCCCGACCAAATCACTAGTCTATTGGCAACTATTTATACACCCACAAATACACCCTGCCACTCGCTTCCACCAGTCCCTACTCCCTCCTCGGCTCTCACCCTCCCTTCACTTACCCCCCTTCCTTCTCTCCGCCTCCCTAATCGCTCTTTTCTCAATCAAACCCCGAATCTCCTCCCAAACCCTCGCCTCCTTCACTCCTCTCTTCTCCGCCGTCTTTTGGGGAACATCAGTAACATAAAACTCTTTGACCGTCTTGAACCGAGTCCAGGAGAGAATCTTTTGCCTCCATCCATGCTGTTTTCCGTCTTTCAGTTGTTGCCGTTCGAGTTGGAGTTGTTGGATTTTCCATTGTGCGGACGTCAATGGCTTGCTGCTGCTCTTGCCCTTTGCTTCTGTTATTGTAGAGCTAGCAGGGGTTTGATCAACCCGGACGAAATTCCCCTTCTTGAAGAATCCCTTCTGGGAGGAAGGAACAGGTCGTATATCCGATATGGCTACGCTGCTCACGCGGGGCTTGCCGATCAGTGACATGGTGACAAATTCGAGACGGGAAGCGGACTGTGGGGGCAGGGAGCGCGCGAAGCGGAGGAGGACGTCGGAGGATAGGCGAGCGTATGGGGGCAGCTTGGTAAGGTGGATTTGAGCGACGAAGGGGCGGGAGGAGTGGGCGAGGAAGAGGAAGGGGGTTAGACCGCAGGTGAAGACTGGGAAGTTGTCAGAAGTTTGTTCGTCAAGAATGGGAGGGATGGATGGGGGAAACAAACTGGCGACGCCGGCGAGTGGAGACCCGTTGACAATGTAAGCCGGAGCAACGAAGAGGCCGAAGGCGGAGAAGATCAGTACCGTGGTGAGTTTGAGGAGGGCGATGAAGATGATTTCTATTCGGACGAGTATATCACATTAGCACCAATGTTCATGTTCAATGAATTCGAGTAACTGGAAACACGGCCGAGTTATCTGAAGTAAACTCTCTGATGACATGACTTCTCAACCAAGACCATGGCACCTCCGCTGTATCCCTCGAGCCACACGGATCCCACCTAAGAAACCGATCCAACAAAATGAGAACCATAAATACTTACTTCCCTTGCCGGCATTGTATATAAGCAAACGCTCGGGATATTCTGCAAATCAACCAACTCCCATTATTAGCTTCAACATCTCCATCTATTTCACTGCCCACTTCGTTCCACCCCGTCCAAATGGGTGAGACAGCACAGAGAAAATCTCACCGAGATTTGGCGCCTTAAGCTGCGGGACCCCATTTGCAGCAGTCGGTCGTAGCTGAGTTTGACCCTGTGCCTGAACCTGACCCTGAGCCCGCGCTTGCGCTTGATTCCCCCCCTTCTTATTTTGCACCATTTCCGATGACGACCGAGTTAAAGTTGAAGCCAATCTGAAGCGAACAATCTGCATCATCCGCCAAGAAGAATTCCCCTTCCCACCCCGAGTGCGGGCGGCTTCTGCGATTGCTGGCGTATTCTGAGCCTGAGGTAGCGGTCCACTAGACATAGGACGAAAAAGCTGTAATTGCCATTGTGAATGTGATGGGCCCGCCCCATGATAGATTGCAACAACATTTTGGGTGGGTGTTGTTTTGACAAGTGGTATTGTCGTCATCGTGACTGGCACTGAACGTGGAAAGCACCGTGGCACGATGCCGAGAGTGACGCCGAAGGGCGGCGGCCGCCGGACAAGCATGACGGGGGATGGGGGTTGACCGGCAAAGAAGAAGAAAACGATGAGGCGAGAGGTTTACGACTCTTCCATGCGGCTAGTTGGTACTGTGACCCCAACCTAAAGCCGCCAAGCTGGAAAGCAAGAAGAAGAGGAAGAACGTTTGGTTTGGAGCTTGCGTGAGTTAAGGAAGAAGTGAGTGGTGGTGGTTACAAGTAATGTGCCTGCCAAGTATGACCATCGGAATACCTGTGGTCCGAGCTTTCATGCTTACCCGTACGCACTCGAAAGGGGTACTACGCAAAACTAGACTGTTGGTACCTTACAGTCAGTATTCTGCAGCACAAATACCGAGATGACTAGCGTTAACGTGAAGGACACAAATGTGTTTGATTGACATAATATGAACAAATAATTCTCGCTGATAGCGGGTTTGACCCCTCGTCAAGGGACAGCCTCTAGTAATAAGAAGCCTGTACCTACCGGAGAGTCCCTCTTACTACACTTGGTCCTCTCTAGACCCACCCCTTCCTTTGCTCTTTCCCCCCTTCTCAGTATGCTTCCTTGTCCATATCTCATTTTGTAATAACGAGTTGGATTCAAACTTCATAATCAACCTAGGCCTGTTCTGTTCTGTTGATACCCACACGGTCCTTCGCCTAGGCTGAACGGAAATAAAACAAAAGCCACGACTAAAGCAAATCGTACCGCTTCCCTCAACTCCCTGATAAATTCCATCACCAAATTATCTGAACCAACATTCAACGCTGCAACCCAGAGCGTACTCCTGCTGCCGAAAGGAGATGAAACGCTGAGGCCCGTCACATGAGCATCCGTCACTCACCCTATCCCTTCGTTCTCAAGGACGCCCATAATCCACAATACTACGGTGGGGCTTGTGGCTATTGTGGGGGCGGCTGCTGCTGCGACTCGACCATACCGATGCCTCCCTCTTTCCACCTCTGAAACTCGTCCTTGGCTGCCTGGACTTCCTCATGGCTCAGGCCCTTCATCCAGGAGTTATTTGTCACAAACTTCTCCTTGAGGCGTTCATCGCGCAGCTCTCTCTGGAACGCCTGCTTCTCCTCGTGGAAAACCTTGTCCTCTTCCGAGTCGAAGGTGGTGGTGTTGTAGATGAACCATTCCGAAGTGAACTTTTCGAACACCATCTTGGACGAATTGAGGCAAATCCTAATCACCAGGCCCTCGTCATATGCAAGTGGCTTGGGTTTATAATCATCTTCGGAGATACCCTCTGTCGCCGCGGCGTGGTTGCGGGAGAGGACTACCCTCTGGAGTTGCTTTTTATCTACTCCTTCCGTGGGCTCTTGACGCATGTAAGAAGAGATATAGTACTGCCATTGCTGAATGCGCTCCATCTCGTCCATGTAGAAGGTGGTGTCTTCCTTTTTCAGCCAGCGCACGGAAGCTTCCTTCTTGCCCGGATACTGATGACAGATTAGTATTTGTTACGTTCAACTTTCTCAAGATAGATACTTACCCAGCAGATGACGAACATATCGGCATCTTTGATGCACTTCTCCGCAAATTTACGAGCGCTGATCTCGTTCTGGAAGCTGGTAGTCTCCTGCTGACGACTCTCCAGGTATGCTCTAACGAGCTCCTTGGTCTTCTCGCCCTTGGCGTCTGGGTTGTTGCAGGCAAGACCAATGCGACAAAGTGTCTTGAGCAGATCTTGGATCGTGTAAATTGTCCATCCCTTGCGAAGATAGTAGTGCCGGAGCACGTCTTGATACCGGCTCTCGTCAATCTCGCCGTTGATGAAATCCTCAATCAGCTCGACGGTACGAGGCCAGAATGTCTCCGGGTTCTTGTCGTCGAAGTAGTGCAGGCCTGGGTTGACCATGCCAAGGATCTTTGCGGGCTTAACAGCAGTCTCCCGGCGGATCTCCTCAAGGACGCTGTCTTTGCTGGCCTTGACCTCCTCGAGGCGCTTGTACAGCGTCTGGAAAACAGTGAAGAACACATACATGTTCTGGTTGCAGTAGAAGTTGTACCAGGCACGAACAAAGGGTGCATCTGCCTTCAGTTCACCATCGACATCAACAAGTCCATCAGGCTTGCCATCCTTGGTATTCTCCAAGACGATGGGACCAATCGTGGGCAACCAGCGGTCATTCGAGACCTCCGGGACAGCCCGATCATCTGGCGCATCGGGCATCTCCTCCTCATTAGCAGACCCGACATCCGGTGTCGTCTCCTTGCTTCCTGTTGCTGCGCTATCTTCCTTTTGGCCCCGGCTACGACTACCATTACGGCCCGGATCAAGGACGCCGCGAAGTAGGTCGGATTTTTTACCGCGTCGCGTCCTGCCATTGGTGAGCTCAGCGGGCGCCGAGTCTTCTTCATCCTCTTCTCCAGAATCTTGGTCGATATCAGCAAGTCTTTCTTGTACCTTCTCTTCTGGAAGGTCAAAGAATGCCGGGATGAACGTTTCAAAGAACTCCAATATACGTCTCCTCTCCAGAGCGTTGTGCTGGCCACCCACATTCGCATAAATGACCATGAAACGAAGGAGGTCAAGGAGAAGATCCTGATCTTGGAACCCATACAAGAATTGGTAACGAGGTATCTTTGATTTAGTCGTTCGCAGTCGGCGTTGTTCTTCGTGCTTGGTCTTGATAACATCGACCAGATGCTTTGCGGAAAGATTGCGTTTGTCATTCGTCTTCACCTGAATGCCCATGTGGTCCAGGCTCTTGAGATGCATCGTTTCGGTTTGGCTCTGCCAAACTTTTTCCCATTCGCGCTATTTATTGGGTTAGCAGACACATAGTAACAGCGAATCATAGGTCAGGGGAATGGTCATGCGTACCTGGGTGAACCTCCACTCTTCATCTTTTTGTTTGAGACGAGCCATCACGATGGGCACAACAGCGAAAGGGTTCTTAAACATTTCGTTGGCGACTTCACAACCCTTCTCTGGCCCGTAGATCTTCTTCAATACTCGCTTGTAGATCGAAGTACTCTGCCCACCAAGACCTGCAGGCATCTTGAAGTGTGCTCGCTCCGCGGGGGTAAGCGTAAGCATTTGTTGGGCGATCGGCTCCAGGAGCTGGATGCACTTTTGGTTGGCTTCGATGTAGAAGTCGTAGTCATGTCGCTCCTCTTCGATACGATGGAGTCCCTCTTCGTAACCGTTCTTGCGATGCGCAACGAAGCCCGAATCTTCCGAAGCCCATGTCGGATGTGAGGCCCAACCATCGTTGAGTACCGAATTGCACAGCTCGTCGCGACCGCTACAAGGACGGAGACGTTCCTGTAATCCCATGATAGTTAGCGCGCCAGGAAAGAAATAGTGCTATTTTTCGGAAGAGGCACTTACCCGCCTAGGGAGAAGGCGATAGCTGGGACCGAAACCGCGGCAGTTGCTCAAAGAAACCTTGCCTGGCGGTGGTTCAGGGCGGTTCTCAACTACCTCTTCCGTGCCGGTGTGCCTTAGCATGTTCCTAAGGGTATTCAGCAATTCGGGGTTGCCACCCATGAAGTGATTTGCCTTGTAGATCAACACGTCCTTTTCGATCAGGTCAAGATTCCACAGGTTGATGAGTTTCATAAACTCGCCCATCGCAGTCCTGTTGCCGATGTGCTTCTTAACCCTCTCGAAGAATTGTACATCATCTTGGCCGGAGGTCGAAAGCGGGATCGGACCAAGCGGTTCCGGCATGACAGGAGTTAAAGTAGGTTCGATAAAGTTGCCATCACCGACGACGGGCTTGTGTGATAATTTGGCTCGCTTGTTGGTGGGTGCCGCTGGCTGAATGGTTGACCGTAAACTCGAGACGGGCGGCTGCTCGGATGCAGGAGGTGCGGTAGTGGGAACGGCCTTCTCCACACGGGCACGCTTCTTGCTCTCCTTGCTGGCGCTCGGCGGAGGCGCAAAGTTGCCGACCGGTGGCATTTTAGGCTGTTGATCACGAGCAGGAAGGCCTGGTTGAGGAGTTGGCGTCGTGACAGCCATCGCCGCGCTGTCTTCCGGGCGCTGCTGGCCGGCCGGTCGCGTTTGCGCGGCCGATTCGGGAAGAAATTGCTTAAAATCTTCGAGCAGGTCGGGCGCCGCGTGAAACAGAGTGGTCACTTGAGAGTAGACGTCTTGAATAGGTTTTTGTTCGCGCTGGTATGTTTGCAAGATTTCGAGAAATTGCTTATAGATTTCGGGTTTGTCCTGGAAACGGTTCTTGAAAAGAGTCAGTTCGAGTCCGTACTCAAGTTCCATGGCAAGTTCAGACGATCAAGTCTCCACAAGTACTTCCCAGCCCCATCCTTGCCACGAAAACCGCTCCCACTTATGTCGCTGCTGGCCAACGGGAATGCACTCACTTTGATCTTGTTAACATAGCTAATTGCATGATTAAACTCAACTGGCCCCCGTTTTTCAATGATTGCTTGATGAGCCACGCTGCCGTTTGAGTTGGGCTGGCCGGCCACCGTTGGTGTGGGCGTGTGCGCATTTCTAGGCACTGGCCCAGCATGGGTGCCAGCAGCCCCGTTCTGGCCGGCTGGGACGGATCTCTGCTGAACCGGACTGGTATTCTCGAAGGGTGCATTCTGGTTAGGTCCAGAAAATCCAGCAGGGCCATTTTGTGCAGGCACGCTATACGCCACCTCGGGGCTCTCAATGCTGTGCTGCACAGTAGATGGCGGCCAATTCCCTGGTCGTGCACTTAGGAAGGCCTGACCGGAACCTGATGTTGATTGTGCAGGTTCGAGTTGTGGCGCGCGACTTCCACCGATCGAGAACGAGGTGGAGCCTTGAGGTGTCGTAACGCGAATACTGTTCGGGTTGTTCTCCAAGCCGCACTCAATGCGGTAGCCGGGTGGCAGGAATGTATTAAAGCCCTGGATCAGGTTTGGATGGCCCGCGAATAGCTCGGAAACTCTTGTGATAACTCCAGGAGTGTTTATGCTGCTTCCGGTTAGCCTGCTTCTAGAGGAGACTGTCGAACACGGAGGGCCAACATACGTTTGGCTCTTGAAATCCTTCATGATGTCCAAGAACTTGTTGTATACATCTGGTTGCTCATGAAACTGGACCTTGACCTGATCGAGATAGCTCAAAGCGTCCTGTGTCGAGAATACCGTTAGCATTCACTGGCGATTGAATTCGCACCCTGCCGACCAACCAGATGATTTTACGTACGTTAAGAATCGGCTGTTGACCTTGGGGCATCCCACTGGGGCCAGAAGGCATGGGGTGGCCAGCGCCCATGTTGGAGCCAAAGGGCAATTGTTGCATGCCACGCACACCGTCCTGCTGTAACCCCCGACCGTTCTCCTGCTGGAGAGGACCGCCAAAGAGAGACGTCGGTCCGCCCGACCCTCCTAAAGGATTATTTGGGCCGCCGGGGCCGTGAGACATTGGGGCGAACATTTGATGTTGGGTTGTCGGCGCCGCGCCAGGCCCGCCGTGTGGAGGAGGCCGACCGGATTCATGTTGTAGTTGCGGGCCGAAAGCGGGAGCAGGTCCTGTTGGTGCGCCAATGGGCATGGAAGGAGCAGAGCCTCCGTGATTGGCAAGTAAGCCGCCGGGGCTGTGAATGGTAGTTGCAACTCTGGAGGCGACCGGTTGGTGGATGGGGATCGAGCCAGCACTGCTATGGTGAGGGGTGGTGGCGGGTTGATAGGGTTCCCGGTGCTGACGTTCGGCGTCGTCGCGGTCACGTTCTCGCTCGCGTTCGCGGGTCTGTTCGCGGTCCCTCTCTCGTCGTGCTAGTTCTTCCTGTTGAATGGCGCGATGTCTTTGCTCCTCGAGTTCGCGGTCACGGTCGCGATCAAAGGGGCCACCGCCATGCAAAGGCTGGGGCTGGGAGTTCATCGTGGTTGGACTGTTCGAAGGCTCTGGGGGATCGGCGTCAGTTGCAATGCCAACGACGCGAGATGCAAGTATTTGTTAGGGGTGATGCAGGAATGAGCTGAATGTGACCGGAGCGCTGGTGGGGGGTTTGGAGAGGAGCAAGTTTTGGTTGCGTGATGAAGTCAAAGGTGGTGAAAGGATGGCAAGGCTTAGAAGCGGGAGTGCGCTGCGGCAGGCGCTTCGTTGCTTGCCTGACATCGGCCTCACCTAGTTCGGCGAGGCGGGAGCCCTAGGAGCTCTGTCAGGGGACCAGGCAGGGCAGGGCAAAAGCTGGGCTGGAAGAACACGAAGAAGGGGGGGGGGGGAGGAGCTTGGCGCGTACAGCTGCGACAGGTGTCATAGAACCTCTCTGCGACCATCGATGGACAATGTCCTCTGGATTTCGAATGCTCAAGAGGATCCCGACTGAACTTGGATTTTGGTACGGCTGTCGACAACCAGGGCTTGGTTCAGTGGAGGATTTTAGCGACCAAGTAGATGTCGGAAATCAAACGTAGCAAGCAGTGTTGTGTCGCAAGACCGGCAACCGGGGCGCAGATCTCTTTCCGCCTTTCCAACTGATAGCGATAAGGCGGCAAAATGTCGCGAAGCCTGATTCCTGCAAATCAAAACCCAGGAAATTCACTCTTCTACTACTCCTGACCCACCAAGGCTTCTTATCGTCCGTACTCACCCCTTACGTATCTATTTTATCGCCGATGGAGCCCGAACATGACACAAGGCGCGCATTTCAAGAACCGGTGACGGGATTTGGCTGTTTGAATCGGATATCTCTTTACGAGGCCAAACGGTTGACCAAGTTCGAAGTCCATCACGCAGAAACCTCAGAAAGAAAAATCAATTTGTTTTTCAGGCTCGTGTTCTACCGCATGGACGTCGTTTGGGCCGATTTCAGCGCCGTCAACGTGCGGTGTCATCATCATTCCTGTCATATGCGGTGGGTCCTGTTCGAAGACTTGCCAACGGCTACCGCCTACCATAACCGTTAGGTAGGGTGACCAGCAGAGGCATCAGTTCTCAGACAGCCGGACTACACTAAAATCCACAAGCATTCACCCCGATACCTCGTTTTCGCGAGCTTTATTGCAAGACCGGATGTCCTCCTGTTCAATTGTTGTCCCTATTATTACTGAAAACCAAGATATTCATTGCTTGCTATGTGACCGAGTCAAGCTCATCATCCGACTTCCCACCGGTTGATGATATTCCACGGTTCAGTACCATGCCCTGATTCAGACCCGAAAGCTTCCTTCGTCCTAACCTCCGTCGTCAACTCCTTTCAGGAGGCATTCCGAACGCCATTCAAGATCCACTGTCCGATCCACGTCTCAAGGTCAGTATTTCCGCGACAAACAAACTCCGGGCAAGAAAATGCCCAGTGGGGACAATTGCAGTGGACGCAAGATAATGAACCGAGTGGACTTACCACTTCGCCATTGACGACACTGCTACCTACACTAAGAACCTCAATGTCTCCAGGTTGGATCTGCGGTGACCATAGTGTCAGTATAACCATATGAGGTCGAGGAGGCTGTGCTGTGGTTTCTTTTTTGTCCTCTTACACGTTTCACACCGTCTTTCTCCTCCCACCAGACCTCCGTATCACCGCCCACCGGCTTGATCTTCTCCCCCGCCGGCCATGGGCTGGTTGGGATCAAATGAGCCTCGACAAACCTGCGCAGGTTGCGCTGCGCTCTCCCCTGTCCATCCTCGCCTTCATATGCATTTGCGCCCAAAGCGCTGTAGTCTCTCGGGTCTTCCCATGGCTTCCGTGGAAGGCTTTCTATCGCCGAGTTGAGCGGCGCGAGGACAGTCGTATTCCTGGCCGGATCGTCTAGACGCTGCGATGGAGACTCGATGCTCCTAAGGAATCTATCATGTTTTGAAGTGTTAGCTAGTCCCCGTACGACCAGAGTCGACAGCGCTTTTTTCACTTAAAGACAAGGAATGCGACTCACCCTGCAAAAAGATTTATGCTCTTATCTCGACCCATAACATCCGAAAGCATGACAGAGCTGCCACCCCCTGCGTTCGCGGGGCCGTCTGCTTGGGGCGCTCCGGAAGGCGGCATGGCTGGGCCGAGTTCTCCGGCAGGCTTTGCGAGTGGTATTTGCGCGTGGTTGACCGACTGCGACTGTGGTTGTTGCTGGATATCAGAAGCGGTTCGATGCAGAGGATCAAAGAGTTGAGCGAAGGCGACTGCTGCAGTTGGCGCAAGGACGAGGTAAGGAGTGAACCGCATAGCTGTCACACCAATTAATACTCGAGTGCTGAGGTCTCTTCTCTATGGTACGATCCGACGGTGCTCGATCACCTGCACAGAGATGTACACTAGGCGTACGTATCGCATCCCACATTGTGGCAGAAAGCGAAACGAATAGTAGCGAGCGAGCCATTGGATTGGATGTCGGCGATGACGTACGTGCGAACTGGGGCGGGGAAGCAGTCAATCAAAAGTAAGTGATTGCGGCGCTGCCATTGTGTACTTCACATTTCATGATGTCCGCGGACTCTGAATCGAAGTTGATCAAGTATTCTAATATAATCAATTCCACAAGTGTTGGAAATGTGTTAGGTCTCGTTGACATGGCTCGGTTAGAAATTGCTTCGCCTGACATGTTTTGGGTCCACCATGAAGTTGATTTAAAGCTCATATAGGCGGGACAGTTTGCTATAACACTCATTGACATTGGGCGGTGCGCAGGCTGCATGCAACACGCAACAGGTAGAACATATACTCACTCATCAGACTACAGTTTGTTTCGTGACAGTTGGGCATTCATAAACAGCACCCAACATCGTCAACAGAGCATAGATCTACCGATCACACTGTTAGTCTTCAAACCGGAGAATATCACATGCCACAGGAAAGCACAGAGTCAACAGGACTACACCGGCGCGACGTTGCCCGACCTGGAGCCAGACATTGGACGTTTCATCATCTGACAAGCGTTGATGGCTGAACCGAGCATGGCAGCCAGGGTCATGTATCAGGGACCCGGAGATGCTGCCCTGACCGATCTCAGAGTTCGGTTCAATGTCTGCACAGGTTGCGAGATGCATTTGATCGCATCTGATGATCCTGTTTTTGGTAGTGGACACCGTTTGGAGACGAAGCATTGAGCCAACCAAAGCTTTTCAAAATGGTTCATTGGAACGGAATCTCGAGAATGCTGGGGTTTTGGTTGCGACGTTGCGCCGAATTTCACATGCCTTCAAAGAGTGGGCACCTCCAACCGTCACACACACGAGAAGCGGCAACCGCCCGCCTTCGTTGATTGGGGGGAGATGGGGAGCTATGATCTGGCTTGGGCCGCTTGGCCGGCTCGTGACTCTGTGGGGAATCCTGGGGGTTTAAAGCCCGGATGGGCGGGGGGATTAGGCCGGTTCCATTGGGGAATGAGAGAACGGGGAGAGAGCGAGGATCAACCAGGTAACCAAAGGCGATTTCTACACACTGCGGGTTGTGAACGAAGTGTACCATGTACATAGTTAGCAGCTTGGCATTTTGCCAAGATGTGTGGGTGAGTGGAAATGGAAACCCAGTGGGGGAATTCTGGACATCGTGGCATCGTGTGCATCAGCTTCGGCATACATCAGTCAAAGAAAAAAAAAGAAGCTTCTCTCCGAAAGCAATTTCACATAACTTCGGTGAAGAGCCTCGATATATCTTAACAGGAGTGAGAGTTGGCTGGAGCCTCCTGTTTTGCATCTTGAACCCCACAGTGGGTGAGAGGTCTGTACCTGTTTGCTGCGTGATGTTAGGTATGTACTTGCCTATTCCTTACAGTAGTTGTCCGCTTTGGGGTCTCTTTGTCAGCAAGCCTCGGCACATTTGCTGGACGGCAAGTTGCGCGCAGTCCACCACGTCCACTCACTTTGTCCTCGGCTAGAAACCGGCAGCGAGATCCAAAGTACACAAGCACACAAGGCCTTTGGATGTCATGATGCTGTAAGCCGTCATCTCTTGTTCTTCCTTTGTCTCAACAATGTTCTCGATCAACGGCTCCTTTGTGTCGCTTGAACTGGCAACGGATTCCAATTTGCGGTGGGGAAACAGAGCGAAAATGTTTTGACAGCTTTTCACCTTGTTTCGGATATTGTCTGGCTCACGTAGATTGCAAAGAGGAGAGGAGTAGTACCTACCTCTAGGTAACTCCTCACGTTGGAGAAAAGATGGAGATGGGATCCCCATTAGGTAGGGACAGGATCAATAATGCTGTTATGGGGCGACACTCACGCTGCCAGCTGCTCGCTGGACGTCGCCCGTGTTTGCACTGTTCCCAGTACCAGTACTAACCCCTGTCGTTTCGTTGAGAGCCCACCCACGCTCGACCTCGGCTCACGAATAAGGGTGTTAGGAATACCAACCAACACAACCCGGCCCCGGTTGTTCCATTCGTTGCTTAGCAGTAGTGTCCGTGGCTCGGAAGGTCCCAGGTCGACCGACGCTCCCTCACAACGAACCAGATAATAACCAGGCCTGCGTTCCTGTCGCTTGCAAATCTCTTCTCCTTTACCTACCTTGACCTGTATCCCTCTTTCCCTCTTTCATCCTCATTCACTTCAGGTTTGTTTGTCTTCCTGTTCCTGTGAGGTACACATCATATTCATAATGGCGCCTAGAGTTATTGTTGTTGGCGGCGGCCGTAAGTTAACATTCCCACCTGAGCACTGCGCCCTACCCCGCGCGCGGGCCACGACATCCGTCATTCGACATCTGGCGGTGTCATGTCGTTCATGGACATCTTGTTGACAATGTGTTTCTCATGCAGTGTCCGGTCTGAGTGCTGCTCACACCATCTATCTCGCCGGTGGTAACGTCGTTGTCCTCGACAAGCAGGGTTTCTTCGGCGGCAACTCGACCAAGGCCACTTCCGGCATCAACGGTGCCCTCACCAGGACACAGGTTGAGCTCGGCATCCAGGACTCCGTCAAGCAGTTCTACGATGATACCCTTAAGTCTGCCCGTGACAAGGCCAGGCCCGACCTCATCAAGGTCCTCACCTATAAGTCCGCTGCCGCCGTTGAGTGGCTTCAGGATGTCTTCAAGCTCGACCTTACTCTCGTTTCCCGTCTCGGGTAGGTGACCCCTTAATGCGGAATGCTCTGTCAAGAGTAATACGGCTAACTCTGCCTCCAGCGGCCACTCCCAGCCCCGTACTCACCGTGGGCACGATGCCAAGTTCCCCGGTATGGCCATCACCTATGCTCTCATGCAGCGCCTTGAGGAGCTTGCCGAGACCGAGCCCGAGCGCGTCCAGATCATCAAGAAGGCTCGCGTTACCAGCCTCAACAAGGAGGGCAACAAGGTCACCGGTGTCAAGTACGAGGTCAACGGCGAGACCCAGTCCCTCGATGGCCCTGTCGTCCTCGCCACTGGTGGGTACGCCGCAGATTTCACTGAGGACTCCCTTCTGAAGAAACACCGCCCCGATGTCTACGGCCTTGCCACCACCAACGGCACCCACGCCACTGGTGACGGCCAGAAGATGGTCATGGCCATTGGCGGTAATGGCATCGACATGGACAAAGTTCAGGTCCACCCCACAGGTCTCGTCGACCCCAAGGACCCCAACTCAAAGTGGAAGTTCCTTGCCGCTGAGGCCCTTCGTGGTGAGGGTGGTATCCTCCTCAATGGCGATGGCGACCGCTTCTGCGACGAGCTCGGCCACCGTGACTACGTCTCCGGCATGATCCACAAGGAGAAGGATAAGGGCAAGTACCCCGTCCGCCTTGTCCTCAACTCCAAGGCTTCCAAGACCCTTGACTTCCACACCCGCCACTACTCTGGTCGTGGTTTGATGAAGAAAATGACCGGCCAAGAGCTCGCGAAGGAGATCGGCTGCACTCCTGAGCACCTCCAGAAGACCTTCCAGACCTACAACGCCATCGCTGAGGGTAAGCAGAAGGATCCTTGGGGCAAGAAGTTCTTCCATAACTTGCCCGTCGATATCAACGACGACTTCCATGTCTCCATCATGGAGCCTGTCCTCCACTTCACCATGGGTGGTATCGAGATCAACGACAAGGCCCAGGTTCTCAACTCTGAGCAGAAGCCCTTCGAGGGTCTCTACGCCTGCGGTGAGCTTGCCGGTGGTGTTCACGGTGCCAACCGTCTCGGTGGTTCTTCCCTCCTTGGCTGCGTTGTTTACGGCCGTGTCGCCGGTGACTCTGCCAGCAACTACCTCTTCCAGGAGGCTCTCAAGGGCAACGCTGGCGCTGCCCGTCTTGGTCAGATTGCCCTCCACATCGACCCCTCGCAGCCTGGCAAGATTTCCGTCCAGTGGGGCGGTGAGTCCGGTGCTCAGGCCACTGCCAACACCGAGGCCCCTAAGAAGGACACTGCCGCCGCTGCCCCCAAAAAGGAAAATCCCAAGGCTTTCACCATCCCCGACAAGGAGTACACCATGGAGGAGGTTGCCAAGCATAACAAGAAGGAGGACCTCTGGGTTGTCGTCAAGGGTGTCGTCCTTGACCTCACCAACTGGCTTGAGGAACACCCCGGTGGTGTCCAAGCTCTTCTGAACTTCATGGGTCGTGATGCCACCGAGGAGTTCGAGATGCTCCATGACGATGAGGTCATTCCCAAGTACGCCCCTGAGCAGGTCATCGGCCGCGTCAAGGGTCAGAAGGTTACTCTCGAGGTTTGAAATGATTTTCGCGAAGTTGCCTGTCCAAGAATTGCTTATACCAGCCCTACTTGGACAGGTTCCGAGAAGGAATAACAACACCGGAGTTGAAATGGAATGCTGGGTTTTGGTTAGTCTCGGCGGTTGTGTAAAACTCAATTTGCCAGGGATATGCATCTTTATCTTCACTAGCGGTTTGGAATACATGCTGGCGCTACATGTTTGTACTTTTATGGGTAGTCTTTTTCTTTAATGTCATGATGATAGCCATGGATTTGCTTTGGAGCAGAAAGGGAGATGAATAAAGAGACAAGAAGTTCAGGCTTTACACGTTCGTTCAACTCTGTGGTTTTAAGTCCGCCGGTGTGCTGGCTTGGGCTATCTTGAAGATCACGCTGAGCGGTTACTTCTTAGACATTGTGGAGAATATACCTGCAAGGTCTAGATCAGCCCAGCTCGTTCCTGTCTCGGATCAAGGCTCGGTACGTGCCCCTAGTTCTCTCTCGTGTCTCTTTTTGGCCTAGCTGTCTAGTCGATAAGGTATTCGACAAAACAAAGAGCCTTTGGCATCTTGATCAGAGGAGTGAGGAGTATGTTGACACATACATGGAACATCCGCATTGGAGAAAGTTTACCTTTCGTTGGCTTTGATTTAGCTAAAAATACATATGTTGTAGCAAGCACCTTACGTTTCTGGCGCTCTGTGAAAAGTCTTTTAGTCCGAGACCATCCACGAGGTATGTCTTTGGCTTGAGACATTGACGTTTCTAATGTTCCGAGATCCAAGTACAAAAATGGAAACGATCGTAAATGAACAGTGAGGCAATTTGGGTCCGGATACACACAAGACTAGAGCTTTGTACAAAAACCTTGTGTCGTTGTTATAGGCTGCCTCCACTGAGTTATCACGAAGTGGGTGAAGCATGGCAAGTGTAACTAACGACTGGATAGAGGGAGCTGGTTCAATATCGGTAGTTATGTGGTTTGTATATTTTAACATGGAATGGTTTTGGTTCTCTTTTAAGTTAAGGCAATCGTTTAGAGTTGAGATGTCAAAGCATTGAGATGAGGAACAAAAGGCTCCCTTAGAGAACGAATTTGCTACGACAGCGATGTGTATAGATGAAGAGTCCAGATATTGAAGCGAGGTTTGATAAGATGTTGTTGGTTAACTAGTTATCAGTCGGCTATGGTCTTCCTCATATGAAAATGAAGACCTCAAGCCAGGAGGAACCAGTAACTCCATGACAACAGTGACGGCGTGTGCGATATTTTTTTCTGCTTGCAAGCGAGTCCAGGAATTCTTGCTGTAGTATGTGCCTCGCTCAAGTGTACGCATCTGGTAGAATATTTACAGGATATGTGCTTTCCATCCATGTCCAAGTATAGCATACTGTCTTCCCACTCACGCCGCTCGTGGCTAAGGATGAGTAATCAACACACAACGTTTTTCCCTTGAGTATTCTGTAATAAGCTGTAAATAATCACGCGTGGCCCGTAAATCACACTTGATTATTCTGTGGTCAGCCAATAGTTTGTCTCGGTAGTATGGCTTGGGAGTGAGGGAGATAAGTTGTACGACTCTGCTAGATTGAACTCATTTCTAGCTTGCCACATTGTATATACTTGAAGCGTCTCTGTGTCGAGCTTTTGGACATCTTATGTGTACTGGTAGCTCTTTGATTCATATAGTAGACGACTTAGTCCACGGTGAACGTTCGGCGTCTCGTTACCACAGCGAGATGGGTAGTGGAAGGAAGAGAAAAACTTCACACATGTGGAGTGATGATTCTTACGACATGAATAGAAGACCTAAAAACCACGAATAAGAAGAAGCATATAGGCACCTAAAGGGAGGCGGAAGAACAAAGGCGTCTGCCAGGGTGCGCAGGTAGAATGACAATATGCGTCTTCGCATGCTGCTTGGGCAGTGGAATCCAGGTGCACTTGACGGCACCACCTCAGGTTTGACATAGTAACATGATTCTTACACGTTGTCTTTAGTCTAAGATAGATATCGAGCTAACATGTCTTGTCACGGTCTGGAGATGAATATGGTGTTGAATGACGCTGCTTCGTTCGTTGTCTCTCCGTAAGGCAGGATCATGCTGTGCCACGGGGAAGTTCCCAAGCGCAAGGAGCGAAGACTGGACGTTGGATTATAGGTATATGAGGTAATGGTCCAATTTTCAGCCACTCCGTCCACCGAGATATATCTTGACACGACTAGTGGAATACCTGGATCTCCTCACACTCGGATATGACGCCTCCGTACTTGAGGAGAAGAGTGTCTTTGCTGAAAGCCATCAAGACATGGATAAGCCATGGAATCATAGACTGTTGAAGTTCCTTACGAACATTCCGGAAATGTCTTCTAGATGCGCTAGTGGAACACTTGTTAGCCATTGATTTCAATCGCCAGTGTTGCCATTCGGCAGCTCAGAAGCACCACTAGGCGGCAAGTAAGATTTCCTGGAAGTAGTGCCACGGGGTACAAATGTAGGCATCGTTACCTTGGCGAGTTTGTTCATGACAATTGACTTTTCCGGAGTAACCAAGTCTTCGCCTATGAGAAGCATCCAAGGTAGATGTCCCTGAATGGTGTTCTTTCATGGGGTAGATATGTAGAAGCGTCGAAACCATCCATGATGCCTCTTTAGCCCCCCACAATGCTATGAAACTAAGAAGCTGGAGACAAATCCAGGGGCACTTGGCCTGGGGCCTTTCCCCACGGCACGAAACAGCGACGAATGTCTGATGGTTCGAATGACGGGAGATACCGTAACAAGGATTTTTGGGTTATTTGCGTGTCAGACACGTCTCTGGCGTGGTATTGGACAGCGGGTTTGCCGTTTCTTGACGTGATCCTTCCAGCACTTCACGATACAGGTGTGCCCCAGTTACCTAACACCAACAAGCGAATAATTTCTGCGCCATCCAGCAAATAGCAACGTGGGCTGTCGAGCTCAGGGAGCGTCTCATGGTACTGTTACAGGACAGCTGCGGAGATTGACAAATACTTTTGGGTCAGCACAGTGTCTGCAAGGTCATGAGAAATCTAGAAAACCAAGAACATGTACTGCGTATAACTGTCGTTGCAATGCAAGACAGGCTCCAACAGTGTAGAAGCATCCATCTCGCTGGGCTCGGTTTATGATTGTCTGCCACTTCTGCTGAAACTTCAACGTCGCTTGCGTCGATCATGCATGATGCTATTCCCGCGCTTGAAGCTGTCTGGTGCAAACCAAGAGGACTATGACAAAAATCGCGTCTCAAAGGGAATTGACTGTCATGATCGAACATATTTCGAATTGTTCTAGTCACGGCATCACGAACTGAAGTGAGAGGCGTGCGAATAGCCGAGCGTCCTGCAGGTCACCGGGGTCAGCCGGAGCATGTGGCACTAGTGTAGCATCTCAATGGGAACTAGTCTGGGGATGTCAAAGAACCTCAGAAGGCTTTCGGGATGAACGAGGCAAAGTGACAAGAAGAGTGGATGGAGACGCGCAGGCATTTTGGTGGGCCTCTGGGGAAGGTGCCCTGGGTGCTTACTATCGGATGTAGTGTAGGTGCGGTTCCTGTGCGTGATGCCCTGTTCATCCCATCGCAACCCATCTGGATCGCATCCCATCCCATAGGCATGGTCTTGAGTGATGTCGTCCCATGGCAAGACGCACTCGTGGCACTGGATACATACCTATGGCGGTACTCTCTTCGGCTCATCATGGATATCCCCTCCAAAACGGAAAACTTCCACTTTACAGCCCCAGAATTTGCCAGGCCTGCAGGCGGCGTGCGGCCAGGCAATTGCAGGCTTAAAGGAGGCCAAACTGAGCACGGGCTTATCGGTGTCTGGGCTCTGGGGTAGGCCGGGACAGACCGACCAATCAGAGCGCGCCCCTCCCGTGCTGAGAGGAACTGTGATCTCGAAGCGTCCAGTCCGCCTAGCCATCCATTGGATCCAGTCACCCACCCCGTCCACCCATCATCCACCCCGGGCCATCCACACTGGCTGCCAGGACTCCATCCTCGCTCCTACCTTTCTTCTCTCTGGCTTCAGTTTTGCTGCGTCCTGTCGTCTTGCTACCTTTCTGGCCCAGTTCGTTGCGCAAACCCAGACGCGGACACGGACAGTAAAGACACCAGCCAGGCCTCGCGACCCGGCTCTCTGTCGGACGGGGACTGTCGCTGTCATCCCATAGCCAAAAGTAATAAACCACAAACAACTTTACCCAAGCATACAGCCTACAGTCAAGATCTCCAGTCGAGAACCACAGTCGACACCCTACACAGAGCTCTGTGGTTCCCGCCCTCGACAGCCTCAAGTGCCACTAGTGACCCGGCCACTACCACCTCCTCTACTACCGTCGCTTCGCTACGGGGACCCCAAGACATCGATCCCCATACAAATGGTTCAACAACCGTCCAGCCTCATCACCGTCAGTCCGCGACAAACCCAGCGGCAACGACACTAAACCCTGGCCTGACTGCCCTCGACCTTTTGCGCCATGGCGATCTTCGCCATGGGCTGGCAGAAGCCCGACAATGTCGCTGGCTCATCTGCCCCAGCGATCATGGTCGGCCTGTTTGTCGCCACAGGCGGCTTACTCCTTGGCTATGACACTGGGTAAGCCTCTCTTCTGAATGCACTCGGGCGCGGCGAGCGCGTCGATGCGACGGATATGCCATGGGGCATGCAATGGCATCTGCGATGGATACTGGCTTGATGCTGCGTTGTCGCAGACCAGACGACCAGACTCTCGAGATAACATCAAACTAAAGTGCTAACTATGCACCTCTGGCTTGTAGAACCATCAACGGCATCCTTGCCATGCAATCGTTCAAAGACCACTTTTCGACCGGCTACATCGACGGCAACGGACAGCCTGGCATATACCCAAAGGAGAGTGCGTTAATCGTTGCCATGCTCAGCGCCGGAACCGCCATCGGAGCCTTACTCGCTGCGCCTCTCGGAGATCACTATGGACGTCGCCGGTCCCTTATTGGCGCCATCGGAATTTTCGTAATCGGCGCCATCCTGCAGGTTTGTGCATATAACATCGATCTGTTGGTGGCAGGAAGGTGTGTACTTTTACCCCTAGGCTTTGCTTGGCTCATTTTTGAACTAACGTGGACAATATCAGGACGGTTGCCGGTGTTGGTATCGGCATTGTCTCAGTGCTTGTCCCCTTATATCAGTCCGAGATGGCACCCAAGTGGATTCGAGGAACACTGGTGTGCACCTACCAACTCTCCATCACCATGGGGCTTCTTGCCGCTGCCGTGGTCAACATCCTCACATACAAATTGAAGACAGCTGCTGCCTACCGGGTACCAATAGGACTTCAGCTAACCTGGGCCTGCGTCTTGGCTCTGGGTTTGACCGTGTTACCCGAAACTCCTCGTTACCTCATCAAACGTGGAGACAAGAACGCCGCTGCGCTTTCTCTCAGTCGGCTGCGTCGACTGGACATTACTCACCCTGCCTTGGTCGAGGAGCTTGCCGAAATCGAAGCAAACCATCAATACGAGATGGCACTGGGTCCCGATTCTTACAAGGACATTCTCTTTGGCGAACCTCACCTTGGCCGTCGCACGTTCACAGGTTGCTGTCTGCAGATGCTACAACAGCTTACCGGCGTGAACTTTATCATGTACTATGGAACCACCTTTTTCAATAACGCTGGCGTCGGGAACCCCTTCAAGATCTCTCTCATTATGCAAGTGATCAACACAGCATCGACCATACCCGGATTGTTCGTGGTCGAATCATGGGGCCGGCGTCGGCTCCTGATGGTGGGCGCCATTGGCATGGCCATCTGTCAGCTGCTGATCGCTGCCTTCGCGACGGCCAGCGGCTCCAACAACCTATCAGCACAGAACAAGGTCCTCATTACCTTTGTTGCGATATACATCTTCTTCTTTGCTGCATCATGGGGCCCAGTTGTATGGGTCGTCACCTCCGAGATTTATCCGCTCAAGGTTAGAGCCAAATCCATGTCAATAACTACGGCTTCAAATTGGTTCCTCAATTTTGGCATCGCCTACGGCACCCCGTATATGCAAACGAACAGCGCAGCGAGCGACGAAAGCTCGATAGATCTCGGCTCTAAAGTGTTTTTCGTATGGGGCGCGTTTTGCATAGTAGCGGTCGGCTTTGTGTGGTGTATGGTTTACGAGACTAGCAAGATCAGTCTCGAACAAATTGATGAGATGTACGAGAGAGTTGACCATGCGTGGCACAGCAGGCGCTTCGAACCTAGTTGGAGTTTCCAGGAGATGCGAGACCTTGGCTTCTCCGATGGCGGCATACCGCCAACGCAGCAGCTGCAGCAGCAGCCGCAGCAGCAGCAACAACAACAATACCACCACCAACAACAACACCAACAACAGCAACAACAACACCAACTACAAGTTGACCTACAGCAATCGCAGTCACGCACTAGCAACTCCAGCACGTCTCAAACCGACACGGGCGGGAGCAATAACACCGGGGCGTCACAAGACGATAAACTTGTGGCATCCTTGGGCAACATCGATCTCAGCTATTGACGTTTTTTGTTTTGATTTTACGCTTATGGGTGGGGAAATCGCCGGTCACTTTTGGGCTACTATTTCCCTCGAGCTTTCTGGATATCAGCGACGGAGTTAGCGTGTTGGAGTTTGGAGCTTTTTTGGATTTGGGAAAAAAAAAAAACTTTTGGGTATCAACTCTTTGATCATCATGCTGAATATTTGTTTTTGATTTTGGGTGGCATTACCTAGGGGCGCTGTAGCTCTTGATCCCGCTTTGTTCCTTGCAGGCCATATCCTTGGGACATGGGCTTCGGATGACACCCATCGGATGCTTTACAGAATGTCTGTCTGCCCATTGTTGGTTATGGGCAAGTCAACCAGTGTACATGGTGCAGTTATCTGGGCGCTGATGAGGTTTTTGTGTCAAGGAATCAAAGACGATGGAGCTCTTCGTGGCGCGAGCTGGTTTTTATATCCATCACAGCGAACAACGACCCTCAAACGATGTGGCATCATGTTGATGGAAACGTGACACATCTATGCACATGTACCTCATTGTGCAATATAGACAGCCTGTGTCACAGACAAGCGGGATGTGCTTGATGAAGTTATGAGGCTACCCCGAACGGAATATGCAAGTAACCTTGCAGTGATGCTGGCGGGAAGGGCATCACGATTTTCTCTGGAGCAACCCGCCACGCTGCATTGTCTTCGTCTAAACGCCAACGGCACGAATGACCAGCGACTAACATCAGTACTACTAATACCTACATTTATTGAGGGAGGACGATGTAACATCAAAGGTTGAGTATCTAGGGGACAACAGAGTGGTCCTATGCTTGTGAAGGTTTGATACCATCCATATCTGCCCCGAGACGTCAATCGACTGATGCCGCCTGGGTTCAGCTCGTCTGATCTGGATCATCCGAACTCGATTCAAAGTTGGGAACGAAAAAACAGCCAGATCTGGAACTTCGTAATTTGTGATGCCTGGGATATCGGGTAGTACAGAGAAAGCCATTGCGTAGCCGTGAGGTGTTTAATAGGTCATTTGGGGCATCTCGTGGTCATTTCTTTTTCACTGGTCTTGCCTCACGGCTCGCATCGACTTAGTGACTTGATTGATCCTAGCTTGTATTATCTTCAATTCATTCGACTTATAACTCCTTTGACCGGAACTCTTCCATTTTTCTCTCATACTTCTCCGCCCCGAATAGCACTTTCTCAGTTCAGACAGCGACCATTTCAGCTTCACATCCTAACGCCGGGCATGTCGGCCGTACTTGTTCTCAACCAGACAACACCTCAGTAAAAGCGTTGTATACTTTCGCCTCTGCGGTCATCCTCGGCAACAACTACCGCCCCGGATATTTATTGCCTGGTTCCCCAAGACGTTGTTACCTTGCCAACTGCGGCGGCACATAAGTTTCGGTCCGACCAAGGCAGGTGCTCCGGGAGGCTGGTTTAGCTTTAACGAACTCCCGTTATTGATTGGTGCCCGCAAATCTGCGTGAACCAACGTCGATCAGGTCCGACCATGATGCGTCCGGGGAAGATTGGACAATCACAACTGGAGACAGCTACGACACCAGGATTGGCATGGATGACACAAATATACGGCTCGCAGTTGCGAGCGCAAGTGCAGCAGCAACCCCACGAAGCACATCCGAACTTGAACCCTACTGCCGTGCCTGTCGCCGGAAGCTACCTTAGGCACAGAGGTTGTGACATTTTCAAGGTAAGTCCCGCTTTCCTATCCCAGCCGGGAATCCGTAGATAGCATGATGAAAGGTACTTATTGAGCTCCCTCGCATGTTCACTTTCCAGCTCCGACCATTACATTTTCTTTCGCTTGGCTGAGCAGCAAGGGGTTGACCAACAACGTTGGGATAGCTACTCTACCAGTTTTGGACTCTTAATTACCCCCTCCCAGCAGCAGTCCTCCTCGCTCAGCTGCTCTTCGTCAACCCAGTCTACGCGGCCTCGAAGAGTAGACAGAACAACCTAAGCTCAGGAAAATTCGGCACACAACTAGTATCGAAATCCTTCCTCGACTTTGACGGAATTTACCAGCTCGAGGGCTCCTTCGGCAACAATCTACGAGCATCGACGTACCTGGGTATTTCCATATTTTTATATTGCCTGTTGGGCATTTTCTTCATATCCCAAGGTCGACGTGGGATACGACAAGTCTGGGGGACCGTCAATCCGGGTTTACTCGTCATGGCCGTCTTCACATCGGCTTCCTTCTTCCTTCTTGCGGCTCTTGTCCCTCAATGGACATCCGCTCAACATGTATCTGTGGTTGCAACGTCATCTGGACCTGGTGCGTTGAGCGGGACGGTGGCAGGGGATTCCCCTATGTTCACTTTCCCAACTTCAGCTGACATCGGACCAAATGTCTTACCTAACGTCTTCGACCCGCAAGCAGTTAATGTTCAAAACGTCTGTCCAGGATATACAGCTGCTAATGCACAAGAGACGGAGAAGGGACTCACGGCTGACTTGACCCTTGCTGGCCCTCCCTGCAATGTCTATGGCAACGACATCGAGCACCTGAAGCTTACCGTTGATTTTCAGGCGAACAATCGGATCAATGTCCAGATTCAACCTCGCTATACTGGTCCCGGTAATGAAACTTGGTTCATACTTCCTGAGGTGCTCGTGCCCCGACCAGAGGCCGAGCCTGATTCAAATGCGGCTGGAAGCAAGCTGGAAATCTCGTGGTCGAATGAGCCCACCTTCTCCTTCACAGTGAAGCGTAAGCAGACTGGAGATGTCTTGTTCACGACCGAGGGCCGTGTCCTTGTTTATGAGGATCAGTTCATCGAGTTCGGCTCCTCTTTACCCGAGAATTACAACCTGTATGGTCTCGGCGAAGTTATGCATGGCTTTAGACTGGGGAACAATCTGACACGTAAGTCTCTGAACATGAATGTGCATCGTGGATTGCATCTGACTAACACCATCTCCAGGCACGCTGTTCGCTGCGGATGTGGGCGACAACCTCGATGCCAACATCTACGGCAACCATCCGATCTATCTCGACACCAGATACTTCACCAAGGACGAGTCTGGAAAGTTAAGCTACGTTTCCGACCCGGCAGACAAGAATGCCAAATATGTTTCGTATACAAACGGTGTCTTCCTTCGAAATGCTCATGCACAGGAAGTGCTCCTCCGACCCGAAGGTATCACCTGGAGGACTCTCGGCGGAAGCATCGATTTGTACTTCTTTGAGGGACCTTTTGCTCAGGATATCATCAAGTCTTATCAGCTCAGTACCGTTGGTCTTCCTGCAATGCAGCAGTATTGGACTCTTGGCTTTCACCAATGTCGCTGGGGATACTCGAACTGGACAGTTGTGAAGGATGTCGTTGACAATTTCCGCAAGTTTGGCATCCCGCTGGAGACAATCTGGAGTGAGTGACCCAAGTCCTTCAGCATCAGAATTTTCCCCATCCATGCTTTTACTGACTTTTCAAAGCCGACATTGATTACATGAAGGGCTATCGTGACTTTGAAAACGACCCTGATCAGTTCAGCTACGAGGAAGGCGCCAAGTTCCTCGAGGAGCTTCACAAGAATCACCAGCACTACGTGCCGATTGTCGACTCGGCCATCTATGTTCCAAATCCTGACAAGCCAGAAGATGATTATGAACCTTACCACCGTGGACTCGAAGCTGATGCTTTCATCATGAACCCAGACGGTTCGCTCTATATCGGTGCAGTGTGGCCTGGCTACACCGTGTTTCCGGACTGGATTGGTGCGGCCCTCAACGGTACAGGTACCGTCAGCTGGTGGACGGACGAGTTTGTTAGGTACTATAAGAAGGTCGCTTTTGATGGCATCTGGATTGACATGAGCGAGGTTGCTTCTTTCTGCATCGGAAGCTGTGGCACGGGCAACCTGACGCTCAATCCGGTTCATCCACCATGGGGTCTTCCCGGTGAGCCAGGTGCTCTTGTGCTCGATTACCCCGAAGGTTTTGAAAAAACCAACGCGAGTGAGGCATCCTCTGCAACGTCGGTTTACAAAACGCAGTACCCAGACCCCACGACTACAGCCAGCACCACTAGCACTACTTCTTATCTCAGAACGACACCGACTCCTGGAGTGCGCAATATCAACTATCCACCATATGTCATCAACAACTTCCACGGCGACATTGGTACTCACGCCCTGAGCCCCAATGGTACCCACCATGGCGGTACAGTTGACTATGACTTCCACAACTTGTTCGGCCATCAAATCCTCCACGCAACCTACCAGGCACTTCTCAAAGTCTTTGAGGGCAAGCGTCCTTTTATCATTGGCCGCAGCACCTTTGCGGGTTCTGGCAAATGGGCCGGCCACTGGGGCGGTGATAACTATTCCCTATGGGCGTTTCTGTACTTCAGCATTCCCCAGGCCCTGTCCTTCTCCATCTTCGGTTTCCCCATGTTCGGCGTAGATACCTGCGGCTTCAATGGCAACACCGACCACGAGCTGTGCTCACGATGGATGCAGCTCAGCGCCTTTTTCCCATTCTACCGCAACCACAACGTCCGTGGCGCCATCAGCCAGGAGCCCTACGTGTGGAGCTCTGTGATCGATGCGTCCAAGAAGGCAATGAGGATTCGATACCTCCTGCTCCCGTACATGTACACGCTTATGACCCAGGCCAGCCTGTCTGGAAATACGGTCATGCGCGCACTCTCGTGGGAGTTCCCGCAAGAGCCGTGGTTGGCGGATGCGGATCGCCAGTTCATGTTGGGCAGCGCGGTGATGGTGACACCATGTCTTGTTCAAGGGGCCAATACAGTAGACGGCGTGTTTCCTGGTGTTGGCGATGGGACCATCTGGTATGATTGGTATACATACGAGGCCGCCAGTGAGGGTGTTCAGCCTGGGGAGAATGTAACGATCGATGCACCTCTGGGACACATTCCGGTTTTTCTGCGGGGTGGCCATGTCATCCCAGTGCAAGAGCCGGGCATGACTACGACGGAGAGCAGACAAAATGAGTGGAGTGTCATCGTTGCTCTTGATGGTGCGGGTAAGGCGAATGGTACGTTGTACCTGGATGATGGTGAGAGTTTGGAGCCGGGTGAGAATGTGAAGTGGGTTGATGTAAGTTTCCTCTTGTTCTTTCTACATGCCACTTTTTCCCTCTTTGCCTTGACTGTTTAGTTGGTCGCTTGCCACTCGCTCCCCTTGTGACAAGGTCGAAAGTGCTAACCGGGTTTGGCTGTTTTTAGTTTACGGTTGAGAAGAACTCATTTCGAGTGACACCTCAGGGCAAGTACCTTGACCGAAACTCGCTGACCAACGTCACAATTCTGGGAGTGGCCGAGGCACCTCTGAGAGTGACTATTAATAGTCATTTGCTCGGATCGGCTTCTTGGTCCTACGACCCCGAGGGGAAGTTCCTTTCGGTAACCGAGCTGCAGGACAACTTCAAGGAAGGGGCGTGGGCATCTAACTGGACGCTGTCGTGGAACTCACCCTCAAACTCGGGCTCGTCTCCTGTTCAGGGAGGCGGCAACAGACTCGAGTTCAGCACGGCCAATTTGCTCTATGCAGCTGCTTTCGGCATCCTTTTTGGCCGTATGTTTGTAGTTTAGTTGATCCGACGTTCAGCCAAGCACAGACAGCTAATCTGTGGGCGCTTGAAGCTCGACGTGCTTTGATAAGCGAGCGAGCTCGGCTTTTGGTTCGGAATAGTAGGTACCTAGGTACTGTATGATAAACAGCGGAAGAAGTGGGCTATCGGGGGGTCGGGGCGGCATGAAGTTATTTGATGCCAGATCATGATCAAAGGATGCATGAGCGCAGTGTACCTACCTCTACTAGTACGTACTATTTTATCTATCCGACAAAGTCATCGTATCTGGCAAAACGACCTTCAAGTCGTTATCTGGACATCCTGTGTCATAATCTACCTAGACCGCAGGAAAAGACTGGTCAGATCGATCCGAGTTGTTGAGGAGGCGTCACGACTGATTAGAACCAGTGTAGTGCAGTGCGGTGCGCTGCAGCGGTCGGTTACGAAACCCTCGGGTTCGCCCGAGTTGAGTACGGTACTCTGAGTTTCACACCCGGCCCGCCTAGTAATAAACCCAGAGCTGTTAGAAGGGGTAGTAGAGCGATTGATTTTCGCATAATTAAGAAATGCCATCACTAACAGAAGCAATCAGGCCATCAGTTCAGGAATGTCACGGTCGTAAATTACCTCTAGAGGTAGAGGTACTTAGGTACCTACCCATCTCGTCGTTTTCTCTCCTCCCGCCGCATCAAGCCAGCGAGCCGGGGGAGGAGCGACCGCGGTTGGACCCAAAAGTCAAGCGCGCAGATGGAAAGAGCGAGCTGAGAAAATGTCGACTCGGAAACTTCAGGTTGCGTGCAGTGCGATCGATTCTGGAGTACGTACTATGCTTGCCTTGCGTGAGCCTCGGTTGTGATGAGTGTCATGACCACTCGTCGATGGAATAAAGGGGCTAATCCGACACTCGTGTTTACTTATTTCCTCTTTGGGTGTTCTGCGCGATACAAGTTGGCCACTGCACCTCATAGGAGACTCCTTCCCTTTGGGCATCGCCAATGTCCCTCGCTCATGAAACGAGTGTAAGTACTGTACTGAGGGTTATCGCGTCAGGTACCTCTACATTTGGACATCTTGGTACAGAATACTTAGAGGTATTCAGGTGCCGCATTTCCAAGTTCCCGAATCTTCCATTTATGTACCCGCCTCTTGTGCATCTCCCATTGTTCCGCGAATCATCGATCATTGTGAATGTCTCATTGACGCAACACCGCTTGTACAATCACAGAATATTGGTAGTCGGGTCATTTTGAGGACCCGACAGTAGGTACCTACAGACGGAACTGAATGTATGCCTGGTTTCCCCCTCTTGTTTGCATGTGTATAACTGCATTTCTTCCTGTACTATGCTTTGTCAACTTAACGTGGAGCTTACATATGTGTAGTGTAGGTCAGGTTGGTACCGCATTGTCTTGGGCCGTTCGTTTTTAGGTTCCCAGGAAATCAGGCATACTGTATAAGCATACTGCAACATTTATGCCCACCAAGATTTCTATGCAAGACGGTGATTTTGAATGTCTCCACCCTCCAGCGCCCTCGAAAGAATAGGTGGGAAAAGGCAGAGAATCAGAGAAATCGAATTTACAGTACCTCATGGTAGCAATATGTCTCCCCCACTATTTTTTGCGGGCATAAAAAACACATATTCGTACAGTATGCTTACAGACTATGCCTGATTTCCTGGGAACCTAAAAACGAACGGCCCAAGACAATGCGGTATGCAATACAGCCTTTGAAGCAAGTGCCATCTTGTATATTCGATGTCCGATACCGACTTCAGTACTTCTAGGTACCCTTACTGATCGTGACTAAGCTGACATGTCCGAGCCGAAGAAAAAGAAGAAGAGGGGGAGACTATACAAAGAATGGCAAATCCAATGTAGAGCCTCCAGTCGGCGGAAGAGATGTTATGAAGACTAGAGATTTTTCTTCGAAAAAAAAAAAAAAAAAAAAAAAATTTGAAATGAAAAAAAATTAAAAGATAAGGAGAGCTCAAAGGTATGTCGCTTGCTCTTGATAGCCATCAAGGAACATGTAAATTATTGTCGAACACCTTGAACCTGAACATGAAAACCTTGGACATGTCCTGTCTCTGCGAGTGCGCGGTGGGTAGAAGGTCTTGGTGGTGAAGAGGTTCCGTCCACCGTCCACCGTCGGCGTTCACGCTCCAGCCGCGCTGAGGAAAATTTCTCGCATCCGCAGTCTTTTCTGCGGCCCCGACTGTGGCCTTTCTCGTGCCCATCGAAGGAGTGGCAACTAAGTTACGCGTGACCGCTATCGTACTTCATGCTTGAACATTTAGAAAACTGGGCGAGTCAGGTGGCTTAGAAACTTAACCGTGTGTGGCTCAGCATCATCGCAATAATGATGACAAATCAACCGAGATGCTGGAGTTCAAGTCCAAGACCATGTGCTGTTATGCGCGTGAGTTATATCCCATCCATCTGCAGTGCGCTTAAACACTCACTCACCACTGAGGTTGTGAACCATGGCTTATTTGGGGTTTCTCATTCTTGTGAATATCTGTAAGGAGATGGGTGGGAGTGTTTGACCAATTGTGGTGGTGCTCTCGCTGTTGAAAACCTGCTAGAAATGCGTTAGTTCATCACCTCATCTTACCCGTAGTTTAAGAGGTCTTGTCTTCAAACGGGAGAACTGCAGAAACACTGCATGTGACCTGACGGATTCGCTTTGACAATGGGGCGGTATTTGGTCTATGAATCCCCGAGTCTCTGAATCTCAAGTCAAAAAGCGAAGCTTCCATGCAGAACCGAGCCACTCGCCTCCCTATCGGCACCTGCAGGAGGCAGGTGTGCTGATTTCCAGTTTCAAACAGCATGTCGGGACCTTGTAATTTGCTTGTTGGACCCGATTGGGCCTGAGTATCTGCTTTCACGGTTGAACCTTTGGGAAGATGGAAGCTGGACTTGTTAATTCAGCATGAGGATTCGGATATTTAAGGAGTTCCAGTTCCCCTCCAACGACGGATTGTTTTCCTATGAGCACCACACTCGAAAACATCTACTTCGTCCTCTAGAGGAGTAGATAAATTATACCAGTTTCAGAGATCTCCTCACCGAATCTTTTCAGCTTCAAGCCCTATTTTACTCACTTCTTCTATTTTGAGAAGACATTCCTCCCTCGTTTCGCGGCACCAACTTCGACGCTTCCGATCGTTTCCATCACCATCCGTCACTCCAGCATATCTGCTATCAGACCGTAGTAGCCATGCGTTCATCCACCTGGACGAAGGCTTTCGTCCTTCAGGCCCTGGCTTTCAACGTCTCAGCTTCTGCTGTCCCGAACGAAAATGTGGCTCTGAGCGAAAGAGACTTGGCGCAAGCCAGTCTGTTCGAGAGAGTGTACGTCCTTCACACCAACCTATACTCTCTCCTGTGCTTTACCCCTTTTGCTAACACGTAGAAATAATAGGGTGCCTGCTTTCTCTGTCCCCCGCTCCCTCCATACCCGTGAGGACGACTCCGACACCGACCTGGTCAAAAAAGCCGTCGTCGAGGTCGTGGAAGTGGTAACCGCCGATCAACTCGAGAGGCGTGGAGCAACCAGCACTGCTGCCGCCGATGCCAATAAAGCCAACTCGGCCAACAAGGCCGCCTCCACCAGTGCCGGCAAGGCTGCCGCGCTCTCTTCCGAGGCTGCTGCCTTTTCTTCTGACGCCCAGGCCGCTTCGGTTGGTAGCTCGGCTGCTGCTGACATAACTGCTTCGGGCAAGGTCAACGCTGCTAGTTCCCATGCTGCTTCCACCGGCAAGGCCGAAGCCGCCGAGTCCTCCGCCGCCCCTTCCTCCGCCGACCATGAGGCCGAGTCTTCGGCTGCCAACTCCTACGCCGCCTCCACCGGCAAGGCCGAGGCCGCTGAGTCCTCCGCCGCCCCTTCCTCCGCCGACTATGAGGCCGAGTCTTCGGCTGCCAACTCCTACGCCGCCCCCACCGGAAAGACCGCTGCTGCTGAGTCTTCTGGTGCCGCTTATTCTGGCGCCACTTATTCTTCCGCCGCTTATTCTGCCGTTGAGTCTGCCGATGCTTACGAGTCCGCCGATGATTGCGAGTCCGCCGCTGCTTACGAGTCCGCCGCTCCGTCTAAGGACGCCGCTGAGGATCAGGATGACGCTAGCGACGAGAGCGAGAGTGAGGATGAGGATGAGGATGAGGATGAGGGAAACACCGACGAAGACGGTGCTGACGGTGCCGATGGCAAGGACACCTCGCCCACATCCACCGCCGACGCTGCTGGTGGCGAGCAAGAGGACGAGGGCGAGGGAGAAGGCGAGGAACCCTGCCCCGAAGAGGACTCTGAGGATGTTGAAGGCGTAGCTACTGAAACCGGGTACGAGTATGGTGGCTATGGTGCCTATAGTGGATATGGCGGTTGGGTTACGTCTACTGCCCTGCCTGCTCCTACAGCCACCGACGACAGCGCGGACGGTAAGGAGCGTGAGGAATTTGCGGACGTGCAGCTGGCTGGTGCTGCTGGACAGAGAGTTGATGCTAAGATTGCGTTGGCTGTTGGGTTGGCTGGGTTGGTGTTTGTGCAGCTTTAAGAAGCTGATGTTCCCTTGGTCTGTGTGGGAGGGCAGTGACATCAGGGCTGTTTCATCTTCGAATCGGCTTGGCGACCCCTGACCGGAAAAAAAGGGGGGGAATTCTCAATGCTCTCTCTCTCTCTCTCTCTCTCTTCCTCTCTCGACGGACTAAGAAGTACAATTGACTGGTTGACAGTCTCTTGACTTTGTTTGGTCCCTTGCGGAACCGGTTCAGGCGGTAACCAACAACCGAGAGAGATCATGGTCTTTGCTGCTCGGTTTTGACTATGGCAACGTATTAGTTATTGGCCAGTTATTGTGTCAAATTGGTTCGACTTGGAGGAACGAAGGGTTGTACACGGAAACAGGCTCCTGATTGGGTTGCCTCTGGCTTTGTCGCTCTTTTATACCTATGCTTTTGTTCAAATCTTTCTTTTGGCATGCCTTTTCAATTTAACAACAGGTACACAGGTTCGATACGTTCATTTAGATCTATATTCCAAATTGAAACAGAGCAGGTGAGCTAGTGTTGGAAATTGAATGATGGCAAGGGGGATACGGGGGAAACACGAAAGACTGTGGGAATGACTCTGTATGATAGTGATAGGGTAGATTTAGTATAGAAATATTGCATTCTCACATTTTGTGGATTCTCCAGACGTTGAAGCGGTGTTTGGGCTTGATCTACTCTTTGAGCCTGTGGACTTTTTCTCCGAAGTCTTTGAACTTGCTTGTAGGTTTTCTCAGTGTTGATCGTGTGGGTGATGGCTTGACGATGTCTTTCCGTGTTTGGGGTCAGGTGCAGCTGTACTCATCAGAGTACTCACCGTACCCAGACCCGTGAACAAAATTGAGATGAATGCAATGACAATTACCTAGATGAGTCTTTTGGTGAGCAAGACGGTCCACGGTCTTTATCCCATACTCATACGTCTATCTCGGGTCGTCTCCGAGAGATTAGAACAGCGAAATCGAGCTGGTTCAATATCATACGATGTTTTGCAATGTTGTGGTCTGAGAATATGTTCAGCGTCCGGGATTGAGGTAGAACGCGTGGAACAGCCTGCGAGGATCTCCTATAAAACACCATCTCTCAGGCCATTAAGCTGCGTTGTGCCATGTTTGCATGGTAGCACACCAACATTTGATCTTGCATTTAATGTACAGCGTAGCATATTGTCTGTGAAGCCGTTGACCTAGGTCGGAGGCCAAGCACACAGCGCAGGAGGCTGCTTTCCCTTCTCAACACACATTTTTCTTCTCTCAAACATCTTGCTTATTCACCTCTTCCTTCTTAGCGATCGCCAAATGGTAAGTTTCCAACTGCTGAGCCGTCATCTTACTCGGGCTCTTAACCGTCAGATCCTCACCCTTCATGCTCTTGGGGAAAGCGATCACATCCCTCACAGAATCCGTGTGCGTCAATATAGCAACCAGCCTGTCAAAGCCCAGCGCGAACCCGGCATGCGGCGGACATCCCGCCCGCAACGCCTCGAGCAGGTGAGAGAATTGGGCCAGACCCGCATCCGTCATCTTGAGGATGTTGCGCATCACGTACTCCTGCATGGAAGACAGGTGGATACGGCGGCTGCCGCCGCCAAGCTCGACGCCGTTGACGACGAGGTCGTAGTGGTCGGCGCGCGCCTTGAGCGGATCGGTGGCGAGCATCTCAACGTCGGCTTCGGTGAGCGGCGCGGTGAAGGGGTGGTGGGTGGCTTTGAACCCGGCTTGGCCGCCCTGGCCGGGGTCGATGCCGTCGTCGGGGGTAAACATGGGGAAGTTGACGACCCAGAGGAACTTGAGGTCGAGGCTTTGCGGGAGGAGACCAGCGGAAACGAAGGAGCGGTAGAAGTGCGTGCGGGCAACGCCGAGGGCTGTGGAGCCTTCACCCTGGAAGGGGGCGTTCTTGCGCGCCTGGAAGACGAGCACGTCGCCGTCCTCAAGGTCGGAAAAAGCTTCCATGCTGGTGAGCGCGTCAAAGCCCTCAAAGCCAAGTGATGAGAGACCGCAGAGAGGTTTCTTGGAGTTGAACATGAGGGCGGCGGGAGCTCCGTCGGGATTGTTGGCAAGGGGCTTGGGGAGTTGGTCCATGAGTTTGTCGACGAACTCAGCAATGGTACCGGGAGTGACCGTTTCTCCGTCAAACTGGGGACGGATGCGGAAGGCTTCAACTATAGGCTGCTCGGTGTGCGTGATCATGGAAACAAACTGGGCGGGGAGGACATGGTCGACACGGTGTAGCTGGAATAAGTGGTTAGATTAAATCGGTTTCAGATTTAGAAACGCCTTGCATACCTCGAAGGGGATCCGTAGGTCGGGTTTGTCGATACCGAATCTTGTCATGGCCTCGTCGTACGTGAGCCGAAGAAAAGGAGCGGTAGGTTCAGGCCATTGAAGGTCACCATTCTCGGTCGATTCGCCGTTGTCCAAGTTGCGTTTGGGTACAGGATAGATATCATCTCCTTGTCTGACGACGTTGAATTGGGCATTCAGAGCAGGAAGCAGCTGAGAGACAAGAGTCTCGACAGTGCGCATGACATCTTCGCCCGTGGCGAAGCCCATTTCCAAATCAAGCTATGTCGCGTATTAGCGTATGACTAGATGATAGGGAGCATACTCGACATGACATACCTGAGTAAACTCTGGCTGGCGGTCGGCTCTCAAGTCCTCATCACGGAAACAGCGAGCAAACTGATAATAACCACGGATACCGCTTGACATGAGGATCTGCTTGTATTGCTGCGGACTCTGGGGCAGAGCATAAGCCAGACCGCGACGTCTTGTCGGGACCAAGAACTCTCTTGCTCCCTCAGGAGTAGACTTGAACAGGATAGGCGTTTCCACCTCGGTGAAGTCAAGGTCATTGAGTGTTTTCCTGAGCTGGAAGCCGATCTGGGGACGGGCCAGCAGCCGTGAGCGAAGGGGGTCTGAGAAGCGGATTTGAAGATGCCTGGCAGAGGCAGGAAATTGAACGCCCTCGGAGACTATGATGTCTTTGGGAAATGCATTAAGAGGCTGGACGGCGTCAAGGTCCAAATCGATACGGTTGCCATGGAGCCGGGCAACGGTTCCAGTCACGCTCACGGGGCTATACAAGGGGACTGCTCTCAGGGCCCTCGTGACCAACTGCTCGGGGCTTCCATCCTCCTTGAATGTGGACGTGACCTGCACCGATGGGCCATTTTCAACCTGAATGTCGGCAAACACCAGTTTTGAGCTCTTGACTCTTCGTCGCAGGAGAAAGCCATGGACGGTGACCTTGTTGCCCTCGACGAAGTCAGCGGCCTTGGATGCACTGGGAAATTGGCCTGGCCCGCATCAGCCAAGCTCAGGTATAAAAGGCATAGTATACACGACAATACCTACTGTACTGTGCCCATTCTTCGCGCAATTTTTGGCCGCTTACTTTATCACCGGATGGTGAAGCAAGAGCTGGGGAAGTATGAAGCAGGCGTTGCGAGTTCCGGGGCAGGCATTTCAGCGACTGCCAGTGAGGGTTTATGCGGCTTGTGTAGAGTCTCGAATTCTGGGACGGTACGAGTCTACAGAGCCGTCTCAAAGAGACGCGGGGTTGAGCCATGGCAGTCTGATGTCGTCAACGTCTGTCAACCTTCCGTCTTCCACTTCTGGCAGAGAGAGCTCCATCGTGAAGGGTGTTGTCGGTGGTGTGAGCCCCGGTCCAGGGTTGAGTATGGACGAGACGAGTGAGGGTTGAGCTGGGAGTGGTAAGATTGGCCCGAGCTTTGATACAAGCTCTTAACGGCCCCATATAAAGCTGCCACTCGTTGCTCGTTGGTCGGCAGAGTGCTGGCCCGAGCGCGCTTCGAAATTCCGAGTGGGGCCCACAGTCACACCCGCAGAGAACAAAACCCTCTGCCGCGCGCCGGCCTTTGAGAAATTTCTTCTCTTTTTTTCTTCATGACCCTTCCATTCAAAACAAAATGATGAAAGCCCAGGTGTTAATTTGATGAAGCTTCCTCCTTCCTGACCCTTCGAACTCTCCCCTCACGGGGCTTAAGTGGTTCGATAGTGAGGGAATGCGGGAATTTTGAAATAAGCGTTCGGCACACCGACCTTGTTACTCATCGGACGCCAACACGGCACTCTGATTCTATCTGAAGGAAGGAGTTCTTGTTTTCTTTTTTTTTCCTTTGTACATATTCTCTTCGCTTGTCCCTGGTCGTTGACCCTACGCCTCTCTGTCTCTTCAAGTTTGGATTCCACCCTTGAATGCATCTGCAATACCCTGCTACTCACTGTTACGAGTCTGGGTTCAAAGGCAACACGTTGCTGCAGATGAAGAAAGAAGAGACTTATTACCCGGTGGCACGCGGGGTCCTTCTCAGACAGCTTGGTGGTTTCCTTCTCTCCTCCGCAAGCTGGGGGTCACTGAGGCTGATTTAAGACGAGACCGCTGATGTCATGTCGTACAATATTGCTGTCTTGGACTGGGCGCTTTGTACCCGCACAAAGTGTGGAATATAGTAATCTCCAAATAAAATGGGCAATAGCGTGATTTGCGATCTCCCCAAGCGCATCATGTCGAAATTTCAGGATAAGCCCCATCGTAACCCCAGACCCTTGGGTCATGCACACCATTTTCTGGATGCAACACTCTTTCAACTTCGGCCGTGATTCTCAACGTGGATCCATTCAGACCGGCGCCCGACATCAGAGAGGTGGAACAAGGAATCCGGGCGATGATTGTCGTCGATCATATTTGGACTTCTGTGCTCGGAGACGACTGGAGGTGCTCATGTCCCTTGTATTGCCTTTTAGCGCGTGTCCGCCAGGAAATCTGCCCGTCAGGGTACAACTACCTTCTGCGCTTCTCCCGTATCTCCATGCTCCCGTCCCCCATGCACCTGGGGCTATCCCCTGTACAGGAAAGGAACCTCCAGGCAATCGTATAGGTTTTGGCTTGAAAATCTCCCTAGGTACCTACCCCTGGGCCTACCTACCGCTGCCGCTCCCCCTACCATGCCCCCCCTTCGGCTCCCCCCCTACACATTGAACCGCCTACAGAACGCTAGTACCTGTTTCGGGGGCCCAGTCAAAAGTGCTGCACAGGGCGGTTCCTTATAGATTACTCGTGTTCATCCGACGTCCAAGGTCACGGCATTGACGAGGCATCTACACTCTTCCGCTCTATCGACTTCCTCCAGCCAACGAATACCTCCGTCATCACATCAGACACTTCGAGTAGTTACATCCAGCTCTTCTGAGGTCAGACGCTGCCCGACCGCGACCCCCAACCCAACACAACAGCGGTACCAATTGTTAGGCCGCCCGCCACTCGCTACAAACCTATCCACGACATCATTGCTCTTACAATCGTTTCGACTCAATCTCTCCATACGCTTCCGATACCCGACAGCGACCGAGCGACAAACCAGCTGGAACTCGCGCGCCGAGGTTGATATTACAAGTTCACATTCTTAGTACTCGGGAGCAAGTCGCCCGCTGGTGGCGATTAGCTAGAAAAGATGGCGAGCTCCTTTGAAAAGTCCGTCAAGGGCGCAACCAAAATCAAGGTTCGTTACCCGGTCTCACTCGTCATACACTGCCAATTCAGAGCCTTGCGATTCAGCGGCTGACGCTCATAATCGATCATGACAACAGGCCGCACCTCCCAAGACGAAGTACATCGAGCATATTCTTATCGCGACACATTCGGGTGAGGCGGGAGTTGGAGAGGTCTTTAGGGTACTGCAGACTCGGTTGCGCGATTCAACATGGACCGTTGTCTTCAAGAGTCTGATTACCGTACACCTCATGATCCGAGAGGGTTCGCCAGACGTTACCCTAGCATATCTTGCTAAGCACCGGAGTATGCTGGGTCTGGGCATGATATCAGATGGTGAGTGATGCCGAACCCATTGGGTCCTTTCGTCTTGCTTTGCTCTGTACGCGGAGTAACTAACAAGCGGCCGCGTAGTTCAAACACAAGGCCGAAACATCCGTCATTACTATGATTACCTTACCGAAAGGGTGCGAGCGTATCGTGACACAAAGATTGACTGGGTTCGAGGCAGGGAGAACCGGTTGGAGAAGCTCTCAGTCGAAAAAGGCTTGCTACGAGAGACAGAATCTGTTCAGAAGCAACTCACAGCGTTGCTCAAGTGTGATGTATGTTGCTCTCCGGGTGAATGTTTTTGACGCTTGTTGCTAACACCTATGGGCAGGTCATGGACAATGAACCAGAAAACGAAATTACGGTTACCGTGTTCAGGCTCTTGGTTTTAGATCTTCTTGCCTTGTTCCAAGCTCTGAACCAGGCCATGATCAATATTCTCGGTATGAATCTATCCATCTCAACCAGACGCGCTGCGACCCCAGGCTTACCTATTTCTAGGCCACTTTTTCGAAATGTCAAAGCCTGATGCCGAGAGAGCTATGGACATCTACCGGAATTTTGCTCGTCAAACCGATTTTGTGGTACAGTACCTCAGTGTCGCTCGGCAATATGAACACCATACTAGAGTTGAGGTTCCCAAGCTCAAGCACGCACCTGTGAACTTGGGACGGCAGCTGGAGGATTATCTGAAGGATCCCGACTTCGAGATTCACCGGAGGCAGTATCTGGCCGAGCTGGAGGCGAAGAAGAAAGGGGGTTCATCCTCGGTATCAAAGTTCCCCAAAGCAGAGTCATCCACGAAGAATACTGCCTCAGGGACCACAAGCACCAAAGAAGAGTCATCCAGGCCGGCAATTCCTATCAAGTCGGCGGATGCCAACCTCATCGATTTCTTCGACTCGATCGAGCAAAACCAGACGCAAATGGCTGTCCAGGCACAACCACAGCTTCAGCAAACCCATGGACAGATGCAAGTGAGCGCGAACCCTTGGGCACAGGCCGCTTTCCAGCCTCAACCCACTCAGCCGTTTCAAGCCAACGATTTTGCGGCTCAGGCTGCCTTCCAACAAGCTTTCCAGCAGCAGCAACAACAACAACAGCAACAGCAGCAGCCAGCAATGGATACTTATGGTCAAGTTCTGCAGGCTCCTCAGCAACAGATGCAACCGTCTTTTACGGGAGCTGGGTATGGTGGCTTTTCTCCCCAGCAACAAGGCTTCCAGGCCACCTCGTTGTCTCTTGTTTCCCAGGATCCCATGGCCAATTTCCAGACGGCCACAACCACCGGCTTCTCCGGTCTTCAGCCACCACAGCAAGTCACCAACCCTTTCCGACAATCTATGATGATGAACCAACAACAAACGGGATCTCCATTCTCGCCAGCGAACAACTCCCCTTTCCAGCAGCAACAACCACAACAACAGCAACAGCAGCAAATGCAGCGTCCTGTGACTGCACAGTCTACCAACCCATTTGCTCGCGCGTCTCCTCAGGCGGCACAACCCTTCGCTTCTCCTCCAGCCAACTCGCCTTTCCAGTCGGCTCCACCGCAACAACCACAGCCGACTGGAACCAACCCCTTCGCGAGGGGCTTCGCGGCTTCCCAGTCGGTCCAACAACAACAGCAGCAGCGCCCCGTCACTGCTGGTGGCCCACTTCTTCCGACGCCAACGGGCAGCACAAATCCTTTCCGTCAGGGTGCGTTCGTGAACCATGCTACCGGCATGGGGTGGCAACATAACCAACAGCCTATAGGGGGCGGGCTCGACCAACTCGAGACAATCCCGGTGTTTCCGAGGCCAGCACAGCAAACGCCATGGCAGCAATGATGAGCGGTTGTATTCTCTGACAGCCGCGTAACGCTAAGCTCTCTTCATCTTGGATTTCAACGGCTATACGGGCAAGCGTATGTCGTTGACAGGCGCACTACCCCGCTTTTCTGTCATTTTGTTGTCTTAGTTTTGGCTTGTCTGGTTTGTTCGGGATGACACGAACCGGCAAGTCACGCATCTAGCGCGGCGTTCCTTATGCTCTTTTTTTTTTTTTTTTTTTTTTTTTTTTTTTTTTTTTTTTTTTTTTTTTTTTTTTTTTTTTTGAGCTCAGCTCTTTCTTCTCACCCGCCTTCGTTATTCGATTCGGCAATCCTGATCTTTCTTTATTGTTGCCGCGAGTTTTCTGACGGTGCCCCTCCTTAGTCTACCGAAAGGATAGCCAAGGTTTGGGGTAGCAGGGCGGTTTGATGCTCGTACGTTTGAGATGGGTGGCAATAAGACAGTCAAGGATTGGCTGTGAAGAGATCAGGTTTTTTTTTCGCCGTCGAGTGCTTCTTAACGAGCAGGGCCAGATACAAGGCCCAGCAGCGCAGCGCAAGGGGGAGGGGGGAAGGATAGTTGGAATGGATACGCTACATAAAAACGGTGGAATGGGGTCCGGGCATCTCGAGATAAAGGAGTGAAAGAGGTATGATAAATGGTCATACCATCAAACCTTTCAGAATTGGCTGCCAATACTCTCTCTCCAGGAATGGCCAACAAGGGAGGCATACACATCTTTGCAGTAGGAAGCCTGGAGGCTCTTTTTACTTGGTAAACCTTAATCTATATTATTTTGGGCATCTCTATAATCAATCGACCCACTCTTATTGGTTTGAATTTTCTCCTTCTTTTCTCCATCATCGTCCCCAATTCCTCACACAACACGTGGTACTCAGTGACCTTGATACTACTTACAAGTAGACAGATGGTTTCCTAGGAGGCAAAGAGTAGTGAATGTTTTAATGTACTGCAGTTCGCCAAGTTCTGTCTTATGTGGCTTCCGGACTGCGACCATTCGCATAATGAATCCCGAACCCAGAAATCTACAGCAGACTGGAATATTTGCGCCCTATAAAACCACCGACTCTGAAGTTGATTTATATGATGCTGGCCCCGCCTCATGTGTGTTCCGAAATCAAGATCCGTCGGAGAGGAAAAAAGAAAAATATTCAATCGCTGAGTGAACGCCGTCGCTATGCAACAAAAACACCACTACCGCCAACCAAAAGGCCAGGGCATACCGGTCCAGAACCACTCTCAGTCCAAATCCATCTTGTCCGCGTCACCCACAGCGGCAATCCCCGCCGCCATGCTCGTCTCTTGTGACAACCCAATACCACTGCCAACCTCCTTCTCATCCTCAACAAACACACCCAACCCAGCAAACGCTTCATACAAGGCGCGCGCCGCAAAGTCGTCAAAGCTGTACCCACCAGCAACGTGCTGTCTGTCCAACCGGTACTTCTCCATAAGCGGGTGACTCAAGCCTCCATGTAGCTTGTACCGACAAGGCGCAAAGTCCATGCCGCCAAAGGGGTCGTACGGGCCCTGTGGCGCCGGCGCCTTCGGCTTCTCCTTCAAGCCGCGGATGGACAAACGCTCAACCTCCGACGCGCCCGTGCCCATTCCCGTTGTTGCAATGGTAGGGTTGGAAGCTGTTTCAGCAACCCGATTCACCTGCCCACGCCTCTTTAGCTGCACCTTCGTCGCCGGCTCCGCTGTCATAGCAGTGGTTCCCTTGGCCAGATTATCCAGCTCCATCTCGCGACTCCTCACCCTCTCTCTTTTCTCCGCCTCCGCCTCCTTGATAGCCTCAATCCTCCTCTGTCTCACAGCATCCCTTTCGGCTGCCAGCCTCTTTCTTGAAATCTCATCCGCCTCCCTCCCCGCCTTCTTATTCCGTTCAATATCCGCCCTATGCTCCGCCTCCCATGCCTGCAATTGCGCCTCCGCCTGCCGTCTCCTCTCATCCGTCCCATTGACAAGTTCAAACGTCAAATCTTCCACCATCTGCAAGTAATTATTATAATCCTGCAGCGTCTCAAAGTCGTCCTCGACTTGGTTGAACACCGCAGCCACGCGACGGCGGATGTCGACCTCGCGCTCGACGGCCAAGTCGCCGAAAAAAGCCGAGCGGAAGCCCTTGCGACGGAGCGTTTTGTTGCAGCCGGCGTGCGGACATTGATTGGGTCCGTCGTTGAAGAGTCGGTTGGCGCAGTTGAGACACATGGAGTGATAGCATTCGGGGTTGAAGACGAAGACGATGTCGGGGTTGAGATACTTGCGCGATTTGCAGACGGGGCACATTTCGTCTTCGAAGCCGAGGGGGTCGAGAGGGCGCGCCATGGTGGGTGGTTTCTTTTTCTTGCTGTTTTGGTAATTTCGCTTCGAGGGAGGAGACGGGGATCGATGTGCTGAAGTGGGATTTCCAAAGGTTGAATGATGGCCAGGAAAAATATATGCTGAATTATACCGAGGAGTGGGCGTTTCCCTTCAAGGGACAGTATTCCGTATCTGAGAACTAGGGACGTCTCTTGATGTGTCGGTGAGTGAGTGGCGATCACGGTCCAAATCTTCCTTTATATCTGTTTGGTGATCGTGATTTGGCGACGAGGACTTGTACTCGTCTGGTTAGATGATGAAATGTTGTTCTAAAATGCCAACTCGGCTAGGCAGAAACTGCGGGTCACGCAGTGATGTGTAAACGGTGGATAGGGAAGGTGGTGAAAATCAATAAAGTGGAAGTCTGGGTGAAACCCGAGTGAGATTGACGATGTGGTGAAAGAGGGACTGATAAGAGTTATGCTTGGGCTGAATAATCCTTGTTTCCACTTGGCCCCCAACCGCGCCAGCGCTCCAATGGACGGGACGCTACCCTGGCGGTGCAGGGTGGGGCTTCCCAGATCATTCACAGCACGGCACTCTGCCGCGCTCATCTGGCAGCTCTGTCTCAGGGGACTGGACGCGGGCAAGCGTGGGTGAGCGGGGGCTACCAGGGCAGTGACAGCAGCCGCTCGCGGGCAGCTCCTAGGATTGGGATTGGGCGGCCGCAGCCGTTGCGGGTTACCTTGCCCCTCCAGAAATTCGGTCATCGCGTTCAGGCGCGTTCCATCGTCTTCTACTTACATTACCGCACACTAGACCACTGCACCAAGCTGTCGTCGTTGCCCAATATCTACACCGAAATAAACAACACTACCTTCAACATGGCTGACAAAGGTACGTTTTAGAGCTCAACTCCTCTTGCTCTCAAGACCAGAAAGTCCATCCGCCATCAACAGGTCCCACTAATCAACTGACCGAACAATGTCAGACGTAACAGAGCTCACCCGCGCCGAGGAGGCCGCTGCCCGCGCCAAGGAACAAGCCGAGCAGGAGGCTCTCCCCTACAAGTGGACTCAGACGATTGGCGACGTCGACATCACCATCCTCGTCCCCGGTAACCTAAAGGGCAAAGATATGGTGGTTGAGATAAGGAAGCAGTCTCTGACGGCTGGTATTAAGGGTCAAGAGCCCGTCATCAAGGTAACCAACCTACTTGCCTACATATCTATAAACCACAACCCTTGCAACTTTCCAACGCCGCTATACCCTACCACCCAATGTCGCATGCCGAGTAGATCGATTCTGACACCTCCCACAAAATCAGGGCGACCTCCCCCACCCGATCCTCCTCGATGATTCAACTTGGACGCTGTCCCCCGCTCCCGCCGGTCAAAAGGCCCTGGAGATCCATCTCGAAAAGCACAACAAGCTCGAATGGTGGCCGCACGTAGTCACCAGCGCCCCGAAAATCGATGTGAGCAAGATCGTCCCCGAGAACAGCAAGCTGTCCGACCTCGAGGGCGAGACGCGGGCAATGGTGGAGAAGATGATGTACGACCAAAGACAAAAGGAGATGGGGTTGCCGACGAGCGATGAGCAGAAGAAGATGGATATCTTGAAAAAGTTCCAGGAGCAGCATCCGGAGATGGATTTTAGTAATGCGAAAATTCAGTAGGTGAGCGAAAGGAGGAAAGGGGGAGGGCAATTGGAGATACTGAGAGGATTTGGGGGGAGAGGAGAAGTAAAAGGTGATAATCATGATAACGAAGCATTGATGACTTGGAAATGACCGTTTTTATCTTCATTGAATCAAACAGGGTGAAGTACTGTTGATGGACACTTTCTCTGAACTGTTGTGGTTATGTTCTGTTCCAGCCGCACACGGACTATATTATTCCTGGAATAGCCGAACCCATGACAAATCACTGCATACGCTTCAGTAGATGACCTAGAGATTACACTTCATGGATTTGAATGAACGAATGTAGTATTTCGGGGACTGCTGTTGGTGGAGGGATAAATCGCAGGATGCGGAAGCATTCAAAGCTGGGAATTTTCTCACGACATAATTGATATACACAGACTAACCAAAACGAAACACATAAGTTGATACCATATCAACCATCTATTGTCATGCATGCAGACCTATGAAACTCGGTTGACACACTAAAGTGTGCAAAAGAGATGTGATGGGTGAAACGAATCGCCGAGACCACGGTGTAGAGATCATGGCGTCAGAGAGCCCATCCAGATTCAATTTTGGAACCGCTAGTAATGAGAACGCAGACTGAAAGCTGCAACCCATAAATAATAAGCGTTCCGAAATATGCCTGAGCATCAATAAGCTTGTTGTCCAAAGTGCAAGTTTTCAAGAGCAATGAATGGACCATGTCTCTTGGGGTCTGGGTTCACGAAAAGAGAAGTGTCCTAGATGTTAGTCCATAACGCACAATCGCATAATTTGATCAGGGAGATAGACAAAGAAATGTGCCTTTGATCGCGAACAAGAAATCGTCAGGAACAGAGGATGCCAAAAGGCGAGCGAGGGTGCTGATATAGTTCCTTCCTGTTGTAAATCGACACTGCCGACAACCTCTTGGACGGGCCAGAACATGAGGGGTATCAGATCAACCAGGCCATCATGGTCTAGCCAAACGAGCCGCCTTGAATCTGCTCATGCGCGGCGGGCCGCCTTCTTCCTCGTCCAGCGGGACGACGGGTTGTTCCTCCTCCGACTTCATAAAGCCTCCCTCCTTCTGGATCATGCGATTCCGCAACCGATTGTATTCAACCGCCGCCGCCCGGTACAGGAGCTCGTCGTCCATGTCATCCGGCTCCTGCGGCGCAGACAGGACATTTCTCTCGACAACCTGATTGGCCAGAATTTGATCCTCGGGAGGAGTGGGCTCGGCAGGAGGGGCCGAATGAGACTCGCGGAAACGCTGAGGTAGCTGGAGCGGGCCAGGAGGTGGGGATGCCGCGGCCGGAGCAGCAGCTTTCCCGGTTGACGCACGTTCTTTCTTAAACCGTGACACGCGCTTGGGAGGCTCTGGCTCTTCCGGCTCCTGCTCTTGCGTTGTCAGGTTACCAGCCACAGCTCCATGTTCGACAATATCCCCAACAGGATTGACTAAGGGCACCTTTGGCGCAGCGGGCTTCGGCTGCACAGCCGGCTGAATTTCCTCCTCAGGGGCAATGTCCAGCTCTGTGGCGAACCGCACACCCTTCTTCTCCTTTGCCTTCCCCTTGGACTTCAGAGACGAGGCGGTTGGCTCTGACTGAGTGTTCTCCGGCGCTGGTGTTGGCGCCGATACCGATACCGGCGTTGAGCGAGGTTCCCTGACGACAGTGATGTAGCCGCCACCAGCATCCTTGCGATTCTCATCATCCGGTTGCTGGGGCTTCTGACGCTCGACAGTGAACGCAGACTTGAAGCCCAAGCGCTTCTCAAGCTCCTGCATGCGCTGAATATAATCACTGGTGATCACGCTATGCTTGGAGCGTCCAAACTCATCCTCATCATCGTCATCCTCTTCTAGCTCGTCCTCATATTCATCCCACTCCGCATTCTCATCCTCGGTGGACCCTTCGTCAATCTCGAGTTCAGCCACGATGGGATGGATTTCTTCCTGCATGTACTGGAGCATGTCGGCGCGCAACTGGCTTTCGTCCTCCGACTCGTCCTTGGGTATCACAGCTTTCGACATATCCATTGCATCCTGTTCTTTGACCTTTTGCATGAGCTGCGTGAGTTTGCCAGCTGTAGTCGGCAATTGGTCGACGGACTTGGTATCATCGGCAAACGTGACACTCTTCCCGGAGCTTGTAGATGGTGTAATTGGAGTCGTGCTCGAGGATTCGCTCGTGGTAGTGGATGCAGCAGCGGCAGAGGCAGCAATAGGTTGATGTTGCTCGACTGATTGGTTCTCTTGTGTGGTGTTGGATTTGGCCTGAGCCTGAGGAAGATCGGCCTGGGTTTCCGGGAGCTTCTCGATGCCGGCCTTTTTGAGAGCTTCCTCGACCCTCCTACCGACCTCACCTCCGCTCTGCAGGCGGTACTGAACGATATTGTCTTCGTCATCCAGTTCCTCAATGATATCCGTAATGGGAAGACCGGTCTCTTCATCTGTGCCGCCATCAGGATTGGCAATGACTTTTGCCGCGGCGAGTTTATTCTCTTCCGTTTCAACAAGCTTCGTCAGCGTATCGACGTTCTTTTCGACGTAGTCGAGACGGCGACCGAGGACACTGGAAATTTGATCAGCTTCCTTAAGATCGTTTTCGCCAAAAATCTCGTTGATTTCTTTCTTGGTGATGATAGTGCCGTCATAGTCGCGTCGGATGCGAGCAAGCTCGGTGCGGGGAGACGGGTCCTTGGGCAAGCCGTCCACCTCTTCTTTGAGTGCTGCATACTCAAAGTAGGTTTGTTGCCAGTGGGTCAGAGATGCGTGAAGCTGGTTGACCTTGCCCTCCAGCAGCTGCATATGCCTGTCAAGATCGGCAAGATGGTCTCTTGATACTGCCATGGTGGTTGATTGGAGGGTGGGACGAAGGGCGTTGATGGAGGCAAACTGAGGATTGGAGGGGAAGAAAAGTTTCGCGATGACGGGATGAGGTCAAAATTTTGGGGAGCTTATGTAACGGGACGGCTCATGCAAGGGTTAGGGTTGGTAGCAAATCCCAGGGAGGAAACATGTGAAGAATATGTAGTCCTGTTCTTTCGAATTCCATAGAGAATGGGTCCGTGACAGTTAGGGGTACATTTGCGATTCATGAAGATATATGATACTGTCTTTTAAATCCAACGCCGATCGGCGGATGTATGCTAATGTCACCATTGTTGCCCTTCAGAGTATTAGTGTTCGGCTCCCTGGGACTGCAGTCGTAAACATCTGCTCGCGGACTCATCAAGTTCGTTCGGAACTATAATGTTATTTGTTTCCTCGGAAAACTCGCGTTTTGCAAAAGTGACTAAACAGAACCGTGAAATCCCGGGCCACCCCACAGCTGTAGCCGATCGTATCCCGAACTTCTACCATTGCTCGCTCGAGCCTCAGTTATAATGGAAGCAAACTGGCAGCCATAACCCAACCAAAACGCCATGGGCTATTCAAACTTGCGATCAACAAGTGCTGCCGTAGATACGTGCAGGTACAAATCAGTTGCATGTTCGACCAAGAATTAAGTAGAACACAAGTTTATACAAGGGCAAAAAGTAAATGTAAGAGTCGCCTAACACGCCGCGCCATGCAATTGGTATCTTTCCCCTTTTCCTTCAACTTCAACAAGTGTGAAGATGCCCGTCTCGTTTGCCGCTCAATGAGGTCACAGTAATCCAGCAACCTTTACAAGTAACCAAAGTTGCTTTCCTCACATATGGACTTGGGTTCCTTAGCCCCGGATGGCCAGCCTCATGCCTGCCACTTTCCGTCTTTTCCTTTCTTTCCTTCGTTTTTCCCTCAAGATCTCAGAACTGTCCGGGAGGAAACTGCCCAGACTGCTGAAACTGTTGAGACTGATACGGCCCATGCTGGTATGGTCCAGGGTGGCGAGGCAGTGGAGCCTGTATCCGTTTCCCGTCCAAGAACTGGGCACTTCTACCATCATAGTAGAGATTCCTCGTCTCCATCTGTCTTCTCGCCTCAAAAGCGGCACGCTCCTCTTCGTCCAGCGCGAACGCCTTCTTCAGCCACCCAAACGCGCTTCGCTTTTTCTTCAGTGATTTTCCACTGTTGGTCTCCTGGCTCGCTGTCGTTCCTGTCGTCATGTTGCTCCTCACGCTCATGCCCATAGCAGAAGGGAGGTTCCGTGGCGGCACCTGGTGAAGGTGACCGAGTGGTTGTTGTGGGGACTGGTACGGCGACTGATATGAGGCCGATTGTTGCCCCTGCGCGCTATACTGGGTTCCTGAAGTGTGCGGTCTTTGTTGCAAAGGAGAGTGCGGGCTCGCCTGAACAGGGCGCCAAAACTGCATTCCGCTCTCTGAGTGAGGTGATGAGACAAATCCGGGGTGCATGAGTGCTGGTGGCGGCGGAAAGTCGGCAACTGTATCGAATGATGCAATTGAGTTGACATGTGGTCGCTCCATGTCCGATCCATAAGCAGAATCTGATGTATGGTACGTTCTGGACGTTGGGAATAACGAGTCTCGATATTCTGGTGAGTCGGGTCGAGGTATATGTATTGAGTCCGGCGGTGTCGTCTTCTGTGAAACTCGTCGTCTGAATGAGGATTCTTGCCCAGGATGGACTACAACCTCTGGCAATGATTCCGGCGAAATTCTGTGGCTTTGCTTTGATGTTGGTCTGGAGTCTCTTGTCTCGACTGGAGCCAATTTGGGCCTCGAAGGTTGCGGTCTCAACTGGGGTGACTCTGGTATCGTCCTGTGGCTTTGCTTTGAAGTTGGTCTTGAATCTCTCGTATCAGCCGGAGCTAACGTTGGCTTCGAAGGTTGTGGCCTAGGCTGGGGTTGTGCTGCACGTGGATTATACACCTTTGCCTCCAATGTCGGTTCCTGAGTATACACCTTTGCATCCAATGTCGGTTCCCGACTATACACTTTTGCCTCCAATGTCGGTTCCCGACTATACACCTTTGCCTCCAATGTCGGTTTCTGAGTATAGACCTTTGCCTCCAATGTCGGTTTCTGAGTATACACTTTTGCCTCCAATGTCAGTTCCCGACTATACACCTTTGCCTCCAATGTCGGTTTCTGAGTATAGACCTTTGCCTCCAATGTCGGTTCCTGACTATACGCCTTCGCCTCCAATGTCTGTTCCTTCGGCTTTCCAATAATGGGCACCGGTAATTCCGGCTTGCAGCTGACCGGTTCATCCTTCGGCTTCGGGCGGTCGAACACGCGAGGAGAGGGAAGAGGTGATGTTTGTGGTGTATACGTTTTGGGTTGAAGGAGGTAGACCGGCTCTTCTTCTTCTTCTTCTTCTTCATTGTCATCATCTTCTTCTTCATCCTTTTCTTCTTCTCCTTCTCCTTCTTCCTCCTCCTCCTCCTCCTCCTCGTTGATTTCTTCCCTGTTCTCAGCTGTCTCAAGCTGATGTAGCGCAGATTGAGAAGGAGCGGGCTTAGAGAGCCGGTGAGGATTTCGGGCTGGCGGGGGCGGAGACTGTATTGGAAGTTCCAATTCTGTTGAAGACCTATTTGCACTATTCGCCACTGTGCCTTCCTCTTCTGTGATCTCCTTCGATTGGACTGTCGGTGGGATACCCATTGACGTTGAATGCGTAGATGTACGAGTAATTTTTAGGTCGAAGTATGAGGTTGGCGACGACTGCTTGCCCTCCACGATCGAACTGAGCCGCAACGATAAGCGAGGGGGTGTATTCGGAGTTTTGGCGATGGGAGACGTCGGGGGTGTTGTAACCGAGGATGCGTCGGATGCATGGGGGCTATGACGCGGTGATGTGAAAGGCTCGATGGTAAACTGGGAGGATGTCAGCAAAACAAAAGGCATTTGGAATGGAATGCAGCATCCTTGTTATAGATAGAGGACGTTATAGATAGAGGACACTCACTCGTGTCTTTCGGCTCACTTCACCCGCCCTCCGCTCCATCTCGGAAATGATGCCAATCAACTGGACAATTACTCTATTTAGAGCATTGCCCTTCTCTTCCAAGTCCATAAACGCTTGAAACCACCCATCGGTATTTCCCTTCATTGCATCAAATATGTCGATTACGTCTGGGCGCTCTTTCCGCCAGCGACCGTGCTGCTGTTCCGCCAGATACATAGTAAAATCCCGCGTAGACTCCAGTCCTTCGGTAATATCATTCATGATTTGCTGAAGGGCGACCTGTGTCCGGGCCACGATATGCTCGATTTTCTCGTTTCCTTCGATAATTCTAAGCCGAAAGTTGCGATCCTCCAGCATCCGTTCGAAAAACTCCATGTTATCCATCGGCAACCTTAGATGAATGATACGCTCGTTCAAATCTTTGGTTGCCAGGCCAATATCCTCTAGGACCGTCTCCAGAAACTCATCCACCTCGTCAATATGCCCTTGGAGAATTGTCACGACCGACATCTGACTGTTTGCCATCCCGTTGAGCAAAAGATAAACGCCGAAGGAGATTTGTGACATTAGTCGACGCAGCTCATGCGTTTGTTGCCCCGGACGATAGCGCCATTGGGCCGCTGGGGGCTCGGCCGACTTGTCTTGCTCCAACAACTGCTCCCGACGGGTTTTGGCGTCGCCGGTACGCAGTTTGGGTTTTGGGGTCGCACCGCCCTGGGTGGCTTCGAATAGGGATTCTGCAAAGGCTTCTTGCATGAACGGAATGGGATGACGGGGCGCTGGTGGTGGTCGCGGTTGCGCTTGTGGCTGCGGCTGCTGGCGCTGCTGTCGTTCGTTCCCGTAGTTTAACCTTTTTCTGTGCCTGTACGACTCGGTTGGTTCTGCGTCCGAGTTGGTGGCTGTCCCTGCGTCCTCGGTCCCTTCATTATCCGGAATCAGGACGATGGGAAACTGGCCATCCGGACTGAGGAGTGACGATCGGCCCATGATAGGCACTGGTGGTGTGGATAAAATCACTAGGGTTCAAACTTGAGATAGGCAATCAAAAATAGCACCGATGAGGAGCCCGAACTGCGAGCTTCCCATGGGCCTCGCAGGCGACGGGGTTCGTTTGACTTCTCTGTGGCGGCGATCGACAGCGACGGCAGCGTGTGGGATGAACGCGTGGAGGTGTAGTATAGACGATGGCGTGGCACGGTAAACGTCCCGTCGAAGGGAATGGCCAATTTGGGAACGGATCTGCCAGGCCGAACGAAGCCAGTGCACCGGGCCGGCGCTGGCAATCACCCACTGCAGATGCACTCAGTGCTGCAGGTACCCGCAATCTCAGCGAGCTGAGGACCCTCCTTCAGTGGGACAAGTGCAGCTGTCACACGGACAGGGCGGGTCGGCAGTGGAAACTGGGCGAGCCTGAAGTTCGGATTGAACGCCTTCCCGTCAATCGCGATATCGAACCGGACCGTGTGCCTGATGTCGAACCGCGATGCTGTACTACGTGTAAGGTAGGTAGCGTAAGGTAAGGAATGCCGTGGCGGTGGGCTCTGGGCTGTCCAGTTGTCGGCAAAAGGCGGCGGGAGCTGGATTATCAGGACTATCAGGACTATCAGGGTGGGAATCGGAGGGGTCAGATCGGCAGAGGTGTAAATCACGGTCCTTCCGGGTAATGGTCGGTCTTTATGGCGTTGTTGGCGTGTTTGGTGGTTGTGGGTGAGACGCACGGCGGTCAAGTCGTCATCCGATCTAAGTGGTTTGGAACTTTCAAGGAATGCGTAACGGACGCGGCAAAAGGAAGAAGCGCTTCACAGGTCGCGTCCAGGCATGGACAGTTCAATCGCGAGTTGTTGGTGAAAAGGAGAACAAAGACAGGTCGAGTTCGCAAGCGAAGCGAGGAATTTCATAGCACTACCTGAGAGCTGACGACCCATGGCGCCTGGAAAATGTCCTTGCCTAGACACCGGCAAACAGTGATAGCAGAAAAGCTGGGGAAAATAAAATGAAGCTCAGGTGAGCCGGCGTCGAATGAGAGCGGAGGGCAAGCCAGTAGTACCCAGGGGAGGGAATCCAGGTCTATCGAAAATGGAGCATCTGGCCGGGCCCCATCGAGCATTCCCGTCCGGTTCCTGGCGCGGTCCCTGGGCCGTCCCTGCCCCTGGAGCTGGGTGACTGCAATGGGAGACGCTGTCCGGTCGAGATTGGTCCGGTATCTCCAGGGCACATGCAACTGGATGCAGCTGTGAGAAGCCAACCGTGCCCCTGGAGATCAGACACTGGACATTCCGACTTTCTTTTCCACATGTGAGCGAGCACTGTCACTGTCATATCCCCGTCGGTTTCGACCAGCAAATATCACGGAACATCTACTTTTAGTTCAGTTGGACTCACATGAGAGAACCAACAGCAGTTCCGTACTTTGCCTTCAGCCAGAGAGGTCAGGTCGAGTCCCCCCCTCGAGGCTCTTGGGCATGCCCGCTTTGCCTTCGTTTTCTTTTCCGCTTTGGGGATCTACATTTCCCGGCGCCTATGCAGTACAAGGAAGGAGCCAACCTCGCAAAAGTATGCAGCTCGGTTGCTGTCTCTTCCTCGGCCAATTCCACGTTTGTTCGGCCAGACTTTCATTTCCACATTTATCTTGCAGTCGTTTTCATCCATTCATTCATATAACCACCAGTTAAATTGGGCTATAATATAAGACGGATTTGCTACTACGTGCATTGGTTTGGATGTTCCATTGTAAGTTTGCTTCATTACCGCCATCATATGCGCCAATCTGGAGTACGTACAAATTCTATAACAGCTTGGTGCGCATAGCCGCAATGCAATGGAGCTCTAATAAAGATTAGAAGAAAAAAAAAAAAAAAAAAAAAAAAAAAAAAAAAAAAAAAAGTGTTCCTTAGGGCAGTTACAACCAGCTTTGACCCAATTTTTTCCGCTTCCCGAAAGGGCTTATTGCCGCGCTGTAAATAGGAATTGGATATCACCTGCCTTCTCCTCAGGGGACCCTGGACTAGGTCCTCGAGACCCCTTTCCCAAGAGTGCTAACTACGTAGAGTAGCAACCCCAGGGCAGGTATCATGATGGCATTGGCACGTTCAGGTCAACGGCACACAGCCCCTCCAAACGAAAGAACACCATCGATATACTTACATGTCTTTACACAAAGGATTCTTTTTCAGGAGCCAAGAAAAAACCATCTTGACACTCCACTTGTATTTGCTTCCTAAGTACATCTATCCTCGTCTATCCTGTTGAACTCGTGGTTATATACTGCAAACAATGACATTTTCACCTGAAATAAAACAATCATGGACCGCATACCCACACATACCACTCAGCACTTCAAGTTAATGCCCTTTCTCAACTCCGACTGCCTGATCTCAAACATGACCTGAATGCCAACGAACAGGGCAATGCATGAGCCTGTGAGAAAAGAGATGCCTAGACGAAGCAAGTTAGTGTACCAGTCCAGTCAGGCAAGCAAGCAGTGAAGCAACATACCAGACAACCCCCTAAACAGGCCCTCCCAAAGAGCCTTCATAGCATCAACCCCACCGCCAAAGCCCACTACGTTCGCGCTGATCATCATCAACACGTTTCCGACCGCGCCCACGCAGCACAGCATCCTGTACGCCGTCGGCCTGCCCTCCCACTTCTTGCGCGGGAACAAATAACCGGCGGCGATCTCGGGCAGGAAGAACGCGACAATGAGCCAGCTCCACACAAGCAGCTGGAAATCCACGTCGTGCCAGATGGCCACGAACATGAACACGGCCAGGTACGTGATAATCGAGTATGCCGAGCTGACAAGCGTCCTAAAGTTGGACCCACCTAACGGGATGTATATGTAGCGGAGCGTCCATCGATAGAAGGAGCGGTGCCAGGAGCGCCAGAAGGACAAAGTGCTGTAGTTGTCGCTCACGCACCGCAGCATGTTCTCGGGCGGGTCGATTCCGTCCACCAGGGCCCAGAAGCGGAAGAGGCGCCAGGGAACCAGCAGCTTCAGCCAGATGATGTGCAGCTTGAAGAAGGAGAGCAAGGCGATCTGGGCGGGCGTGTACGAGGACCAGTCAGGCCGCGCGTTGGAGATGGCGTTGACATAATTGAAGTGCAGCACGAACTCCATGGCAAGGAGTACGAGCAGACACCGGATGCCGTACTTGACGGTGCGCGAAAGTTCGATACTGGCGGACTTGTATCGGCACTGCGAGATGTAGTCGTTGAAGGTCAGGATCGGGCCGGCCAGGTACAACGGGGCGTAGATGGCGTAAGCGAAGTAGTTGCGGAAGGAGTAGTTACTCTTGGGCGCTGGAGTGCCGACACGGTCGCGTTCGGAAAGGCTGGCAGGGTCTAGTTGCTTCTTCTTTGGTGCGTTAGCATGAGCGCAAACTTGGAAAGTAAGCCCAAGAATTCGTACCTCAATGGGGCTACCGCTCTGTCTGTCCGTCATCCAGGCATAATCGAGGTTGAAGCTGATCAGTCGGAGAATGGTGATGTTGAAGAGAATGTGCCACCGGTTCAGGAGTCCTTGTTGGCTGTCCATCCAAGAAGCAAGATCAAGCAGGCTGTCTGGCGCAAAGGGAATCAAGTTCACGAACGTCTTGAATCTGTAACCATCGTAGACTTTCATAGTCACCAAGATGTAGAGGTTGAAGATCCATGTCGCCCATGGGACAACCTTTCTCGGGAGCCTAGTTGCAATTTGGTAATTCAACCACAAGAGACCTAGGATTTTAAGCCCGCTGGTTCCGTGGAGGGCTGTGAGGAGAATAGCACCAAAGAAGGCATCAAACGATATGCGCTGCTCTAGCCGTGCCTCGGCAGCTCTGGGTGATGTTTCAGAGGCACCAGGCTCAAGTCGTGTGGGCTTGAATAGCTTCCAAACTCGGCGCAAGAGCGGCTGCACAACGAGTAGTCCAAAAATATGCGGGATCTTTCCCCTAATCGTTCGTAGCTGGCTGTCCGATACATCAACCTTGCGACCCAGCATCCAGCCGTCTGACAGATAGCGCTGGAACTTTGGGTACCTTGGGTCGGATTCCCTGGACACTTCAAAAGGAACCCAAAACATGTAAGGAATCGCAACCAAGAACACCAAGTAGTATAGGTAGAACTCGGGTGTGCTCCATTTTGATCTCTCTGCTTTCTTCCCCTTGCTCAAGCCGCCCTCTTGTGCTCCATGTGGATCGTTTCTCGCCTCGGCCGCAAGCTTGTATGGGACGGACGAAGGTGTTGTGAATCGTGTGTCGAGCGTGTCTAGTTGGTATATGCTTCGAACGAAGCCGAGGATGCCTCCTCCCATCTTCCAAGGTAAGATGCGCCGCACTTCAGAGCATAACCGAGCTTTGATGACGTGGGAGTCGCGAGAAAAATGTGTTTTACTTCGAAGCGTCACTGATTCAAGGTTCTTTCATCCGGTGTGATCTTTTTCGATGTCGCAGATGATGGTTGACCTCGTCTTGGGTAAGATCGGTCCTTCAAGGTTCACGATGGCTTGGCTTGGTGTTGACTCGGCGCAAACGCTGTCCGATAGTGTGCTCGATTATATGCGGGAAGCCTGCGAGTCAATGAGCATCCTGAGTAGACCTGGATATAAATAGTCCCTACTTTGATATTGACCGCTTAATGGTTGTGGCGTTGTTCGTATTGGAGAGCTGTCCTTGAACTATTCAATCAAGCGATACGACGAGCGACATGGATAACAAATGGGTAGTTGTTCTAGGTAGCTCCAATTTCCCCAGAGAGGGGCGCTGTAACTTTGCAGTTGGTAGCAGCTGGCGTGGGGCTGTGTCAGCCCAAGCCACGTGTGTGTTGCCCCTGAGTCCCTGGCTGAGCTCTCCCTCGGCGTCCATTCTGTTGGCTGTCCGCTTGTCACTGAGTGGAAGATACACTACAACGAAGACAAACCTAGGTAACCTAGTCCCCTTTTTGCCTGGTTCTCTGCGTGGTTTCAACGGTCCAGACTCTGGTCCCACGAAATGGTACAAATCTGTCTGGGAGTCGTTCGTGAAAGAAGGAAGACATCTTCTTCCAAACTTCGCCTGAGCGTCGACGAGCAAAACAGAAACTACAAGTGGCAACGGCAGAGCAACTGGCAAGTCTACTCTCTGTCCGCTGCTTCGTTCCATGTTTGAGATACCCCTGAGTGACCCGTGCCCCTTTTGCACGTCTGCTAGTACATCCAGGAGAACGGAAGCCTGCGTACATATCATTCGTCAAACCTGATGTCAGCCCGTTTCCTGTAGAGTTGCATTCAGCTTTTTTCTGTCCTGTCCTGTCCTGTCCTGTCTCTGTGAGGGCGAAAAGGGTGATCTTTACGGCAGAGCCGCAACATAAGGGCGGGAACGTGTTTCTCGGGTCCCATCTTGCAACACCTTCCTCGGCTCGGACTGCGGGTCAGTTCCAAGCAAGAGATCACCAGATTTGACCGAAGCCATTCCAAGGGGGTTCAAATCAAGTTCTTGCCAGTCCAGTTTACTTTTGAACGTACATTACGCTCACATATAAGCGCCTTGAAGGGTTTCATCTTTTTCAGCCCGGCAAGTTGCAGGTGTTTGGGAGACGAACTGGAACTGCAGATGAGCTGGCTAGGTAGGTAGTGTACACAAGGTCACATAAGTATACGCAGGTCCTGGACCAGAGACTGTTCCCCCGTCCTGCCACCCTCCAGACCCGAGCACTGAATATGGAAGCTACCTCTACAGTACCGTCAAACCTACTTCTCGAGAGGTCTACTCTAGGCACATGTAACAGATCATTGAGACAGATGCCAATCAAGCTTATCATCATACATCAAGGAGGGACAGTGCTGCCCTATGTCCTACCAATACGCGGCGGGGGTTTGGCTGCGCAGCTCACCATCCAGTCACTCCAAGTTGTGTCCATTCTGTAATTGGACCCCTGGCCCATCGTCCCCTCCCCAGACCCTTGAGAGTCCCTGAGAGTCCCTGACTGCATCCCATCCATCAATGTAACTCCACTGGAAGGCATCCGGCACTCCACCAGGCACGCACCCCTCCGGCCGGCTGCCTCTCAAAAGGGCCCCGGCCATCCTTGTCGCAGCTGTCCTGCACGACCATCAGCGGCTGCCCCTCGCTAACAAGCGGGTACCTGTAGGCGTCACAGTAGCGAGTTTGCAGAAGGGAAGGTGTTAATGTCGGGTGCTGCCCGTTAGACGCCTGATTCCATCCCGGACATTGGTCGGAGGGGGACCTGAGTTCCCTTGAGCTCCATTCGCGGCCTCAATTGCCATCGAGTAAAGTGTACGTACGACATTGTTGCCCGGCGGGAATGCAACTTCCTTCCCTTTCACAACACGCGTTAACAGTTGTCGTGCCATCATGCTATCCTCACATTTCCCTTGATATGAATGGGTGTATCAGATGTGCCCAACATAAAATTCAACTAACGACGACCCATTTTTTCTTCCTCTTTTTGTCACTGCTAAGCCGGCCCAACCGTAGCGGACGGTAAGTAGCGGACGGTCCACTCGCTCCGTTCCTTTATTTGATCGCCGTCACAGTGTTCACGGGATCTCCTTCCTGTTTTTCTGTCCCTCCTACCGACCGTACCCTTTTCCCCAATTCTTCGATACCCGCCTTTTCTGGTCTTCACTTGGCCCGCTTGCACTCCCGGGCGCCGACGACTTTGGCTCAACAGACGGTCGTTTCTTTTGTGGTCGGCACAGCTTGACCCGGAACGGGTCCCGAACCTTGTTGCCCCTCGCGGCCCAACGACTTCGCAGTACCATTCGACACAAGCAATATTATAATCCTTTATTGAGTATATTGAACTCTCGAACACAGTCGACTATACATACACCTCGCTTCTTTGCTTGAACGGGCGCGATCGCTTCCCCCTTTGTGCGAAAGAGCTGCACCTGCATGCGGACATAGACCGTCACCGTCATCTTGCTTCCGAACGCGGCGCATAAGGCAGGTCCTGAGTGCATAGGAAGATGGCATACAGTGGAGGGTACGAAAGAGGGCCGGGAGGACGCCAGTACGGCGGTCAAGCACCGCCACCTAGAGGACCGCCGCAGCGCGCATACACCGCTGGACCTGGCATGCCACAACAGCAGTACAATGCGCCGCCGCCTCAGCAGCACTACGACCGATATCAGGAAGACTATGGCTATGGCGGCGGCTACGATGACCATGGGGGTGGTTATGATCAGGGATATGGAGGACAAGATCAAGGTTACGGTGGACAATATGATGACAGAAACTACCAGAGAGGCCCGCCAGCGCAGGATTACCCTCAGCAAGACTACTTTATTCCCGGGCCCAATGGCCGCAATGGACCCCCTCCTGAAGCTGCTGCTCCCGGTCCCGGCCCCGGCCGAGGTGGACCACCCATGCAAGGTGGCAGAGCCGGGCCCGCTGGTCCGATGCGTCCTCCTGCAGACAACGGCAGGGGTCTTCCAGCTCCCTATCCGCCGCGTGGTGGCGGCTACCCTCCGGGCCCGGGACGGGGTTATCCGCCCCAAGGCCCCGGTGGGAGGCCAGGCCCTCCGGATCGAGCTGTGGCTTCAGATCCCAGCGGTGGGTCTCACGCTTGCACATAGACTTTCCAAATGACTTCACTGACAATCTTCCAGCGAACCACCGACCACCCATGAATGGCCCCGGTCCGGGTCCCGGTCCCGGCCCTCTGAGTCCTGAAAACCGTGGTTTTGGCGGTGGTAATTTCCGGGGCCCTCCGGGAGCGCAGCGAAGGCCTGATATGGACAATGTTACAGCGCAAATGGATGGGATGAATCTCTCGATTCAGAGGCCACCAACAAGAGGACCTCCTGGGCCTAATGGTACTGGACCGCAACGTGCACCAATGCGCCCAGATACCAGGGACGGGTATGGAGGGCCGATGCGTCCTAATACTAGAGACGGCTATGGAGGACCAGGACCTGGAGGGCCGCAAAGGGGACCGCCTCAGCCATACCGCCCTCAACAGGACATTCAAGATCAGTGGCGAGGCCCTCCTCCTGGCTCGGACTTTGGTCAGCCTGGGGTTTTTCAGGATGGTGGTTTTGGTCCACCTGGGCGGAGTATGACCATGCCTGCGAGAGATGATATGGGCTTTCAGCCCCCGCCGCAGAATTTCATGCACCAGAGCGACAGTGTCCCTTACAATGGTCCTGTTGGACGCGCGATACAGAGACCAAACACGGCTCAAGGTGCACGGGCGCCACCGCAGAGGGTTTACCTGTCTGACCATGGAGTTCCTCCACTACCACAAAACAACTACGACCAAGGGTACGGGAACCGACAAGACATAGCCTATGGAGGTCAACAGCAACAGCAGCAACCCGGTCCTGTCGATGATTACTACGAGGACTATTATGAGCCTACTGGCAACGGCGGGTACCCAGCTCAATCAGACGGCCCAAACTTTGATGCCATTTCCCCTCACAGGCATAAAGATTCTTTTGACCAGCACATGCAGCCTAATCAGATGCAGCACCAAGCTCAACGTGGGCCTGGCCGCCTACCGGAGATGTCTCGGGCCAAGTCTCAACCTGACCTGCGAAATTCGCAGACGGCTGTATTTGAAATGGCAGGTGATATGCCCCCGGTACCCATGATGCAACAACAAACCGGGGGCCCGCGTGGTTCGCTTGAAAGTCAGAACAGTCTTCACAGGCCGTCCCCTAATGGTCAACCAGGGCCACTGCCACCAGGAGCTGGTATAACTGCTCACCCAGCACCATACAGACCCGGGCAATCTGCGCCCCCTCAGGGACCGTATAACTCGGACAATTTGCCATTGCATCCTGCTCCAGTACGCCCAGGTCAGATGCCCGGCTCTATGGTCAATTTGAATGACAGGCCCCCTCCAGTCAGGAACTACCAGGCTGCTATGAACAGTATGCCTGCTCCTCCCCCTCTCAACAATCAACCTGGTCCTCAGCCGATGCAAAGCGGTCCTGGTTCGCCGCCCCCTCCCACGAAACCAGTCGAGCCCAAAGTTACTGTGGAAGAACTGGAGCACCTGCGGGCCATTGTCAAAAACGATTTCAATGATCAACAGTCTGCTCTTCGGCTTGCTAAGAAACTAGTCGAAGCGTCAGACGTCTTGGTTCCAAATCTGCCTGACCCCAAGGCTCGCGCTCGTTCTCGGGATCGCTACCTTGTTGACGCTCACAAGATTCTTCGCAAGCTTGAGAAGGCCAGCAACCCAGACGCCATGTTCTTCTTGGCCGACAGCATCGGCCGTGGGCTGTTCAGCTCTGAGCCCGACCACGCACATGCTTTCTCGCTCTACCAGTCCGCCGCGAAGCTCGGCCACGCGGCAGCAGCCTACCGCACCGCCGTCTGCTGCGAGATCGGCAACGACGAGGGCGGCGGGACCCGTAAGGACCCCATCAAGGCTATCCAATGGTATAAGCGCGCCGCGACGCTGGGCGACACCCCCGCCATGTACAAGGTTGGAATGATCTTGCTCAAGGGACTGCTGGGTCAGCCGAAGAACAGGCGGGAGGCCATCAGCTGGCTCAAGCGGGCCGCCGAGCGCGCCGATACCGAGAACCCGCACGCCCTCCACGAGCTCGCACTCCTGTACGCCAGCGCTGAGCCCGACGACGTTATCCTCCGCGACGAGGCGTACGCCTTCAGCCTGTTCAAGCAGGCGGCCGAGCTGGGATATAAGTTTAGCCAATTCCGTCTGGGCGCTGCATATGAGTACGGTCTGTTCGGCTGCCCGATCGACCCGCGGTTATCTATCATGTGGTATAGCCGCGCGGCGACCCAGGAGGAGCATCAGAGTGAGCTGGCGCTTTCAGGATGGTACTTTACTGGTAGTGAGGGTGTGTTGCAGCAAAACGATACCGAGGCGTATCTGTGGGCGAGAAAGGCTGCCATGGCTGGGCTGGCCAAGGCCGAGTTTGCCATGGGTTACTTTACGGAGGAGGGTATCGGTGTGCCAGCCAACCTTGAGGATGCGAAGAGGTGGTACTGGCGGGCTGCTGGTAAGTCTCTTTTTTTTTCTCCATACCCTAACCCTGTCCTCGCATCCATTGAGAAAAGTTCATTCACTAACCAACTATCTGCATCGATATAGCCCAAGACCACCCCAAAGCCCGCGAGCGTCTAGAGGAGCTCAAGCGATCAGGAAAGAACGGGCCGAGAAACCGGGAGAAGATTTCTCGCAACAGAAATTCGAGGCAGCAGGAGGGTGAATGCTTGGTAATGTAAAATCCGTAATCATATAAGGTCGAATGAATCTAGGGGGTGGTACCTAGCCGGCCAATTTCCCTTTGGGAGGCAACATCGTATTGCGTTGTATTTTGGGAGCTAGGATATGTAGAAGAAGTAATCTATGCACACCCATACCCGGCCGATGGTTCATGCCGAAGTTCCTCATACACTGGACTTTGATGATGGCTCCTGTTCACTTGCCTTTCCAGGAGTCCTCTGCCATTGTACGGGGCAATTCAGCGTCATCTTTGACGCTTGACACCTCCTTCTTTCTCTCAACAGAAAGTCGACGTATGAAATTACATCATATTGCCATAACAACATCAAGCACGCTTCAAGGCGAGGCATCCCTTAGTTCGTACTTTGGGCCAGAAAGCCATTACAATTACAATGACCTGAAATCACAAAGATCTCCAATTCCAACCGAGTTAACAATCTAATGTACGAATTATGTGCATGCTCAACACCACAATGAGGTGCAAGCTACCAATGCAATAATAACCTCTGTGTCAATAGCTATCTATGTAACAGCCCGATTAGCTCAGCTGGTTAGAGCGTCGTACTAATATCTTCACCGAGATATCAAGTTCATGCGAAGGTCAACAGTTCAATCCTGTTATTGGGCATAATCCATTATTTTTTTCTCCCTTGTACACACCGAGGGTATTAGTTCAGTCCTATTATTCGATACATTTGTAATTGAATTTTTCTTTTTTTGGCGGAATCATTTGTTCCCAACACTCTTGTTCGTGTCGTTACGGCCGTTAGAAAAACATATAGTAACCCGCGTCCTAACAAATTATTGTTACTCTTCTCTACCTAGACCATAGTTGAAGTCTTCTACTGCATCAACAGACATATGAAATATGATGAATACGCTTAATGCTCCCAATTGGTTAAATCCTCCTCGCGAATTCTCAACTCCTTCCGAGTCCACCGCAGCGCCTTCTCTAAATCCCTTGTGCTAGTGTTGCGAATAGTTTCAGCTGAAAACGGTGCGCCGCTTTGGTCATACCGCGCTTTCTTCTCTGACTCTCCATGAGCTAGCAATAACTTGAATCAGTTGATGCGTCACTGAAAAGCTGTAATAGAATCGAGAAACGAACAGGACAGAATGAATGTTGGCCACCCTCGGCTGGCGTCTCTGTCGACTTGAAGATATCATCAAGGAGCAGTGAGGAAAAAGATAATGACGAAGACGAAGAACAACGTACCGATACGGAGGGAGCAACTCTTCCCCTCACCCTTGTAATAGCAGCTGAAGCAAGCGCCTCCATGCACCGCCCGACCGCCAGCGACACACTCCGCAAACGGCCCATAGTTGTCTACAATCTCACACTTGGTACAAGTCTTCTCTCCATTCTCTTGCGGCGTAAAAAGATAATGAGCAATGCCAGTATAATGCGCTTGACGCTCCCACTTGAGGTTTGAGGTGACTAGTTGACCTCTGACCCAGTACTGCTTTAGCCAGAGAGGGCGCAAGATGGTCTGCGAGTTACAAGCATTAGATTATGTTTTGGTACAATTTTTTTTTCTTTGGGGTAATATGTTCGGTACCTTGTGTTTGGAGATGATGGCCAGCGTCTGACTGAACTCACACTCCAATAACTTCTTCAAAGCGAAGCGAGGACGCTGTTTCGGCGAGAGGCTGTCCCTCCAGTAATCGATGTCCTCATTCGCATCGCTATCTTGGCCGAGGGACTCGTCACCGAAGACGTAAGGTATGAACATGTTGGGTGGCGGCGCGAGCCGCGCGGGCGGGTCGTCCCTGGTCCTGCTCTCCTCTATCTTGTCGTCGGGCATGAAGAGGTAAGGTGTGAACACGTTGGCGGCTTCGCTTCTCTTCTCCTCAATGCGTCGTCGCTTCTTGGGCGCCTGAAAGTCTTCTTCGGAGGTTTCAATTATTGGTTCCATGTCGGGCGATGACACGGGTAGCGCGGACGGGTCGGCCTTGTTCTCGTCGCATTCGATATTGGGCATCTGGATGGATTTTCCTGTTCGATATTAGTATTTGAAGCAACTGTATCGCTGAATACCATTTGTTGTCTTGTATACGATCACTTACCAGGGTTTTGCTCTTGGTGATTTGATACCTCCCACCAGAAGGACAAAAGGTTATAATATGTGAATGGGCAATTATAAGAATTACTACCTCTATGGACGAGATGAAGTTTGTTGCAGGTAGGTAGCTGGGCTGTTTAGATCCATTGCCGAGCCGACGGAGACAGCTGGTACGGTAGAAGGGGGGAAAACACTGCCAACGGATCACACCCTCAGTATCTTAGAGGCGTTGATACCTCTAAAATCTCCAAGTGACAGCTGTTAACAGCTATGAGAAACTGATCTTGATTTGAAAACAACGAACATAATCTTTAGACACTGTATTTTGAAACCAACCTAGATCTAGACTGCTAGTTGATGATGGCGTGGGTCTTGGGGTCACCTGCTTCACGAGTGTGGAATTTGGAGGTACGTGCGATAACCATGCTGTTCCCGTTCTTTGTGCCAGCTAGTCGAAATAGGAAGTGTGGACTCATGGATTGTGATTAATCGGGTACGATTTTGGTCTGAAGGGCCTTATGCAACGGGTTTTTCTACACAAATGACAGCTAATTTGCGAACTATCCTGAGTTGAGTTGTAATATGCTTTGGAGTCTCCATTCACGTTGGGCTGAGTCGATTGGGGTTGATCTAAGTCAATCTGCGTTGATCTGAGTTGATCTAAGTTGATTTGAGCTGAACTTGGTTGAATTATCTTGAGCGCCGTGAAAGAACTGCATGAGAATTAATACAGTCATACTTATATTCGTAGACTATCTTTACTACTACAATGGTTAGATCAGAACAACGAATACTCAGAAATGACTCTTCAAGGGCTCTTATTTCTTCGCGGCGCTCCACGAACTCAGCAACTTCGTGTTGCTAGTCTAGTTACTGCCATGGTGGAAAGTCGACCAAGACTATCGTTGCACTTCATCTTACTAAAGACACAATGCCACAACATAAAGAGAAGCATTCAAAGGCTCAATGAGATAGATAAAAGCCTTCACACGCTCTTGTAATTTCTTGTTTCTCTAATAATCATCAGATATTTTGCATCAATAACCCATCCAAATTAGTAGGAAACTAAGCTACTGACACTCTACCGCCGCATCACTGCGATAACGATATATGGCTAGTTGAAGTGAGGTTTCCCTTCACTCTGTATCAGCACATAGGCTTAAAGAAAAAGTCGTCCTTGTATTGTCACCATTTCCAGCTTGTGGTCAGGAGTCCCTACTTGTTTGTGAACCCAGACAGTTTGAACCCAAGTATGTGCACATTCAGCACGTCAAAGATGACGAGCAGAGAATTTAGGGCCTTTGACCTTGAATTTCAGAGATACACGAGTTTAACGCGTTGCTATGGTTTTGTGTTGCAGTCCACTTTTCTCGCAACTCCAAAGATCAAGACTATGCATGAGCATTTTTAGGGCTGCCTATCTGGGTTGCGTAGGTTGTGAAGGTGTCTCGCCGTTGAGGTTATGATCACTTCTATATGATGTGATGTGTGAGGTCACTTTTGTTGGTTATGGAATTTGGATTATTACTAGACTAAGTGTTAAGATTGTCCTGTACTGTAAAGTAGAGCAGAGAACTTTGACTAGGCATGCTATGAAAATGAAGAGAATAATTCCGCTAAGAAACGGGTGATGGACAAAGAGACCTTGGGTGTGGTGACTGTACCGAGACGGGAAACGTCGTGGTTGTTGTTGAAGATTGACCAACTTTCCTGCATCTAGTGACACCGATCTGTGATATGCCATTGCCCAAGCTCAAGTAAAGGAGAACAAATGTGATACATACGTAAAGAAAAGAAAAGAAAAGAAATGAAATGAAAATGAGACTGAAGAGATCAGAAATGAAAGGATGAAGACGAAAACTTTCAGTAGAACAGGACCAAGTTGCGAAAACATGCTAGCCCAACCGCCGAATATGATATGACTGTAATTCTTGTCATCAACCAACCGAGGCTGAAGGCGAGGCAGGAGGCGTGGTCCCATGAGGTGTATTTTCTCCTGATGAGAAAGTAGACCGGGCACTGTGGTAGCTATGGGCCCATTAAGACTGTTAACAGTGTTCCTTTTTCCTACAAGTAAACACAAGAACCAAGTACTCACCTGCTAACAGTAGTGTACTGGGTCTCAGCCATCGACACAAACGACGAACCCGACGGCTTCTTCGAATCAGTACCTCTATAATGTGCATCAATCTCATCTCTGAGACCCAGTTCCGTGACGGTGTCCTTAAATGCCACTTTGGTAGGAGTGGGCAGGCCGTGCTCCGTCACCGTATCCACCGCTGGCTCTATTATGACTTGTGGCAGCTGCGGCGTCATTGAGCGCTTCATGTTTGAGGTGGAAGCCACCAAGAAAGCTCGTTTGGATGGACTCCAAACCTCACCTGAAGGGGCACGTGGCCAGGGGTTGAATCCCACGTCGAGATTGCTGAAGCTACCGTGGATTTTCTTCCTAATTTGTTCCTCTGTTGGCTCATCTTGGCGCTTTGACGAGGTTTCATGAGAAATGCTGCTTGAAGTCGTGCCTGGCCCTGTGTTGTCTGCAATTGATGCTCCGGATATGTCTTTTACGTCTTGGTGCGGTTTGAAGATATCCCTGATGGCTGGCTTGTAACGCTGTCGGAAAACGTGAAGAGAGCCACCCGCATCAGCACGATACGGCTTTGCCATGATAGCAGCAGAAACAGACTCGTTCTTATCGATGACTATTGTGGTCTCGGGGGTACGAGCACTTTCAACGGGAGTGTTCCCAGCCTGCGCGCTCTCGACAGGAGCAATGAACATTTCGTGAGCTTGCTCAATGGCACTGGGTCCTCTCTTCACAGGCTTCTTCTTCTTCTTGGTCACCTTTTTAGACTCATCTTGCGAGGCTTGCGTGGATTTGCTGTCAGCAACAACAACTGGCGCCAGCTGTGACTCCTTCTTTGCAGCTTGATGTGCATAATTCTCCTTTTTCTTCTTTTTGGTAGGCTTCTTCTTGCCTTTTCCGTTTCCGGGCAAGTTCTGTTCCTTGTCTGCTTCCTCGGGCTCCATCATGGGTGGGATAACATCTGTCAAGTCCGAGTTTCTCGGAGATGCCTTATCTTGGATCCTGGGTACTTGGGCAAACCATTGTGACGGCAAAACTTGCCTACCAGTCGATTTGTACCGTATCACTGTTCCAGTTTTCTCGTCCAAGTTTCCGGATTGTCCCGAGTTCCAATTGTTGGGGGGTTGAAGTTGCTCAACTGACTCTAACTTCATCGACGTCTCCTAATCGCCGACGATGTAAGTCTCATGATGTCCTCTGCCTTCCTGATAGATTCCAGCCTGTTGGTCTTCGCCGTTCGAGCCCTGCTGCGGAGCGGAAGCTCTCTCTTGCTCGAGCCGGATTTCCTGCGATGTACTACGAGATGAAGGTAGTCTCACCGGAATTCTGTGGGAGCTAGAGAGATTGGAGGTGCTTGAGGATGGTAACTCCTCCTCTTGCAGTAAGCACACTTCGGCAGGTTGCTTAGTCTGCGCATGTGAACATTTTCCTTGGTGATGCTCAATGTGTGAATGTCCGGTTTGATTTGATGACTGATTGGCCATTTGCACCGCCCGTGGTCCTGCCGACGGTCCCACCCGCTGTCCAAGATGAATGGGCATATGTCCATGTTGATGGGGGCCACCAGGATGAGGTCCATGCGGGGGTTGTTCGGGCCAAGGGGTATAGACCATCGGCATCCTAGGCTGATGATGAACATTCGGGATTTTTAAACCTTGTGGCCACAAATGAGTCCTAGGCAGCCCTGGAAGGGGTGCCTGTGGCACTACCGGTGGCACTGTTGGTAAACCGCTGCCAAAGGGAGGCGGTAGGGGATATGTAGGGACGACGTGGCTAGGACTGGTGTAATGCATATGAGCAGGGTGGAAAGGGACGGGCTGAGCAGTATTGCCTGGAGCAGGCACCCTGTAGGGCGAAGGAGCAAGGCATTGGAGTTGCTGGGGGTGCTGGAGACAAGGGGGGTGATGCGGATGATGGGGATGATATGAAGATGCCAGCATACTCGAAAAAATGGTCGGGTTTCCTCCGACGAAGGGATCAGTCTCCGCGATAAATGGATGCCTCGAAGTTCTGGCATTGCGCAAACCGGCTGAACCGCCACTGCCATTATAGCCAGCCTTCTGGCTAGAAGTGACAGAAGGTGTGCGCTCATGGAGCTGTGCAGTTTCCATAGTTGGTGGTAGTCCAATTTCAGCCTCGCGTTGCTGAGGTTGATACCGCCAGTGTTTGGTGACCCAAGGGTGCTCGAGCTGTAAACGGAAAAAGCCGGTGTCATCTTGAATTTGGGCACCATTGCCAACCTTCACGGCCTTCACCGCATCTTCTTCCTTCCGGAAACTAAATCGCGAGTCAGCGTAAGTATTTAACCGTTTCCGTGTGTTTCAAGTATGCAGATACTCACGTAACATATGCAATAGTCTTACTGTCAGGTTTCCATGAGGCTCTGGAGCCTTCAATACTCCCGAATCGACGGAGATAATCCTCAACGGCTTTCAGTTTGCTCCGCGCGGAAACTGTTCTTTGGACAAGGAAAGCACGAACACTACGATTCTTCCTACTGCAAGGATTGCACTCACAGGGTTCCCAGACGGCCTGACAACCCATCTTCCCAAGGTTAGGACATTGAAGAATAGAGTTGGCCGCTGGTTCCTGAGCGCTGGTGTTGCTGCTATCCTGAACTTGTTTGTGATGCTGCCTGATTGGGCCATGTATGGGATCATTCCGCGAGTGAGACCATCCATTTTGGGGCTTCTGGTCGGTTCCTTTTTTCTTCTGTTGGCCTTGTGCTTGGGGTACCGAGGCGGGCTGATTAGGAAAACGGCCAGAAGTGATACGGTCACGAGTTTGAGTCTGCGGGCTGGCGTTTCCAAGCTGAGATTTGCTTGGGAAAACGATTCCGGTAAGGGGCACCTTAGTAAGAGTAGTAGAGGATTTGGAATATGCTGGCATTTGCTGCGGAATTTTGTTAGGAAGGCGAGATGGACCTGCGATTCCCGTCTCGACTTGGAGTTTGCTGAGTTCAGACTTTGGGATTGGGCCTGACTTTGACGCTTTGTGTTGTATTTTGTTCGCCTTTTGGACGTGCTCGCTCTTGATTGGAATTTCGACCTCGCTGGCAGCAGGTTTGTCGCAAAAGCCCGAACTTCGTCTAATCGAAGGGATAAAGTCAGGGGCCGTGGCTTGGATTGATGCTGACGCGACGCGTGCGAAGGGATATAATACTACGGGAGCGCCTATAAAGAGTAAGTTCGAAAGCTTTATCTCGTGCTAAACTATCGAAGGAGGAAGGCCAAGGGGTAGTAGTGATGTGTGAACTTACCTTGACAGTCAAGCGGAAGTGTATCCTCAGCAGGAGGGATGGTGGCCATAGTGCTTGGGGAGGTCACAGCCATAATGTCTGGGTTGCGATAGTAGTGATACCAGTACTTCAGCTGGTCACAGAAGAAGACAACGCAATCTTTCGGGAAGGTAACACCGTGGGCGTAGATGTTATCCCAGTCAGAAGGACCGAACACCGACATAATATCCTTGGTAGTATCCCAACAACTCAGCCTGTAGCGATTTTGTTCCCAGGTGAGCCAGCTTTCGACCCACATGCAGATTTGATTCTCCTTGAGGAGTCGGAAGACCACCTCAAGGAGGTTAGAAGCGCCTTTGTACCACAGATCGATCGGGTGGAAGTACTGGTGAAGGTCCTCCCAGTAACAAGGATTAGCCATGCCTTCAACATCATCGGGCTGAAGACTGCGAATCTCTGCTGCAACTTCCTGGATCTTCTGAGGAGACCAATTGCGTGGTGTATCGCGAGCGGGCAACTCATGTTTTAAAGCAGGCTTGCCTGCATGAAGCGAAAAGGCGCACTTCGACCCGGACGGTAAGTATGTGTACAAGCTGACCTTTGGCTTCTCGGTTATTGGGGTCGGGGCTGGCATCTTGTCGGAGGTGAGTACAAGGACACCTTGGCGGGTAGCGTGTCGAGCCATTTTTGTTGAAGAGGGCTAAGCTGGAGGGTGATATACCGCAAACCTGGCTTTTTGGCGACCTAGACCAGATTCCGCTGTGACAGATAAGTAGACCTGGTGACAAATAACCTTGTTTTCAGATCAATCAGATTTGCAAGGGCCTTTGCCGACGAGCAAAGGTTGCCGGAAGGAGCTCAATCAAGCTCAGCATTGGCGGGGTGACGGTTTGTCAAGAGCTTGGTATGCGCTTCGCGAAGAAGGCTGCTTGCAACGAGTTGACCGAAAGTATCTTTGTCGGTCAGTTGCTGCGACGGTAGAAAGACTCGCTGTCCTATGTTGATGGTGTTCAGACAGAACAGGCGACCGTGGAAGGTTGTTCTGGGAGGAAGAAAAAGGGTGGGCGGGAAATGGTCAGCGCTAGGGTTTTATGTTCGAGGACTGCCCGGGCTCTGCACGAGTGAGTGGGGAATTGTTTTCGAGGTGAAGTGTTGTTGACCGGAAAATGAGGCGAGGCCGAGCTTCTGCCCGAATATTCTACCGGCAAACGTATTCGTCGAACATGCTGCCGCCGATTTTTTTCATGCCCGACATTATCGTTCCCGGATTTACCACGCACGAAGACGGGGAAGAACGTACCGAACCTGTGCAGGACGATAACATAAAAATTTGGTTGAAACCCTTTCCCGCAAGCCCCTCTAGACTAGTGCCATATTGCCTAGCCATCTCCGTCTCCTTCTTCTTGTTCTTGATGGATGCGGGCATGGCATTGTGCAGATGTCCAATGTGTGGATGCATTGATATCAGTGCTGATATTCCTTCATTCGATCTTTGCTCATGACAATTTTAGCCCAATAACGCTCACTATGTCATAAGAAAGAAAAGAGGCGATCATCCATGGACAGGCTTGCCCGGTTACTTGGAAAGACTTCTTCTTGCTTCATTCAACCACTTGGTATCTATAAAGTAAAGGTGCTTCGGTGAGAGGAGCACGGACAACAATGCCGATTACATAACAGAAGGGGAGGAGAGGAGTATCTTCTTGACAAGAACAGAATTGGAAAAAGGAAAAAAAAATGGGGATAATGCGCATCAGCATTAGTTTTTCTTGGGGAGACCCTCCAACAACTTGAGAATGGCAGACTCGTTGTCGCCAGTGAAGACCTTGCCGTTGTTCCAGTCAACCACCTGCAGTGACAAGTAATCTGGTCAGTAAACTGCCCAGGTATGTGCTCAAGGCGGAGGGGGGAGACGGACAATGGGCCTGTTGAGGTTATCACCGTTCTCCTTGAACTTCTTCAGGGCTTCTGTCTCATTTTGGGCATTGCTGATGATGGATGAAATACCCGTCTTGCCCACATAGTCCAACATGGTTCTGAGCTGTTCAGTGGTGGGTGCCTCCTCGGTGATGTTGAGCTCAAAGTCAGACTTCTTGGCGGGCGCATTGTCGGAAACAGCAGCACCTGAGCCTGCGGCTTGCTTGAGGAGAGTGGCAATCCTGATGGATGCAGGGTTGCTCGCCTTGTGGAAAAGAGTGATGGTGTCAAGCACCTTGGGCTGGAGCTACATTTGCCGGGTCAATGTACTGTCTTGCTGAAATGTAGCTTTTCGGCAGCTGTACGTCGGGCCACTTACAAACTTGAACATTGCGGATTTGAATGTTGAACAGTCTCGGGTGGAAAAGTGAAAGATATTTTGGACTGGACTGAGAGGCTGTCGTTGATGATCTTGATGATTAGTGTGTTGTTGACGTGAGGTCTTCCGTGCAATCGTCTGGGTGACGTCCACGAATGGAAACCTGCGTTGCCCCGGCAGGCAGGCTTTCTCGCTGCCCTCAGACGGGAGCTTGGGCCACGCCGACGGCGTTGAGCCTCAACTCGGATTGCCCAATCGGGATGAAATGTGGAGCTCAAACTAGTCCAGGGTACCTCTAGGTACTGAGGTGTACGTCTTTGCTAGCATTTCATAAGTTAGCGCGGTGAACTGCAAAAGTGGCGATAACTTTGTTTTCCGTACTGTACAGAAGATGGCGGTGTTGCTCAGCTCTAATAACCTAAATAACATAAAATGGTGGTGCCACGCTAACAAGTTGTATGCCGCCAGAAGTGTAGTGTACATAGAGGTATCTTTGATAGGTCACAGCACGCCTCCATCCATTGTTTGCCAACAACCTAGCCAGCTGTTGTACGTTGGGTCTGTGCCGTCGGAGTATTTGTGCCTCTTCGTTTCAGAGGGTTCGAAATATCATCGAATCACAGGCACAGCAGATTTCATCTGGAAGCTTCCCTTTTCAGAGACTACAGGTACAGAAGGAACGAGTGCCTTTCTTTAGTTACGTATCTTGCCTGCCAACTGTACCTACCTAGGTATCAATGTCATGGCCAGATTCACGCTCCCGTTTGTTTCAATGCTCAAGTTCCGAGTCGAGTTTCACCTCAGACCTGTACACAGCAGAAGAGGGAAGATGCTGGTATGACACGGGTGCATACCCCGGTACTCTTTCCGCCCGGCCGTGTCCTTCGCTTCGTCTCGACTTGTTGACCTAGACAGTTAAGAGGTTAGGTTTCTTGACTCTCTGGACAATCGATAGATTAGACATGCCCTCCAAGTTTCTACTCCCCACCCCACAAGTGGGATTTCCCGCAGGCGGGGCCCGCCTGCCGATGAAGCGCCTTGGCGCCCCTTCCTCCACGTAACCCAGCATTACGATCAGGGTGCTGATGGTACCAACAACTTTATCTCTTCCGCTTCCGCCTTCTGCTGCGCACAAACGCTGTATTGTGACCGTACAGGTACACACGGCGGAGGTTTGTGGTTGTTCCAGTCTAGTGCCTGGATTCATCTTGTTTATCTATACGCAGTAGTGTATGATCGATCTATCCGAGTTTGTCGGGCAAAAAGATGCAATACTGCAAACACTTTAGCGCACTTTGGCTTCCCCGCAACCACAGCGCCCTGTCGATCAATGACGTAAATGACTGGACCAAAGCCAAAACACGCAAAGGAAGCACCAGTGGCGCAAGACGACCCGATTAGCCCGATGTTGTCCGCCTGCCCACTGCAAGCGAGGCGTCGCATCATTACGTACTATACCATAACTGTGATCCATCATAAAATTCATACATCCGGGCAATTGCCCTCTACTGAGCTTTACGTGATGGACAGACGGCCCCGTTCAATGTGAACTGTGGACGCCGAGTGGTCCTGGCATGACGTACAGTTAGTGGACCCCAATGACCAGACCAAACCAGCAGGAGTCCTTCCCTCTTGTTGTCTTGGAGGTTTGGGGAATATAAGTAGAAGCAAGTAGCCGCAGTTCAGGTTGTCTTTGTCTTATTCCGCATTCATCTTGAACAAGAGCGTTCACAGCATCATCAAACATCAGTACTACAAGCATTTGTTTATGTGCAATACTCCTGGCTTCAGATTCCCACCAAACGTACAGTTTCAGCAACACCCAAGCAGCAGAACATCTGGCAACATGAACTCCAACGTCGGAAACGCCCAGGTCTACGAGGCCGGAGACCAGCGCAACGTGAAGCAGTCCGAGATCGAGACCCCCGACCGCTACAACGAGGGCCAGGCTCATGCCCACAGCAACATGGACTCCAAGGACGAGAGGTCAATCAAGAACCGTCTGGCCGCAGCAGAGGCCGCCGACGACTCGCATCAGGACAGCAGAGAGACACAGTTGCACAAGAAGGACCCAACACTCCCCGTAGGTGTAGCTCTATCCAACAACCGTGGGAAACAGGCAGGCTAATTTCCTTAATCGTGGACAGGCAAAGGATCACGGCAACGAGCCATCCCGAGGTGCCAAGATCGATGCAGAGATCCAGGCAGAAGAGGAGGAGATCCTAAAGAAAAAGGGTGCGAGCTTGCCAGGGCAAAAATGGTAGATAATGGAGAGGGAAAATGACAATTGTTTGTTTTGTTTTGGGTGGGACACGAGCAACAACCAGGCATTGTTGTCATTAGGGGCATCGCCAGCATCGGGATAGGTATTGCGGCAGGTAATACAACGAACAGCGTTTTGTTAAACGAACAACACCTTTGACATTCAAGGTGGCCTTTTCCGCGTTACCTTTTGAAACATGGGATCAGTAATGGTTAGGGATTTCATGTTGTCTGAACGGCAAGGACTACATAGTCGTTCAAAGGGGCGTATACCTCTTCGTATTTATGCATATTGTTGTGTTATTCCCAACTTTTCCGCGTCATGCAAAGTGTTGCTGGCTGTCATGAAGCAGCTAATGTTAGCATTCAGCTGGTTTTACATCCTGGGTTAGTTTACACAGGAATCGAGAGCTTGCCTTCAAGCAAGCAATGAAACGTTAGTTCGAAAAATAAACCCTACAACAACTTTGCTTGCGTGTCCATTAGCAAGATCGACACGTCCGTAAGTAGAAGTACTCCCAGGCATCAGGCCTGCTTACCGGCACGAGGTAACCATCAAGGTCCCCGTCCTAGCCGTCAAGGTGACTTCAGTATTTCTTATACGTAAGGAGCAGTTTATCGCGTACTAGTATCAATGGGCGTACCTTTGCTGGATCTTGGGTGAACAAACAAAGGCATGTGCCCTTTCTGTGTTTTGCTTTTTGCCCACAATCTCGAGTCAGATTTCCCATTATTTCTGAATTGTATGGCTACGTCTCTCCAATACAACTTCATACGGACTGATTTTCACAATCCCAAGGAGCAAAGGTGGGGAAACGTCACAGTGATAACGACCATTATGCACAAAATAACCCCTCTTTTTACTTGACCGGAGATATACACTCATCCTGCTAACTATGCCACCGCCCTCTAGGCTAAAGAGCACTTCGGTCATCTTCACTCGCCGCAACCTTCCTCAACTTCTACAAGCCAAGCTCACTTTCCCCTACCTTCGGGATGACCCTTCGCGTAGAGCCACCGTCCAAAACCTTCACGGTGCACTCCTCTCTCCTCTTCGACCCCAAGCAAAAGGCCTTCAGGAAGAACATCTCGATAGAAATTGATCGGGACACCGGCTCCATAGCTAATGTTCACGAACGTGATGACGAAGATGACCTTCGGCTTCAAATCCATGCCGGGGACATCGACCTAAGAGGCGCCGACAAGTGCGTTTTGCCGGGTTTGGTGGATAGTCACACCCATGTGTTTTTACATTCCTATGTGTAAGAACACGCGCCCTCTTGTTTTGTCTTCTGATCCCCTGATCCTACCTCGACGTTACGTTCAAAGTTCCGCACATTACTGACTCATACGCCTACGGGGCGCCTACGGCTACCAGCGACCGCCCCTCCATAGAACAAATGCGCGATTCTTCTGCTCTTGAACGCATTGTCCGCGCCACCTCTCACGTCCGCGCCGCCTTACTCGCAGGATTCACCACATACCGGGACCTCGGCACCGAAGCCCTCGGCAACGCCGACGCGCAGCTCCGGGATTGCATCAACCGCGGGCTAATCCCCGGTCCCCGCATGTTTGTGGCAACCGACGCTTTAGCATCCAACGGCTCGTACGAGATTCGACGCGAGAACAAATCCCTTTCAGGATCTGGCGGCTTGATCGTCCCCCGTGCTTCAGATCCGTGCGATGGCGTCGACGGCGTACGTGCTGGCGTCCGGCGTAGAGTAGGCGATGGCGCGGACATTATCAAATTCTACGCCGACTACCGCCGCAAAGTCATGCGTTTCCCCGGTCCCGGGACTAGCAATACTTCCAACCAATCCATTCTCTTCCCGCCCGATGACCCGCGCAGGCGTAACCCTGCCGTACCGCTATTTGGACAGGACGAGATGGACGCCATTGTGCGCGAAGCGAAACTGGCGGAACTCCCCGTAGCCGCGCACGCAGGCGAGACTAAAGCTGCGCTGATGGCGGCGAGGGCAGGTGTGACGACGGTGGAGCACATGTTTGAGGACTCGAACGGGCTGCTGGATGAGACCCTAGAGGAGATGAAACGTCAAGGGACGATCTGGGTGCCGACGCTGGCGACGGTGGAGAGTGCCGCGCCGCAGTTTATGGAGGATTGTTTGGCTGCTGTTAGAAAAGCTGTAAAGGTTGGGGTGAGGGTGGTGACAGGCGGGGATACGGGGGTGATTGATCATGGGCTGAACGCAAGGGAGTTGGAACTCTTTGTTAAGGCGGGAATTTCCATTGAGGAGGTGTTGGAGATGGCAACGGTGGGCGGGTGGGAGGCGTGTGGAGGGGAGTTGACAGGGTATCGGTTTGGCTGGTGGGAGAAGGGGTGTAGGGCGGATATTATTGCGCTGGATGCGGATCCTAGAAAGGATGAAAAGGCGCTGAGAAAGGTGGGGTTTGTGATGAAGGATGGGAAGGTATGGAAGCGGGATGGACGGGCGGTTGATATGATCACTGTCCCGGAGTTCCCGCCGTCCATGGACAATTGATGATCCGGGCGAAAGGCCTGGTGTGAACTGAGAGTAGTATAGCGAGGTGATATCACCACCGGGCAGCCCACGACCGTCTGGTACTATATGCCGACAAGCTTTGGAGGAATAGCTTCGAAAAAATATAAGGGTTGACGGAAGGATGATTTGATGACGATGGCCATAGAAAAACCATGCTCAATTACAATTGTAATCTGCCTTCTCCAGTATGACAATACCATGAATCATGTTGCTATGAGCTATGTACATCCCAAAACAGTGTACGTTCCAGTACTGGTTTGCTTGTTGACTCAAGACTTTGGATCAACTTTCCTAGGCATTTGGATATCCAACTAATGCGTGATCTTACCTTGGAAACGCTTTTTTTTAAAAAAAAAATCAATATACCATTTCAATTTCTGTCAATGCCTTTATAATCCGTACTCAGCTATTTCAGTTGGGACTATTCGGGGTACATTTCGTCTACTGGTAGTGTACACTACCAGGAGTATCTCGTATACCAAGCTAACAAAGAAACCAGCATCGGACTGTATGTGTCTAACCCATATCCAAGCTGATAATTTCATGTACATGGGTGTGACCGGCTGCAGTCACGAAGAATGCGAAGATTGTGGTGGAGAAGCAAGCAAAAAAATATTAATTCATAGATAGACTCCAAAAACTCCCTCTAATGCTTCGTAGAAGACATACAAATGTGCCGAGCCATGCAATGATTAGGCAGGACAACACCAGCTCTCATGGCAAGTCGTTTTGCTCCCATCCTCCTCGCCCCCCTCTCCCTCTATAAGGTCGATAAATATGTGAACGGATGAACTCCTGGTTGACTTCAGGATAAACAGATCAATTGCCGTTCACTGCCATCCCATCCAGCGTCTCATCGGGTAATCGTCGGTGACGTGGTAATCGTAAAACGGGTATGGTATGTGCGTAAAAACGTGGTCGGTGAGAGCGCGTATGTAAAATGATGGTATGCGGGGTGTGAAAGTATTTGGCTCTGAGGTTGTTGATTAGATATGAAGTGAAATGTTGTCGGTCAGTCGGTGAGAACCGTCTCCGTGGGTCGTGTTCGTCGGATTTTTCCATCCATCCCGGGGTCATCCCGTGTCCCAGGGGTTGCCGATCCGGGATACGAGTGCAGGTGGGACCGTTTGCCAGGAAAGAAATCGCCGAAAAGTCGTTGGATGCCATGACGGTGCTGGATAGCGCAAGGGCGAAAAATGGAAGGCCCCAAGAGGATCTGTTCCGTTGGAAATGAAGATGGTTGAGATGATGTTTTGAACAGCCATGTTTGCGGTCACAGATTGCTCTTGAAACAGTCCTTTCATGACGAGGCAATCACGACATCCCCGAGGCACCGGCCATAGCTACAGCATGCCTCCTTTGGTAGGTCACCCCTGAGGATAGCATCACGCTTGGCCTAAGCAATAGAGTCAGCATATGTGTATGCAAGTGGACAGTTTTTTTGGAGCAAGGAGACGTACATCTGGGCAGACAATAGGTCTTGCTGAAGCCGTGGCAATGAGTGAGAGGGCGACGAGGAGTTGGAACTTCATTTTGAAACTGAGGACAGCGAGTGACTGAAGGATGCTTCACGAGGGTGACAAGACAGGTATGATGTATATATAAACTGGTCGATTCGCCGAAAATAGCACGGTTGACTCCTACTATCGCAGACCAACTATTGCTGGCAGTTGTTGTTGTTGGATGTGGATGCCGAGCAGGAACCGAGCGGGAACGAGAGATGGCTCGTTTGTGGCGTGAGGGAAAGCGGATTAAACAAGAGAATAATGGGAACAGACTTCTAGCCAGACTTCGAAAAAGCTCCTTAAGATTTCTCTTGAAGGGGTCATGCATACCGGCGAGGTGGTCGGCGAGATATATAAGTCCCAAGCCGCCGTGGCCCCGTGGGTGCTAGGATCCTGGCCGGGGTGGCCTCGGGAGAGAACATGGAAGAAAAAAATGAGGGCTGGTTTGAATGTGGACTTCCACGGTGGACCATTTTCCACACAATGGTAATTCAATTGATGAAGATCGCCCAGGAGCCCAGCATCTACAGCGGGTACCTCAGCACTTGCTGCTCCCTGGCTTGCATACACCACATAATGTACACCTCTGCCGGCATTTGAAAGGTTAGCGCGGCGAACTGCAAAGTGGCGATAACTTTATTTCCCGTACAAAACATTGCTTTGCGAATCTGGAATTCTTTGAAAATTTTAAGGTGGCGGTACCACGCTAATAAAGTATATTCCGGTAGAGGCGTAATCCACGCTCCATCGAGGTGCCTTGTTCGGGAATGGAGACATGTTTTTTCTTCACCTGAGAGATAAGGAGGTGTACACTAGAGGGGATTTTGGGGTTCAGGGTGCTGCATGGGTGGAGGGATGCATGTTGGTTCACTCAAGCGGGCCGCACGACGGATCATAACCGAATTTGGACAACTGGCCTCGACCTGCTTTTTAAGGCGTAAATAGGATTTTTTTCGTGAAGAGTTCGTATGGATGACTGGCATAGTTATCCGAGCCAGCGGCGTTGGCTGTGGCCTATCGGTTATACGTGTCGACTGGTCCCCCATGGTCTCGACACTTCTTCGTTCTCGGGGGTTGTAATCCTGATCCTGATGCGTACATGCGCACACCGCATTCACACGTACTGGTGCCTCATTCGGCAAAGACGGAGGTGCGGCGCGGGATGTGCTGCTCTGTGCCGATATGGACAGAGGAGATCGGCGCAGGAAGCGATGGAGGGGATAGAAAGGAGAGAACATACTGTCTTCACGCAGTCGAAATCGAGCAGCATCTCGATGGATCTCAAATGAATTGCAAATCAGCATCTCTTCATGATCGGGGTCGCCGTCACTGTTCTGGCAGGTCCCTCCGTTACCTTCAAAGGAAGAGGAAGGTCGAACGGGATCGTCAAAAGGTCGGACCCCAGTCCCCAGATGACGGGATAAAAAATATGGAGAAGACGCCGGCCTATATTATTTTGGAGGTGACGATGTGCAGAAGTCTTGACATGAAACACGCTGGCTTGAGCCGCAGCTGGGGTTTAAAATGGATTTGGGGAATTGGAGTGGCTCATAGGGCACTCCCTCTGCACGCACTTTATCTCGAGAGTATTTTGTCCATCCTCAATTTTGCTTTTTGCATCGACTTTCAGCACTGTGAAGACTTCACCATCGGCATTTGAGATACAAGTATGTTTCTCGTGAATAGACTTTCCTCCTTTCTTTCTCAGATAACAGCTGAGAGGAGCGAACAGTCGAGAAGCCCCCTTTGACTGATCATGTCAGGGGTGAACATTGGCCAACTCATAACGAACCAAACTGTCAACTGTGGGATTCAAGAGTACCAAGCAACTAAAACAGAGCACAGCAAAAATCAAGAAATCAAACGAATTGAATCATATCAAATAAACTAATGTCACATCAATAGAGGCAGAAGTTCAGTCTCGCTCGTAGAAGAGGGTTAGGGTTCACTTTGCACATTTTCGGCTGCTCCCGCCCTTTCAAACTCTCCAGTCTGCCTGGTAATTGGCACTGGGTCTGTGCGCTGGAAGCACATGTCAGGAGCTGCCAACTTGAACTGAACCGATTCCGCTGAGCTGAGCTAAACTTTATCTCGCTCTAGCCACGTCCAACGAAGCTCGAGCTCCCGATCAGCAAGTGGCTGAAGATACGATCGGGATTAGCGTTCAAGCCACAATTAATGACGTTGATGAATTACAGATCCTGGCATTCCGGCGCTTCAGCTTCCCTGACGAAACTCCTCAAAAACCAGCGACAGCCCACCTGCCAGGCACTGTCAGTCGACCAAACACGTCACACCTGTCCCGCCGACCTACCTACCCACTCAACGCACTGCACTGCCCACAGCAACCTGAAGCTTGGAAGCACACGACTGCCCAAGCCAAGGAAGCTTCAGATTGGCAGCGGACCTCATCTCTTTGCTGTGACCTGTTGGTATTTCTTCCTGCCTCCTTCACACCTGAACCATTATTTTTCCGCCAAGCTCCGGCACCATCGCCAACACCAACGCAACATCAATTCACGAGACGATAGTCGCGCACTCGGTCGCAATACTACGTTCAGTCATTATACCAAGACACTGATCCGAACACGAGAACTCGCGATTCCCCCTCACAACCGTCAAGATGACGCTTTACTACAGTTTGGTATGTGTTTACTGTGTCCTTCGCCGTGGCCACCCGCATCACGTCACGTCGTTAGATAGAGAGGACGGTACGACGATGTTCATAGACAGAACTGGCTAACGTGATTGCTTTGCAGGTCTTCATGCTCCTAGTAGCAGAGATGTCTATCTTCATGCTGCTTATAGTTCCTCTACCCTTCACCATTCGCCGGAGGCTGTTCACCTTTATCTCGGAAAATCCAATCATAGCCAAGCTACAATACGGTTTAAAGATCACATTCATATTCATCCTCATCCTGTTTATCGACAGCGTGAATAGAGTCTACCGTGTGCAAGTCGAGCTTGCCGCTGCCACCGATGCCTCCAAGGGCAACGCGTACGTACACTTGTTGTTTTCTTCCCTTCTATGCAACAGACAACTGACCAAAATCAACAGTGCTGCCATCATGGGTCACGAGCGTCTCGAAGTCCAGGCTCGCAAGTTCTACTCCCAGCGCAACATGTACCTTTGCGGCTTCACCCTCTTCCTCTCCTTGATCCTTAACCGCACCTACATTATGATCCTCGAGGTCCTCCGTCTCGAGGAGAAGCTCAAGAAGTTTGAGGGTACCGACAAGGATACCAAGCAGTCCGAGAAGCTCGCCATGGCCGGCGATCCTGGTGAGATCTCCCGTCTCAAGCGCGAGATCCAGCTCCGCGACCAGGACATTGAGACCCTCAAGAAGCAATCAGCCTCTCTTCACCGCGAGTACGACGAGCTCGCTGAGAAGTACGGCCGCACCCAGCAGGATGATGTGCCCAAGAAGATGAAGTAAACGGAGACCACGCTTTCCTCGCAACCTAAAGGAACTTTTACTCTTTCGTATTAACACAGAACATCATAAGCACAACGTCGAGACTTTGATGCCCGACGCAGTGTGGACCTCGAAAGATGGATCATGGAAGAGGGAAGGGATGTAGAGGGACAATGATAACTACCGTTGCTCTGACAGGAGTTGGGTGTATGATCATACATACCGTGGCGGAGATTCAAAAGGGATGCTCGGTTGTTCGCGATCGAGCAGGTTGTGCGTCTACAAGGAGTCTGATAGCTTGTTAAGTATACCGTGAGAATGGATTTCGGAAACCGCTACTTTCATACCCCAGATGTCGAATTGGTAGAAGACTGAGAATGGAACAGAACGAGGTTCTTTTTGCTTGATTTTGGGTTGGTACAACCATCTCCTGTCCATTTCAAGTTTAATATGTGTCAGCACTGATCTATGTCTACCTACCTTGTATTACAAAGTCATATATATCTATTTCCACACTAGCCACTTCCAGCACCTCCACAGGTGACGCTGCTCATGTCCTCCCATGATCTAACAAATCAGGAAACAGTATTCCATTAGCCATAGCCAATACCTCCCTCTCCGCCTCCGTGCGCGCCTCCTCCTCATCCCACGGCAACAGTCCCATGGTTCTCGACGCATCATCACCACCGGCATCATTAACATCCTGCACGCCCGCCTTTCCCATATGACTACTCTCATCACCTGTACCACTCCCACTCCCACATCCACTAGTACTACTATCATCTGGCAAGTGATTATACGGACCAGGTCCGTTCACCATACTTCGCACCCCGCGGTACCCGTACCCATAAGAGCCGTGGTTCTTGTGCCCCTGGTGGAAGAGCGCTTGCCCACCTCCGCCGAAGTCGGGGCCGGGCCTGCCGAGGAGGAAGGCCTTGCGCTGGCGGGAGAGATAGAGCGCGTTGGTTTGGGTCAGGGGGCAACAGGGGAGGTAGAGGGACAATGTATGGGAGATTTTTGGGTTTGTGTTCGGGATTGGATCTAGGGGGTTCTTGCTCCTTGTGATCATGCTGTGTCTTTGCTTGTGGTGCCGTTTCTGCCTCTGCCAAGGCCCGTCAACAACATGAATCAAATCCGGATGCCAAAGCACGTAATCACCCGGTTCTAAGCGTGGGATGGTGACCAAACTGCGGTCCAGCTGGAGGTGCGGGTGCAGAGTCGGGTTGATGTCTTGGGCATAGCTGGGGAGGGCGCCATGGAGGATGGAGTTGTGGGGGTGGTTGAAGAGCCAGGGTGAGTCTTCTTCTTCTTCTTCTTCTTCGCCAGCAAAGGTGGTGGAGAACGTAGAGAAAGGGTCCCGTTGGTCTTGCTCGGAGTGGGCTAGATTTGAGGATGAAGAGACTGGGGACGCGGAGGGCGAGGGAGAGAAGAATGGTCGTAGCAGGAAGTAAGCTGTTGCCAGTTGGGGCATGGGGCAGACTTGCAGTGAGTCTGAGTCTGAATCTGAGTCCGAGTCGGAGGAGGTGGGGCTCATGGATAGAAGACCTTGGAACATGCGGAAGATGGAGCAGGAACCGGTGCCTTGGTAGAGGTCGCTTGTTGCTTGGACGCGGGAGGAGCTCTGAGTAGGGAAAGGGGGATATCAGCCTAAGTTCCAAAGTGTCTTTGGGGACAAAATGAAAGGGGTAGATTTGATACATACCTCCCAAGGATCATAATCCTCCCAACGCCCACGGAAAATATCCTTATACGTCCCTGCCCGTCCATACCCATCCGGCTCCCATCTCTCGACACTGCCATTGTCGACATGGGCGCTAGGCCTGAGTCTGTCTCCATCACTGCCATACGTTGTTGTCGAGATCGTTCGTATCCGCACACGATCGGCGTATATGATGGGAAAGTTTGTGCTGACCATGGCATTGGGGTCTTCAGACTTCCATATTCCCATTACGAACTTCTGCGCGGCTATGACATTGGGATGCGCCCTGGCTTTGATCTGGGCTGGACTCCAGTAGAGCTCGTAAAGTTGGGGGTCTCTTGTTGGCACTGCTCGCATGCCTGAGTTTTGGCTGAGGTATTCGCTTGCTTCTTGTCTCCAGCTGGTGGCTGTCTCCTTTGGAACCACATTTCGGATGATAGCCACCCCTGATCTTCGTAGCTGGGCGAGGAAGTCTTGGGATTGTTGGGGGTTTGTGATGTTGGAGAAGCTGATTGTTGGAACCACCTTTGACCCCATAGAGGAGATGTAATCAATCTCTTCGTCCAGCCTTCGTAGTAGCCTTTGCCATGCTGATGTAATTGCTACTTCATTGCCTGAAGCTAGTCTCTCTTTCAGGAGTGTGAATCGTGGTGGCAGAGGAACGGGATCAGGGTATGAAATTGACTGCATTTCGTGCTCTTTCTCCCAGTAGATATGAGCTACCGTGTTCGCAGTGATGGGATACGATTGAGAAGACATAGCCATGATGAGCAACGAAAAGAAGGAACATATGAATGGAAGACATATAAAAGACAAAGAGAAGTGCCACACTCGTAGGTATGTAGAGAAATGAGACAAACCGGTGAAGACATGCTCGAAGTCGGAATGAAAAAACCGCCTTTTGACCGCACCTTATACTTCTCGTACTTGTCTTGCCCTCACCCCCGTCGTGTGCCGCTCGTCTCATTCCCATCGTGTGTTCAAGAAGATACAGGTCGCCATCAGCCGTATCTCTGGCCGGAGCAAGAGTGCATTGCATTGTTATCGAAAACCTTATCCACATCCGGTCGCTTCGCGAACCGACTTGGAGCATGGGACCCAGCAGGGAGTCATCCGCAGCTACGGGCCGTGAACGCCGAACATTTTCATCTAGTGAGCGGTTACTAGCGTTTACCAATAGAAGAATTCCGAACGTTGAACCCATCCAATGGTGTTTCAATTTGGCAGCTAAAGTTTGGTCCGGCTAGGTTCGGGTATCTTGGTGTCAACACCTCGCACTTACACGGGTATCTAGTCGCAGTAACGCATAAAGGCAGGGCTGAAAAAGGAACAACTTTCCTGTACCCATGCGACTTTGAGCCCTCTTGTAAAAGCACTGCTGACTGTTCCGAGATCCGTGGTAATGCGGTTCAAGACTGGTGCTAAAGCTGGCCTAGCCTTCAAGTCCCCGCATTGTCTACACCCCAGAGACCCCTATTTCCTATGCTTCACACTCTCAAAACTGTGTTTTGTGCGTTTCGAACGTCTCACGGGCGGCTCTGGATCGTTGGTATCGTCATCAACGGTCTTCCTCTTGATCTTTGGGGGCGTCACCTTGGCGACGCTGCTGACCGACGGCTCGGGATCAAGGGTAGCACTTGCGGCTGCTACATTCCCACTTTCTTGCCGCATGAGAACGAAAGCTACACGCTCAATGTCAATGGCTTTGACTCCAAGCCGTTGAGATAACGCTCGAGATCTCTGGCACAAGGAGTTGTATTCCTTAACGTTATACTTGAGGGGTACCTTTTTCCCGTCTCCGCAAAGCCAGTAGTAGGCTTCATCGGCGAAAAAGATAACATGGTCTGGGTCATGCACTGCCAGGAGCAATGACGCAGTAGCCGGGCCGATACCTTTTAGCTTGGTCAGGATGCCTAAGGCGCCGGATATGTCTGACTTGTCCCGATACTGCTTGATGGCATCTTGTACGGTTGTCTGGACCAAATCGGGATCATTGGAGGAGACCAGTTTCATCAGAGTTGGGCGGAACTTGCCATGACGCCTAGACCAAAAGTCAGCGGTGTTCAGCAAAGTGACACTGGGGGACAGAAGGAAGGTAAGTGCTTCTTTCGGTAATCTTGCTCACAAGCGGCCCAGTGGGGGCATCTGAAGCGAGCTCTAGAGATGGTGTTTGTAAGCCGCTAAAAATGGCTGTGGCTCTCCTTCCGCCGAAAACTAGTGAAGCAAGACGATGGGTGACGCCCTTAAGAGTTCCAGGGATGTCTGGATAGATGGCAGGGATAAGAATGTGAAAGAGGACGTACAGCTTCCATTCGACCAAAGTCTTGACCTCATCGACGGCAATGGATTTGGTGTCTGCCTTTTTGGGACCAAATGCTGTGACTGCTTCACCATAGCGGTACTCATCCAACTCTGCCAGTGTCTTCTGGCCTGGTTTTGCTATTTGCAGGGTGTCAGATAGGGGATTATAGCCAGGGGGGTTGAAGATTTGGAGGGAAGCCACCATACCTCCCTTGTCCTGCGAGATGGCTTGGATGCAGGCGGGATATCTTCCGAGCACTTCATCAAAGGCAGCAAGGGAGATTTTGGCTGCAGATAGGGGAGTTGGTTTGGCCATTGCGGCTCTTCGTCGTTGTTGCGGGCCAAGCTGTGATGCCGCGGAAGGGGGTGGGGGTCACAGTGAGTTATGAGCTGTAGTTCTAAGTGACACTGCAGCACTCAACCGTCTTTGTAAAAGGAAAGGTGGATAGACGGTCCGGACTAGTGTACACTACATGTGATGTTTGGGACTTTGGGGGTCGATCAGGAGTGGATCAAGGGTCTGATTCCTGGAAAGGCCGTCGCGGCGAGTCCCACTAAGTTGGGTGCAGCCTTATGCTCAAAACCCTCCACCGAGTCAAGTGAGTTATGAAGTCACTTGCAGAAATCGACAGTTGGTTCCATCGGAGGCGTCGGGCAGAGATCGATCAATTCATGCAGCGGGAGGCGGCCCTGAAAGTAAGGTGCAATCCCGGGTGGCCAAAAGCTATGCCTTTGAAGGATCGGACACGCAGATGGGCTGTTGAGGTTGAATATCTAAAGAAACGTTCAGTTGGATTCCATCCAAGAAAGCAGAGGTGAATTAACGTACAGTATGAGTACCACGCAGTCAATTTAAGGGAGCATCATCCGTCAATGGTGTTGCCAAGACTTCCACTTGACGGCCACCTGCTGTACATCACTCCCGTGCTTCCTTCCTTCAGTTTCAGGCCACAAGCGAAGAGAGTGGAGAGGACTGGGTGAGTTGAGTGAGTGAGTGACCTGTTCCCCCCAACCCGACTTGAATACGGAGATATCGATAGCCATTCGAAATTGTAACAAGGAAGACAACGGAACAACGGGGGTAGGGTAGGTAGGATGTGATAAGTAGCCAGCTCGAGACCGGAAGCGGTGATCTCTTCAGAAAATCGAACTGTCTGGCCCTTGGTCAGTGCGTTGCGTTTACCTGCCTCTGTTGTTGTCGCCCACGGGAGGCTGGGGCTAGTACCGCTTTTGACAGCTGAAATACTCTGTAATATACCCAACGTATCTGAGAAATGCAGGCGGTGGACCAACTGTTACATTGATCTTATTGATTGTTTCGTAATGAGGTGAAAGATCCTTTGCGAGGCCGCGAAATGTGTATTTTTCCCGCGCCACTTTGATGGGATGAGGCACATGATAAATTCCGATGATGTTCCAGGCTGGGAATATTTGCTAACCTTCGTTGCACTTTCCTGCTCCGCCTTTTTTCCCTTTTTTTCCTTTTTCTTTCGCTCTTCAACCTCACTTTACCACCTAGACCAACCTCATCATTCCCTAACCAACCAGAAAACTATAGACAAAATGGGTGGCGGTAACGTACGTTACATACATACCGTGTTTACTTCGAACTTTACGATCCGCGACGATCACCACCTTTCTGAACATCTACTAACACAGTATTTTCTCACCAAATAGGGAGCCAAGGCTGCGCAAAAGCGCGAGCGTAACGCTAAGAACGCTGCTGCTGGTCCTAAGTCGCAGCTTAAGACTGTACGTCGTATTCTTCTCTCTACGGACGAGACGTCGTCGTCCTGCGTCGAACCCGGAAAGCGGATGCTCAGTAGACTAACACAACTTCTGCAGAACGCTGCTGCCATGAACATCATCTGCCAGACCTGCAGGGCCACCTTCTTGTCGACTTCGCGCGCGAAGGCGTAAGCAAAATCCCCGAACTCCTCCTCGACCAGCTCCGTTTCCCCGGGCATTTAGTCACGATTCGAGATAACCTACCGATCATGTCTACCGTATACCCAAACTGACCTCAATCCTTCGCAGTCTTGATGAGCACGCTCAGAACAAGCACAACAAGACGCTGGCGGACTGCTTCCCCGGCTTCGTCGAGCAGCCCAAGAAATAAATGCGCATTATTCATGTTCCGTCGAACGAACGATCTGTGACGATCCGATATCTGATGTCTGGGAGTTTGGATCCAGAGTAACGGAGCATCAACAATGACACCAAAAAATAGCTGGGTGGGAATCAAGAAAAACGTGCTAAGCAGCACCAGACGGGAGTGATTTACACAAATGGCGATGCATCAAAGCGGGTGGGATAAGGCGTATCATAATGGATTTGACATTGAAAATAGAAGAGGAAACATACCCCCGATTTGATCCGGCAGACTTCGAGAGATCAATTTTTGATACACACAGCTGGACTACATAGACATGATCTTCCCTACGCTCTCTTCACGCCTGGCAAACGGTAAAGACGCTGGATATAATCGCCCGCCGCCCTACCCCCGAACCTCCCATCCTAGATACCCGAACCTGAAAGAAACTAATGCGCCTCAACAGTCTTCCCCTCCGGTACCATTGCCGCGCCTCCTCCTACAGTCGAATTCCTACTCCCAGCCGCCGCCCTACTCTGCTCCTCCCTAAGACTCCTCAAGATTTCTGGGTACCACCTCTCTCCCACATCCGGATGACTTTTCACCCGATTCCTCAGCGTGGCCTCGCCCAACGTGGTCGCCACCCCTCCACTTCTAAACGTAAACTCGACATCATCCAGCCTCTGGCCACCACTAGCCTCGAGCACCCTTCTGCGCTGCTCCTTGACGTGCTCGGGCACCTGTCCGACGCCAACCTTTTCCAAATCGTCAAAGGTGGTATCGCCCCTCACACCCTGGAAAAAGGGAATGGAAAAGCGGGCGCCTTCGCCGGCGGCCGGCGAGAGTACCCGGTGCGTGGTGCTCACGCAGACGCCCTGCGTCAGGGCTTCGAGACCTTGCCCGATTGCGACGACCAAGGTACCGGGGATGGGCGGGCAGTCGATCCATTCGCCAAACATGTTTTGGACTTGCAGGCCGCGGTGATGGGAGGCTTGGAGGAGATAGCTCGATAGCACTTGAGGAAAAAGGGGTGAGTTTGTCTGTTTGGTAAGAAGAAATGGATAAGGGGGAAGACATACTACTATCCTTATGCGGCCCCACGCCCTGATTTCCCTCCTTGCCTTCTTTGCCCAATGTACCAACATCCGGGTACTTGACAATCTTCAGCTTGTGCTGCTGGTCTTTATCAAAGTACTTGTCGAATGCGTTGGCGGGGAGCTCGATCGCCTCGGCGATCAGGCTGGTGAAGTAGATGGAGATCTCGCCCATCTTCTTCATGTAATCGGTGAACACCTGACGGAAGCTAGGCAGCACCTTGGGCGACGGCCACTGGTTGGGTGCTAGCAGATTGTAGTGTAACGGCGCGCCGGGCTCGGGTAAGGGATGCTCGGTAGACAGGTCGATCTGTTCGCGGTGGTCGATGGCGCCGGCGGTGATCTCGGCGGAGAGACGGGAGTAGCCGAGGAAGGAGGGGGCGTTTTTCATTTCGATTTTTAGTCTGATTTTTTATTTTTAACCAAAGCGTTTAGTTTGGCTTCATTGCTGCTTTGTATGTGGTTTTGGATTCTACGTCGAGCAATGGCAGACAAAACTTACTTTTCCTCTTTCGGGATGTCAAAGAAGCTCTTCCCTTCCCGAATGACTTGGTCAAACACTTCCTGTGAAATACCGACATGTTGAAGATATAAGAAGCCCACTTCCATAAGAGCGTGCCTAAGGTCTGCTAGGAAAGCCAGCTTGGTAGCTGGGTCCTTGGCCAAAGACAAGTCAAGAACTGGAATGGATGTGAAAGACATAGTGAGGAGCGTTATAAGTTGCTTAAAGTTGAAAATATGAAAGGCGAAGGCAGGCCAGATGACCAACTCGTCTCAAGTCTACGTGCCTCGATACGAAATACGATGGGGAAAGTCAAAGCGGCTAAAAGATCATCGGATGTCCTTCCCCTCACAAAGTCGGGATAAAATGCAGTTGGAGTTCCCAAAGTTTGAGAAGACTGGTGAACGCTTTTTGGGTGAATTGATGTAAAATAGCAGGATAGAGGGATATAATTGATCCAGTTACAGTTTCCAACAACACAAAACATCTAGCTCTTCATATTACACAAAGCAATTGCAGTTACAGCTCCAGTTCTAAGCTACATGACCTGATATCCTAAGGTTCCCAATGCTATTATCGAAGTCGTCTAAGAATGGCGTAATCGGTCGCCATCGGAGCGTGCCGTAAGCCCCGCAGCAGCCACCCAGACTAATGCGGGGCGGTTGCCCCAGGATAAGGGTCCCCGGGCTTACACGCGTAAACTTGCCGAGAAATGCGGCATTCTACACCTCTGCTTGGATTTGAAAGGTTAAAATGGTACAGCCAAGCCACTAGCCAAGCCGCCAGCCAAGCCGCTAAGGCTACAATAAACCAGGGCTTTTATATAGAAAAACCTTCCTTTTATTGTACCCTATCTTCTTATCTATCTTTTTATCTAATAATCAATACTATCTCCATTTGCCTCAATAATCTTTTCTATTCTTTCCGGTATTGAATAGGCCAATTTTAGAAGGAAATCCTCTAGGACTATATCCTAAACTTTTTAAATGGCCGCTCTAAATTATAATAGGTTAAGAGTTCAAATATTGTATTTATATTCTATAAATGACTTTATCCAATGCTAAACGTTCTCGATTAGTACCAAATCCGGAGAGTAAACTAGAAATCGTCTCTAACTAAACCTAAGGATTCCTATTAACTCCAATACTCTCTAAATCTCTTTTACCCAATAAAAAGGAGCATTATCGTACTAAAAAACAAGGCTATTTTCTTAGCAAAAGGCTACTACTATCGGAAGGATAAAAAAAATATACTTTTAAGTAATAATTCCTCTAAACTCCTTTTCCCAAAAGAAATAAGGCCCTTTTTTTCTTCCAGCAAAGGATCCCCAAAACATCCAACCATAAAGCTTTCTCTTAATAAGAATAAAGTTATTTATATAACGGCACTGGCGGATGCATTGCGGCAGGCATGGTCTACGGACTCGGCTGCCCAGCACTGAAGCTACGGGACCGCTATTTACTGGAGGGTGCACCGGCCACCCGGGCCGCAGGGTTAAAACCCCAGACCCCGGGCTTACCTTTATATATTTCCCTCTTTCTTCTTCATCTTATAATTCTAGTATAGACCTAGGAATCAACGTATTTAACTTATCTCTTGTAACTACATCGCTCGTAACAATCACAAGATCAATCTTTACACTTTCTAGGGAGGAAACTAAACATCCTATTACTACTATACTTTTTAGAAAAGCACCTAGACAATCGTATCGCATTGCTTCAATCCCGCGATAGCGTACACTTCCGAAAAAAAGGCGTCGGTTCAAGCCTCGCCCAAAAAATAGATAACCTCCAAGGTATTTACCGCCGTAAGCACTCAAACTAGCGAGGCTCAAAAATAAGCCGTAAGGGCTCAGAAAAATAAAGTTGCCGTAGAGCAAATTATTTTCAATATTAATAATATCCTAATTACTTCCGAATCTATAGTAGAATAGAATAATACCTTTTACTAACGTTCGTTAAATATTATTATTATTAAAGATAAATAGAATACCCAATCCTATACTTTAAATATATTAAATTTAGAGGATAAGGAGGCACTTAATAATATCGAAGAGGCAATCGTATTTTTCAATTAGGAAGTTACTAATAAAATAGCCAATATTTATTATACCTTTAAGAAAGAAGACTTATACGAATTCCTATATATAAAGATTAACGTAATTGTAAAGTACTATTTTAAAAAGGATAATAATCCTTTATTCGCCTTCCGACCATTAATAATTGTTAGTAAAGAATATTAATTAAATTATTTGCATTATAACGAATTACGCACGGGACCTCTACTAATAAACCTCCTAACGTTCTAAAACATTTATTAGGACCCTGTCGGCCTAGAGGCAATCTTCTAAGAGATTAAATTATATACTATTCTTATAGAGGTAACGCTTACTTAGTAACGTAGTTATTAGGTTATTACTATTAACCTAAATATTAATTTAAATAAAATATATAAATATATAATAAACTTCCTTAATTATTAGAAGATGGCCGAGGATAAAAATTTTAAACTTAAGAAAAAAGTAATTCTCCTTAAAAACACTTTAACAAACTCTAATACTCCCGTAATAACCATCGAATACTAAAATAAACTATAGGCATTATATTATAAAAATACATTGCTACGTAAGAAGAATACCGATTTAATAGAAGAGCTCTACCTCAATTTCGCTAAACTAAATATTACTAGGGGCGGCTAAATTTAAAATAATAATACTAAGGATAGTAGCAACCCTAAAGATTAAAACTACTCCTATCCTAACTACCGAAGTCCGTACAACGACCGGAGCCTATCCCTTAACCGTCATTATAATTATAATTACAACCCTAATTACGACTACAATTAACCGGATCCTAAAAAGTATCGTAAATACCCTAAATTACTAACCGAACTAAACGAAATTAAATATAATCTTACTATAGCCCGCTATGAATTATCGACGGTCAAGGACATACTTACTGCTATTGAGGCCCAAGCGGAAGAGTTAGGAATAGAGGTAGCCTTGAAGGAAGGAGAGATTGTCGATTTGAACACTATTATTATTTATTTTACTAAAAAAAATATAAATCTATAGAAATAAAAGAAGAAAGTTACTATCGACCTAACCGCTCAAAAAACTTTCGAACGACCTAATAATAATTTAAATAATAATTATAGGCGTAAAAGCACCCTAGTTTCGAACTTCTCTACTTTTAATATTAACTAATTATTAGTAAAGGAAAAGGATTTACCGTACTTCTATAATAAAAAGGATAAGGATACCGTCTCCTTCGACGTATAATATTATTATATTTAAAATAAATTAAAATTCAATACCGACTATTTTATAAATAACGAGGCTAAGAAGATGTATATTGAAAATTGTACGGTTGGTAAAGTAGCCCAAAATTTAGAGTCCTACCTAAAAAATGGACTATATTACCTTAAAATTTTTTAATAATTATTAAACTATTTCAAAAACAAATACTACGACTATAATTACAAAGAAAAGGCTATTCTCGAATTTAATAAATTATAATATAAAATAAATTAAAATTTCTAGGATTTCCGCAATACCTTCGTACGCCTAATTAACGAATATAACCGCCTAACCGATATTTAGAAATAAAAATTCAACTAAAAATTTCTAACTAATATTTAAAACGTTCTCTTTTTTAATTATAAGGAAGATACAATTAATTTTATAACCTTTATCCGTATAGTAAAGAAGTATATTGAAAATAGTTAATACTTATAAAAATCTAAATAAAAGGATAAAAGTAAGGATAGAAATACTAAAAACTCCTCTTCTTCGTCGAACACCTCTAGTAAAACCAAAAATTCGTCTTCGTTTTCCTCGTTTACAACTAAAGGCTCGGGCTCAAATTCAAATTACTAACGTCCGCCTAATATATTAAAAAATAAAATTCGCAAATTATTAAAGGAAAATAAATATTTCGTCTATAAATAAACTAACTATTATTTTAGAAACTATTCCAATAAACGTAGTAATTCTAACCGTATTAATAAACTAATTAAACAATTCGCTTATAAAGCCGAAAGAAATACAAAGGAACCGAAAAACTAATTACCCTAAGTATCGTAAACTCCCTCCTAAAATATAAATTAATTAATATCTATTCTATAAAAATAGAAATTATAAAAATAAAAGTAATAAAAGTAAAAAAAGATTTCCTAAACGTATATTTAAATAGAGAAATATTATTTATATCCTATATTATAGCTAATAATAGAAAAACTTTAATTATTAAAAATATATTTATTAATTCGGGAACAAATAGGAATATTTTTATAAATAAGACATTTACCGAACAATTAATTAATTAACTATAAATCGAATAATTATAAAGTTTCAAACCTTATACGGTAGGAGGGTATAATAGATAATACAGCGAAACGATCAACCTATATTTGCAAAGTACTATTTATATCCAAAACCGCATCCTTCCTAACGAGGTAATAATAATTATTAACTCCGGATATAACCTAATCCTAGGGAAATACTAAATATAAAAACACCGGGTATTAGTAAATATAGCTATTTAATACCTAATTTTTCCTCAAATTAAAGAAGAAGAAAAAGCGGAGGAAAAAGTAAAAAAGGCAAAAACTACTACTTTAAAAGAAATCGAACGCTATATTCGGGAATTAGAGCAGTATATTCTAAAGGACCCTAAAAACCTAAGGACACCAAACTATCCTATCGAACTATTTATTAACTTAAAAATACAATCGATTAAAAAAGGAGAGAATAAAGATTTAATTAAAATAAAAAAGGAATTTTATAATTAATACCCCCCTCCCTAATAAAACGAATCCAAATTGCTTACCTAATAAAAATATATCGCTTTATTAAATAAAAAACGGAAAAAAGACTCCTACTAAAGTAAGGATATTCAGGGTCGCTATTATTTTAAGAAGGATGGAATAAAATAATATAAATATTATAACGACTTTATAATTGTAAGGGTAAAAGCTTTCCTAAAATTCGCCGAACGCGAATATATAAATATTACCAATCTATATAAATTAGACCGGTTTATTAAAGACTAATACTAATAAAACCAAACCTTATCCGAAAATAAAGAGGAATTAAAAAGAAGGGCTAGGAAGGAAATACCTAAATACGCCTATTAATACTTTAAAGTCTTTAATAAAAAACAATTGGATACCCTATTCTAAAATTGTTCTAGTAATTACAAAATTGAATTAGAAGAGGGAGCAAGGCCGGAGGAACTTAATTATAATTTACTATATAAAATAACCCTCAATAAACTAGAAACATACCGGAAGTATATAAATAAGGCCCTTACAAAAAGCTTTATTAAAAGTAATTTAATACTATAGGCCGCACCTATTCTTTTTATACTTAAAACTAACGGAAGTTTATATTTCTACGTAAATTACTAGAAGCTAAACGTAATTATATAAAAAAATTAATACCTATTACCCCTTATTAAAAAAACAATTACTCAAATTAATTAAGCTAAAATCTTTACAAAGATTAACATCCAGTAAACGTTCTATCGTATAAAAATATATCCTAATAATAAGGAATTTACTATTTTCTAGACTTATTATAAAGTATATAAATATAAAGTCTTACCCTTCGGTCTAACAAACAATCCCTCCACCTTCTAACGATATATTAATAATATATTAATAAATTATTTAAATAATTTCTATAACGTTTATATTGATAATATCCTTATTTTTTCGAATA